TGAGCTCAATATATATATATATATATATATATATATATATATATATATATATATATATATATATATATATATATATATATATATATATATATATATATATATATATATATATATATATATATATATATATATATATATATATATATATATATATATATATATATATATATATATATATATATATATATATATATATATATATATATATATATATATATATATATATATATATATATATATATATATATATATATATATATATATATATATATATATATATATATATATATATATATATATATATATATATATATATATATATATATATATATATATTCTCACGTATTGATTCACGGATGGAAAAATGTGATGACACTACACTCCGGGACACCATCCGTTCGCTCGTTGAACTCCGACTGGAATCCTGCATCCGACTGGAATCCTGCAAATCTTGCATCCGACTGGAATCCTGCAGACGTTTCGCCAAAATCTCACTTGACATCTTCAATGCTCGCGCTCCGAGTGTTCGAAGTGTTTTCGGAGCGCGAGCATTGAAGATGCCAAGTGAGATTTTGGCGAAACGTCTGCAGGATTCCAGTCGGATGCAAGATTTGCAGGATTCCAGTCGGAGTTCAACGAGCGAACGGATGGTGTCCCGGAGTGTAGTGTCATCATATATATATATATATATATATATATATATATATATATATATATATATATATATATATATATATATATATATATATATATATATATAAATATTCAAAAATACAAAACAGCTTTACTTAAAATGAAGATATTAATTCTTTTAACACCAGAGAGCAAAACAAAATTCGTATACCTTTTGCAAATATAAAATTTCATCTAGATCACCGTCTTTACTGTGGCTGCAAGTCTTTCATCCGCTTCCTGCTGAAATAAAATGTAACTCTTTAAAAACTTTTAAAATAAGATTAAAGCAGTATCCACTTCAAAAATCTGTATACACTGCAAGCAGTTTTTTTACATAACATTTGCCTGTAGGGAAAATGAAAGTATTATTATTATTATTGAACCCACCCACTTTGAAATTGAAAATGAAAATGGTTTTGGGTATTCGAATCAAATCAAAATGTATTTATTCCTCTAACAATTACAGGTTTGTATAGGGCGCGTCGCTAAATATTTTTTAAAAATCGCTATATAATGAAGTCTGCATCGAAACGGGGTCGATCCGCTTTTTGAGGGAGTATGTGGATTCGCCGGCACAAAAACTCGCAATCAGCGTTGGGAAACTTTATTTGCTTTACAATGAAACGGGTTGAGATAATTCCTTAACAAAAGACAGTAAGTTAAAAAAAAACGATAACTGACATTTGCCACACAAAAAATATCCGACCTACCTTAACAAAAGACCAAGCAAACGTCCGGTAAAGTGTATTGACTCAATACGGCGATATAATGGGCCACACATGGGTTCTCTCGATATGAAAAATATCTCACATTACTCAAAAAAAAAGAACTATTGGGTAAGATAATGGTAAGTAACTATTTCCGTGTCCGACGTTACCGGCTGTAGCAGCTCGATACGATACGATAATCGTTTAATCGTGGGGGCGCCCTCCATCAAATTATAATTCAACTCGCAGCAGCAAATAGAAACATAGAAACCGCCACCTGTCATAATTTGTTTCGCTACAAGTCACTAGAACAAAGAAAATGGGACAATTTGGAATATTTCAAACTATCCAAATTAGCCAAAAAATTCAGCTAAGCCAGGAAATCAAATATTTTTGTTGCAAAGCAGGAAGTATCGTATCAGTTTCGTTTCTCATGAATCCGAGCCACTTCGGACATGTCAGGGATTTTACCTCACGGATTTGGGAGCAATCGAATATTTTCGGAGATATTTCCCACGCTTTGAATTTTGACGTTTGTCAATTCTGTCAGTGAATATATTCGTGTTGTTTTGCGAAAATGTACCCAAAAACTAACGGTCGTAGGAAAAGTGGAATTCGGATGTTTTTGGAGATCATTTTATGAAGTGATAAAATAACTTTCGTAGCGATGGATACCGCAAATCGGATAAAGAAGACTCTAACTTCACCCTGGAAAAAAGAGGAAATTGTCTACTGGTTAACCACCAAAAATATTGAATACATATATTGAATATATGAAATACTTCGTAGAAGATTTGACAGAAAAAGATAGTGTAAAGACATGTAACCTTAAGTTACTGTTTGATCAAGCCAAAAAGAGATAACAGTTCCTTAGGTGACGGAGAATATTATGATTTTTTATAATTTAATTCCTATATAATATATTTTTAAAATTGAAAATTTAAATTAAAATCTTTCATGTTTACTAACAACCTATTGGTACGCTTGTTGGTCAATGGGAAACCCAATAGGCAGTGGACAAAAAGAAGAACCCAGAAATTGTCCCTGAAAACCTATTGCGTATTTTGATTGATTGAGACACATGAAAATGTTGACTATACTTACAGCCAAGGTAGCGAAAACATTGCGTACATGAACTTGGTTTTATCATCATATAGCTATGATTTTGTCATACAGAAGGGAATAGTTACCATTACATTTCACCCGCTAATCTGTCCTTTTGCGCTATTTTCTTTCTAAACAGCGATATACGCACAATTAACTCGTGTTTAGCTATATAATTGCAAGCAATGAAAATTAAAATGTAACTAAGTATACAAAACTATATCATTGATACATTATTCAAAAAACAACGATAATTTTTAAAAAGGTAATTGTAGGAAATTTTAAAAATAGTACAAATTCGTTGGAAGTCAAAGTAACGAATGAAACTAATGCATTTCAATGTTGATATCGCCACTGTAGATGCTGTAGAATGTTGGCTCAGAATCACTAATCATGTGTGGAAGTGAGCCTCTCTAGTTTTAAACCTCTCCATCCCTCTTTATACAGAGAGAGATCTAAAATAGAATAAAAGAAAATAGATAGTAGGGAATGCTGACTCAAGGTCAATGATCAGCGCTCTCTCAGATCCAGCTTTTTAAACCTCTTTGTTGTTTTAGACATTTTTAAATAGATAAAGAGGGAAGAGAGGTTTATAAAGTCTGTTTATAGGTATAAGAAAGTGACTAACTGATACGAATTAATGAAAGACTCGGGCAAGCTGTAAGAATGAAATATGGTCGAACAGGTCCGTACTTTGCTTAGAATTTAATCATTTGGGGTTTTGTTAGGAAATATATCAAACAATATTTATTTATTTATTTATGTGTTTATGTTTAAATCTAAAATAAAACTACAAATTATTTTTATTACCTACTTAAATTACTTAAAATTATTCACATAATATATCAGTATCACTATTGCTATCATCGCCTGTTTTAATTATTATTTGTTCTATATTATTTGCAATATGGATATACGATTGTTCTGCTTTTTCTATATGTTTAACAGAATTTGCCCAACTTTGTGTTAGAAACTTCGGTTTCTATAAGTTTGAGGACCTTGGAGTTAACACGGGAAAAAACATTGTTACGACGAATGGCAGTTGGCAGTTGGTGCCAAACATCTTCAATGAGATTAAATATACAGTGGTAAGGTGGAAGCCTTAAAAGTCTATGCCCTAGATTTTTTGCATAATTAGCACAGGCGTATTCCTTTTGTAGGTTCAAGCTTTGTAGAACCTCAATTAATTGCTTTTTGGTATAATCTTCGTGAAAATAAATGTCGTTATTATACATGTAGTTTTGGATTGTTGCTTTTGTGTCACATGAGGAAGGGGTTTTAGTCAAATGTCTACTGTGATAAATTGCATTGTCCATTACAATGGCGCTATTTGGAGGAATGTTTGGAACTAGTTGGTTTTTAAACCAACAATCTACACAAGAATCTTTAATATTTTTCGCAGACAGAGAAAGTCCATTTAGAATCCAATCATCTTCAGAGCCAGCATGCAAATAGTTATTCTTTTACCTCTTTTTGATGGCGCGTTTGTTTTACACTTATCAGTTGAGTCAACCCAACCCTTTTTTTGGGATATCATAAGTGTCGAACCAGGTTTCATCCAAGTAAATAATTGGCCTTTGTTGTTCTCTGTAAATCCTAATTTTTTCTAGGTATTCCAGTCGCCATTTCCGAATTCTAAAAGATTCCATTAAAACTTGCCTTTTATCAATTTTTTTAAATCTAAAACCCATGTGTTGAATACACTTCCATAAGGTAGTCCTGCCACATTTAACACCGGTTTCATCTTTTTCAAGCCTCCTAATTAAGATATCTAATGTAGGCACGCTTTGTTCCTCGTATAACTGATAAATTTTACGCCGTATTGTCACTTTCATCTACACTCGACAAAAAGTTAGCATCGCTTCTTTTTTTCCTCGCTGAAATGGGATTATTCACAATTTTCCATACAGTTGATGTTGGAATTTTCGTCAATGTGGCCGTTTCTTCTAAAGATGCTTGCTTGCTGGCACCACGTTCAATGAGAGTCAAATAAACATTGTTTATAACTTCCTTAGTCTCAATAGAACAGTGTTTTCTACATTTGGGCGGGAGCATCCCCTGAGATATACTAGACTCGCACATATTTTGCATAATTCGCACGCGATTCAACACACGCTGTATTACACACGAAATAAGAATGATTATTAATAAACTTAAACTAAGTAGTATACCAAACCAAAGAATATTAAACACAGGACCACAATTTTGCCTGAATTTAAATTCCGAAACTTTAGATAATCCCATTCAAAAGCAATTGCTCAATTTCTTATATCTATGAACAGACCATAACCGACAAAACAAAGATTACTAGTGATCAGTAATCCCCACAGTAGTATAATATTAATATCATATCGCAATTAAAAAAGATTTTTATAATAGTAGGAGAAGTTGAAAATCGAAATTTAGTGGAAACTTGAATACAAAAGTTTCTTTTTGGCAGATTTCCCCTCAAATATTATAAGACTGGGTCCCAGTGTTCACTCCTCAATTTAATTTATACCATCCTTGTTCCAGGAACTCTTACAGTAGAAGAAGTATACAGAGATCGCGATCAATTCGCTGCCTTGGTCAGGGAGGTGGCCGCCCCCGATGTGGGTCGCATGGGGATCGAAATTTTGTCTTTCACCATCAAAGACGTTTATGATAACGTCCAATACTTGGCGTCCTTGGGCAAGGCACAAACAGCGATGGTCAAGAGGGACGCCGACGCAGGGGTAGCGGAGGCCAACAGGGACGCGGGAATTAGGGTGAGTAAGGGAGTTCGTAACGCGAAAAGTAATTGAGAGAATTCTAGAAACGGTCTGCCAATTTCTAGGGTGAATAGAATATTAAAAAATGATGTTAATAACATTGTATCCGAAAATGCCCTTATAAAATTTGGACCTTTGATTGGGTCATAAAAGTTACCGATGACAAAATTTCAGTTCAAAATAATTTACAATATTTTCACTTTCAGTTGTGGTAAACCGTTTCAGAAATAATCTTTTAAATAAACTACTTTTCTTGCCCCGCACGAGGCATTTTAGGACACATGTATATTAACCAAAGCTTAATTTATTTTTTGAAACACCCAGTAAACATTTTTCCAATTTTATTAAAACATCGAAAAAAATTATTTTTTTTTAGTAACTATACAGTGGATCATTCGGTTTATACAGGGTGTTATTCAAGGTGACCAACTTCGAGATAGATGAATCCGGGACGATCCCCTACCCCGTTAATTCATGTAAAAATAAAAACAATAATGTAATTTTTTTTTAATTTATTGGAAAAAAAAACTTATTATCTTTGTGTATAGAAAAAACTTTTATCTTATAAATATTGAAAAATATGTACGAACTAAATTTTAATGCCTAATGATTTTTTAAAACCACCTATTGTTTAAAAGACTACTTATTTGGAGAAACATCGTTTTTTAAAATGAGGTTGCAAAACTTTTTGAATAACTTAAATTCCCGTTGTATCATGGCTGATTTCAAAGTGCTCATATGAAGTTGACCTTTTTCGCTACATAAGTGGTTTATAATTGAAAACACTCTTTTTTCCTCTGCGTCAGTACCGCGTAGGCAGAGTGCAAACTCAACTATCAACGATATGTTTTTAAATCCCAGTTGCTTCTTTGTACAATTATCAAAAACTTCAAGCCATCGGACGCAAACATTGATATTATTAGTTTGCCAATCTTCCAACTTTCCATTGGTTACAAATTATTTTATTGAAGATATTTCGTCAAATAGTTCATGCTAATTTGTTAATGTTTTATTTTACAATAAAATAGTTTTTATTCTGGTTGAATTTCTGAGTAATGTGGAATTGCGGGGTTGCCAATGATTACAAATTTTCTGGGAGATAAAATATAATTATATTGGCGGAAAAACCTGAAACTGTACCGGCCAATCCTGTACGGTTGGCCAGCCTGTGTTATTGAAAGGACATCATATCATTTAATGAATGAATTTCAAGGTCGAAGGACAAATGGCAACAATATTCATTATTATGGTTGCAGCCTGGCATTCCAGAAAGATTGCTCCAAAGATTGGATACAACATGGTTGCCGTGGTGCTAGCTTGCCAGATCGGAAAATCTCAATTATATATATATATATATATATATATATATATATATATATATATATATATATATATATATATATATATATAATATATCCTATAGAAAGTGCCTGAGGAAAAAACCCTGTAGAAAACCTATAGAAACCTCCAAATTTTCACGTATATCGCCCGATTGAAATTAGCTTCAGCAATGTCCCTTACAAACTATGGTTTAAATTCTTTTCGCAGGAAGCCGAATGTCAAAAATCTGCAATGGATGTGAAATATTCTACCGACACGAAAATAGAAGATAACGCGCGCATGTTCAAACTGCAAAAAGCCAACTTTGACCAGGAAATTAATACCGCGGTAAGTTTTGGCGACCATATTTGAGTTAATAATAATAATATAGTAATAATAATATACACGGCGATTCACGTTCTGCTAGAAGTTGTGGGAAACTAGCAATGGGAGCTTTTCTCCCTGTTCTAACTCGGTTGCATGGAATTAATTGGTCTGTGAGGATTGTTCAAGGTCACGCAGCTTTTCTAGTCGCGGTGATAAATTGCATCGTCGTGAAAATCGGGCTTTAGTTCTCCAGAACGTTCAATAGGACATTCATTTGAATCACTCTATATACCCAAATTTATCACGGTAAATATTCACAGAAAGCACAAGCACAACTGGCTTACGAACTGCAAGCCGCGAAAATTCGTCAGAAAATAAGAAACGAAGAAATCCAGATCGAAGTGGTCGAGCGTAGGAAACAGATCGAAATAGAAACGCAAGAGGTGATGAGGAAAGAGAGGGAACTAAACGCGACTGTACGTCTGCCCGCCGAAGCTGAGAGCTACAAAGTGGAAATGATCGCTGAAGGAAAACGGTAAGGGTTTCCACACACGCACAGGGTTTTGCGCGACTTATGGATTGAATTCGTTTAGAACTCAGACCGTGCAAAAAGCTCAGGCGGAAAGCGAGAAGATCAAAATGCTCGGCGCTGCCGAAGCGACCGCGATCGCTAGCATAGGCAAAGCGGACGCGGAAAGGATGAAAATGAAAGCCGCGGTGTACAAACAATACGGAGACGCGGCTATTATGTCTATCGTCCTGGAGGCCTTACCTAAGGTGAGTTGTTTAAGTCTACGGCTCCGACGTTTCAGTTTTAACGCTACTTTAAACAATGCGAATAAGGCCTGTAGTCTCTTTTGTAACAGCACCATCAGTTAGATTCTCAACAAGATTATTAAAAATTTTAGAATATGACATTGCCTGTAAACAAAAATCAAAAATTCGTTCGAACTGATTAACAAGATTAAAGACATTAAAATTTCAGGCAATTCTAGCAAACCTATCATAAAAGAAGACTTGCTAGATACCTTAATAGTTTGTTTACACCAAAATTATTTTGAATTTAATGGTCAATTTTATATTGCTAAAGAAGGATTAATTATGGGCAACCCACTTAGTCCACTACTTGCAGAAATTTTCATGGACAATTTGGAACACACCATACATAAAAATTCTCTGAGTAAAAGATTTCTCTGGTGGTATAGATACTTAGATGATGTTTTTGCTTGTTTTACGAAACGGAAAGCCAACTGTACTCCTTTTTGAATCATATTACCTTCACACATAACCGTATAAAATTTACCATAGAGATGGAACTAGATAGCTCTTTAAACTTTCTGGACTTAACTATAACTAAACTACAGAACAAACCCTCACACACGGACACAATAATATATAATACTCAAATCATACATTGCTGCCTTTTATGCTTTTATTCGCAGACTACTTACTATACCACTTTCCACAGAAAATTTTGAAATATAATTAAATATTATAAAACAAATGACTTTTAACAATGGTTGCAACCCCTCTCTGATAGATAAAATTATAACTAAAAAGGAGTTTCAAATAACTCTGAACTCTATCTAACCCAGCAAGAAAATTTCGAAATCCAAATTTGATGTTAAGATTGCTTTTAAAACTGAAAACACTATGGGACCTTTTTTAAAAAACAATAAAACTAAATTTCAAAAAAAACTCAAAAAATCCGAAGTCTACAAGTTGAAATGTGGATCATATCCCAAAATTTATATGAGACAAACAGGTAAAACATCTAAGAAACGTATTAACATAACAGAGCGTATAAAATTAAAAGTTCAGATTTAATGACCAATTGGATTTAAATGCGACTCCGTTGTAAAATTTAATTTTATAACCCTTAAATAGTATATTATGCAACAAATGGGGTAAACGGCATTTGTCTCACGAGTTTATTTGACACGAGCGGAGCGCAGCGACTCGAGTGTTTAATAAACGAGTGACTTATAGTATATTATGCAACAAGTACAATCAATCAAAATTACAACTACTTTTTCTTTCAGCAGTTCCAAATAATCTTGATTTTAACAAAATAATTACTAACCACACTAAAAATGGCCCAAAGCGCAGGTTAGTAGGTGAAATGTAGACATACGATCCGAAAATCATAACCTTCTCCATAAAAAGTATGAATGCGGCGGATCAGTTTTTACTGTAGTATATTATCTAATAGTTATATGGTTGGAACACACATCTCATTATTTGAAAACAAAAAACAACTAAATTAGGAGACTAAGCAAAGGTTTCTACAATGCTTACAGTTTTAACAACTTCATACCGCGATGATTCGCCCTTTATAACATAGATGGCGCGTTAAATATCGCTTTATAAAATAATAAAATTAAAATATACTTCGCTGGCATCTTATCTGTTACTAACTAATATTTAATTAAATTTTATTTATTTTATTTAAATTTTAAATTTTATTGATTGCATAAATTTCAACTAAACAAAATTTACTGTTCTGAGAGCTTAGAACAATTTGGATTCACATAAGTGCCTTCTGTATTTGTTTACTATTTTTGATTCTAGTAATTTTGTATTGTGTTGTTATTATGTAAATTATCACTGTTGATTTGTTACATTGTTGAATGTGCGTAATATTTTTCCGCAAACATGTTCTCATTATTTGATAGGAATTGTCGATTGTCGGTTTGACAGGTTTGAGAAAAAATAACCTTTTTTTTTATCAGGGTGAGATCCAAATTCACTTATTAAATTATATGATATCAGTAAAACACACTGCATAGTATAGTATAATATACAATCTTAAGCTAATGTATACTTTATAACATTTTTAACATTTTATAACACATAGCAAACCATAGAGCTACTATTTTTTGCCTCGAATTTTGAAAAGCTCAATTACAGGACGAATCCGGGACCCATTGAGATTTATCTTGTTCATTTTGGCTCTCGATACTATTAAGATAATCCAGTAGCCCTACTAAAGTTAAAATTGATGCACCGCATTTTCGCAGAGTAGGAAATGATTTTCCGTCATTAACTTACCTGTACTTTGCGCCATTTTCTTTTGAAACAGCGATTTCCACACACTTAACTCCTTTCCTGGAACATTTAATGAGGTCTAGGCATGTTTCGAGAAAATACTGCCGTAAAAATGCTGCATTCAAACTTATTGATGATCTGTCAGCGGCAATGTTGGTTGTTGAATGCGGCAAGCTCATTGGTTAAAAACGAGATTTTAAATCTCGCGCATGGGCATATTGAATGAATAAGTTACTGTGTTATGGACCCTTCGTCTCTAGTAGCTTTCTAGTTCAAACTAAGATGTGTGAAAGGTTCAAAATATTGTGTAAGCACCACAGTTCAATTGCGCACACTCCAGACAAACCTATCTTTGGGCTGCGTTCGACTATTACCCGACATTCGTTTTTAATTTCAGATCGCTGCAGAAGTTGCAGCGCCTTTAGCAAAAACTGAAGAAATCGTCCTCATAGGAGGCGCCGACAATGCAACGGGCGAAATCACCAGGCTGGTCGGACAAATTCCACCGGCCATCAACGCCTTAACCGGAGTGGACCTGTCCAAAGTGCTCGGCAAGCTTCCGGGGGCTACCAGCGGCCCGGCCGCCACCACGGTTAAATAAAAACAATAAATTAAGCGCCCCGAAGACCCATTCGGTATCGAAAAACTCGACCATGTAAAAAAAAACAAACACATTCGCATAAGATTTTGTATAGCTGTTACTCATTTGTTTGCCATTTACGAATTAATCAAATATGTGTGTCGGTTAATAAATTCTCAGGTCGGTACTAGGAGTAAATATTTTTATTTTAGCGAGTTAGCTAACAAGCAAAAAACTGAAAGCATTCGGATTTTTTACAAACTTCAAAATAGGATATTTAAGCAAAAAAAAAAAAATGTATTTTTCTACTCTTCGACCCCCACGATTTAGTTTCGACGTAGATTTTGATCCGCACTGTGTGTTTGGGGGTTTTCTTTATGTCAGTCTTGATTTTAGTGGGACTTTAGTACTAGAATCACTGCCGCCTCGTGATTTGTTTTAGTGTTTTTATATATGAATAATCGATGGTACCCGTTTTATTTTGATAAATCCTGCTAATATATTTTTAAGAAATACCCCATTTAATACCTAAATTTTCACTTTGTGAAAAACTTTAAAAAGATTTTTCGCCACGCGGTCTCTGCCTTATAACCGCCACGAATTTCCCAGCCGCGTTTTAAAAGTACATTTGAACGGTTAGTATTCGCAATAAAAAGTATAAAAAAACATATGGGATGTTTTTATTTTTTGACCTATAAGGGACGATTTTTTGAAATGTTTCAACTGGGTTAAAATAAATTAACTGGATTGGTTAACAGTTAAATATTTACAGCATCAAAGCAAGCACAGTGCTTCGTTGTATGGAACTCATTAAATGTCTTATTTTGTTGTCATGTATTATTAGGTATTAAAATTGGTGACCAATGTGGAGCAGGATTTAATGTGACAAATAAAGTTGGTGAAATATCTTCGACTTTTATTGTAAACCTTCCAAGCCCCATCTTCAAACTATATTTTGAATTCATGCTACTAGTATTTCATTAAAATGTATGCATGGATTTTTATTTTTTGACCTGTAAGTCTAAAATCTAGCGGATTTTTTTTTTGAAAATTTTCAGTCCCTCCAAGATTGTACAATAATAACATGAGAATATTTATTTAAATATTTTCTGAATGACGTTTAAAACTATTTAATACCCCCTTATTCTCTACTTATGGGTTGTTCCCAATAATAAAACAAGCACCGTCATAAATGTATGACACTCGTTAAGTCCTATTTTGAAACAACAAATTTAATTACTTGGGTTATTAGTAATACTTCAATGATATAAATCCCTCTCCTTCATGTTTCCGGCCCAGTAAGAAATAGTTTCTAGTTGTGAAATACTGGTTCTTAGTATTACTCATCATTTTGAGTTTTAATATTCCATCAACCGTGAGACAGACTAACTAACCAACCAGTTGTAATACACCTGCGAATTTTAGACTTCTTCTCCCAGTGCCATCCAATAATGGACGTTGGCGACTACTTTTCTAAATGCGTCTTTGTCTCCTGCAATGTGAAACAGCTCTCCACTCATCTCAGTCCAGTCTATGATGTTTCTTAACCATGATTTCTTCTTTCTTCCTATGACTTTTCTTCTATCCACTTGCCCCTGCATGATAATCTGTAGTAGTTCATACTTATTATTTCTCAGAATATGGCCAAGATAAGCTGTTTTTCTTCGTTTGATCATAATCATTAATTTCCTTTCTTCTCCTATTCTTCTTAACAATTCCTTATTCATAATTCTAGCAGTCCAGGGTATTTTTAAGGTTCTGCGATACAGCCACATTTCAACAACTCTTTTCTTGATGGTCTGAGCTTTGAGAATGCAAGGTTCTACTCCATACAGGAGTTGTCACCACACATAGCAACTCAATAAACTTTAATCTTAGTTTAAGGCATAGATTTTTGTCGCTGAATAGTATTTTAATTCTTAACAAAGATCGCTTCGCAGTTTCGATTCTGATTCTCATTTCGGGATCTTGGTTTACATGCTCTATGGGATTTCCTTGTATCAACAGCTGGCCTTGAATGACTGGGTTTTTCGAGTCAATTTTTTAGACCATGTTGACCATATAGACAAAATATTTAAATTCTCAAATAACCCACTTTGAACCCCACAACTTTTATAAAATTGAAAATAAATGTAAAAAAAATACTAGAAACAAAGAATTTGATTTTTCTAATAATTTCATTTCGTTAGTGTACAGGGTGTCTTAAAAAAAGACATACATTTCAGAATAGACACTTTTACCTTTCTACAACACTCTCCATTGCCTATTCAGACCCTGGCAAATGCAAACAAAACTAAATCAGATTGTTTTTATTATCATTTTAATATATCATACAACACGGCACAGCAAACGTCACACAATATGTGCAACGTGGTGCCACGCAATAGTGCCGAGTTGTGAAATTCCGTTATGGTTATTACAATATGTATATTTTACAGGTCGGAATTTCACCACGACGGTCCGCTTTTTGTTTTCGAAAGAGTTTACGGTTCGCAAAGTCAAAATTGTACTTTTAAAAATGCATAGATTAAAAAGCCTCTCGATATCGTTTATAATATTGGAAAAATCAAAGAGAGGGAGGAAAAACACCGTCTTTCTACCATTATGAATAATAACAAACAACAAACAGTAGAGTAGTTATTGCGTACCAGAGAATAACTGTACAAAGAAAAAAAAAAACTCGCTAAACATTATTTATAAATATTATACAAAAAACGTACTTCCACATTTTTTTTTGCACAAAAGGGAAATGACACGAAACCAGTCTCAACAATTTCATTATTGCTTAGGCTGGTTCCGTGCGTTGGCCAAAATAACATTCTACAAAATTGGGATTTCTTTAAAATAAAAATAATAATAAATAAAACGTACTACTTTTGAAACAAAGTATTTCGGGAAAAACACTTCGATCAACAATAACTTTAGACAAGAGTATAATATGAATCAATATTTAAAATATATCATCTCGCCGCCATCTTCTCGCCTTACATGCACGAATTAAAAAATAAATTACTTAAAATAACGACTGTTGTGAAATAAACGTACGCAAAAAGAAAGGGCAGAATGTTATTATTACGAACCCAAACGGAAAAAAAATAAAGAAACGATGTAAGGTGCGGGGGGGATACCCGATCCGCCTCCGTTTCGTTATTAGCCAAAGAAAACGTAAAACAAAAATTTACGTCACTTAATTACATACCCAAAAACTATAGTTAATTATTTTTAAATGTTTCTCTCTCTCATTCCCTCAGGTCCGCCAGGTTTTCTTCGCGTGGCTTGGCGCCTCCGAAGATCGCCACGTTCCGAGTCGATTCCGCTAACGCGTTGACGGGATCTTTGACGGTACGAGGCAGAAGCTTTAGTCTTGGCCTTCCCGACGTGTCTAAAAAATTAAGTCTTTGTTATTTTCGTCTAGTCCAAAAATAAAAACAAAATCATTTCCACATGCAGAGAATAAGTTTTTACCAATAAAGCAATGACGAGGATAGGTGACGCAATGATTTCGTCACGTCTTTTACAGTGTAAAAGGTTCTCGAACAAATTTTCTACAATCATAGAGGGACTTCTTACACCTCTTATGAAATTTTATCCTGGTGTCACTTTATCCAACATTTTTAGTTTTTGCGTGTTCTTCTTTGTTGACCTTACTTTAAAAGGTAAGGTTAAGTGTGGGTTTCTTCTATTTAAAACAGCAGCAGCAACCCTAGCTTCTCATTATCGCCAAACTGCACATTCGCGTTTCAATATTTTGTATTTTCGAAAAATCGAAAACTAAACTATTACAAAAATTTACCTTTAAATAGCCGACTCAAATATGTTTAGTAACAGTACAGTCGAACTTCGATAACTCGAAATTTTGATAAGTCGACCCAAATTGGTCTGTTGATCAAAAATTCAAGGTTATAAAAGAAGTGGAAGTTAAGCCTGAAACAATTTCCAATTCTTTTAAAAAAAGCCGGTTTTGGTCAGTATTCTGAATGGGAGGAAGAAGATGAGATTCCCTTGATTTTCCTAAGGGAACGCCTGAAAGAAAAGAGTGAAGACGAAATCCAAATAGAAATCGAGTTTAAAGCTTGAACAAACATTAGAGGTATAGAAGAAGGTAGCACCATCAACGATTTTATACATGTGGATGAGGATATTGTTACTTCAGAGTTTCCTACGGGTGAAGATATTATCGAGTCCTGCAGATCCGAACCGGTACAATTAAACATCAAAGATGACTGCGAAAGTAACATGATGGAGGAGGAATTGGAAGATGATTCTCAGCAATCTCTTTCAAATGGTTGGTTGGTTGACAATTCGTTGATTGTCTTGCGTTCCTATTTGAAAACCAGTGAATACAAAACCGATTCCCTCTATGATTGTTTAAATAAAATTAAAGCTTTTGTTGAAAACCAAAATAGGAAATCCGGTCGTCAGTCACAAATTAATGACTTTTTTTCAGTGAAAAAGGAAACTTTAATATGTACATACATATGTATGTAAATATATTATGTAAATACATACATACATAAGTACTACTATTTCATAATTTTCGTTTTTTGTTCAAAAATCAAAAATGAATGAATAAATGTTCATTAACAAAAAAGTACATGCATTTGTAGTTTTTATTGATAACTTGAAGTCTAGATAACTCGAAATTTTCATGTGTCAAATCGCAGTTCGACTGTATTTCAAAGGAGACAGTTCAAGTGTAATAAAATAAAAGCAAATCATTATTTTTTTTTAATTTATAAACCACAATATTTGTTATTTTCCTATTACTACTGATAACAACGTTTACGCTTTACTTGATTGGTTAATAAGTAATAAGTTAATAAGTTAATAAATAAGTAAGTTTTAAAGTAATACAACGCCAAAATAAAAGATGCGAAAATACCTATTCAGGAGTTAGTTTATATTTGCGCGTTTTCATAAGTCGAGAGAAAGGTACAGTAGGCATTTTTCACTGCATTAGTATACATTAAAAACATAATAAAAATGCCAATTTCCAAAAATGTCAAAACATAAAAATAGAATGAAAGTCATTCATTCAATAAAAAGGAGCTTATTTCCGAAAAACATTTCTATAAAAATTAAAAAAAAATATTAGTATGGCGTGACGTCAAACGCTGTGACAAGCAATAATATGGAAGGTGTCAACCTTTTGTTCCTTTCCCTATGGTCCAACCAACTGAAAATTTCACGTTCCACATAATATTGGGAACAACGCTACTACTGAAAAAATAGGTTTACCGCGTAAAACCCTTTTGATCGTGCCATGTGGGAAGTATACCTAACACCTGAGAGCTGTGTAGGGCCTCCCTACATAAAGATAGCTTTGCTTCCATAAGAGTTGAGTTAAAAGTGTTGGATATTTTCAGTATAATACTATTATTTCTCTTAATTAATTGATAATAATAATAATTAATAATGTTAGATAAATAACAAGATTGCTTTCGAAAAATCGTCGCTGGATGGGGCAAGTTCGTACTGCGTAGCGCGAAGCAGCTTTTTATTATAAAAGGAAAGAGCTTCGCGGTTTTGTGTGGTAAAGGAACGCATTGTTTTTCTATCGTGCTCCTGTGGACCACTATGGAACTTTCGCAAAAATCGATGTAATTTAATTGTGCATGCACCCTGTACAAAATGTCCTTCACATCTCGTCGAACTTCAAAGTTGCAGCAAACATCGGTAAATATCGAAATTTGCACAAATAATAGCATTGTCGAATGACATTTTTCCAAATATCTCGCGCCCTGTATAATTGACCAAAACCTGAAACTCTCACGACACGGTTTATGATACTGTTCAAATAAAATTATCCCATCTTTAACGGTTTTTCATTTATCGCCAATAATTTAGCCAAAAAAACGGATTTTTTAGGATATTTTACATGTTTTGTCCATAAACGACACACCTTGTATATGATACAATCATTGTTCAAAGTAGAGGTTGGATTTTCCACGAGTCCTGGTTCAAGAATTTTTTGAAAATAGTAATGGTTTTCGAGAAAATAAGTTTTTTTCTGAAATCATGCAGTGCGCCGTAATAATCAATGACGTCATGGCGTCTTGACAGCCCCCGAAATAGCGATTTCAATATGGATTTTTTCAAATATCCAGAGCAGCGTATGGGATAGACGAAAACCGCAAATACAAAAATTGCAAGTCTTGATGCGGCCTATGACACCGTTTGAACCAATTAGCCATATTTTTTACGATTTTTGATTTGCGGCTAATAATTTACTCTGTAAATAAACAATTTTCTAGGTCTTTTAGATTTTTGTCTATAATTTGAAAACCCTGTATAATAGTAAATAGATGTTATTGCACTGGATCTTCTGCGTCTGCCGGTTAAAGAATTTTGCTAATTGGATAAACGACTATGGAGGAAAACATTTTTCTGGAAGCTAAAATCACCAACAAAAAATTTTCAAACATTTTTAAAAAATACTTGGTAATATTTGATTGCGCCTAATTTCCACCGTTTAAATATGGACACGGACTTTTACTTCTCTGCTAAATTTGAAGTTGAAATCTGCAAATTTAGGTCACCTAACTCATTAACACTTATCGTGTTTCATGGCAAGGTCCAAAAAACAGTCGAAAATCGCGAAAAAAAGATGGATACCGGCGTCGGATCAGGGCCATTTCTTATAAGCTTATGTGCCTCGTGGAAGGTTAAAAAGGAGGCACATTTCAATTTTGTGGCTATAACGGTTCGAAAGTTATTCAGGAAAAACCAAAAAACGAGAACGGAGAACAGACAAAAAAATATATTTTTTTTCGACGGTGATCATTTCTGTACCAACGGCGATCCCATAGGACCTACCGTTACCGAGATATAAAATTTTTATATGACGAAAATTCGATTTCAGGTTTTTTAGGTTATTCCAAGTCAACAACCTCATTTGCAAATTAAGTTCATTAATAAATCTGTGTAATTGAAACACCAACTCTTAGTGTATAAATAATAATAGCAACAGTAATAATTAAACTAAGTTAAAAATATCAATAAATTTGTCAAGAGTAGGGGGTGTGCCTAGTGTGAGCAAATGACATTTGACAATTTGTATTTTATTGTTGTTTATAATAAATTTATTTTGATGAAAATGACTTGCAAAAGAGCCACTATTCCTACTTGTGCACAAAAAGTAACGACCAAAAATTGCTTTTCACATAATTTAGAAATTGTTTTGAGTTCATGTTGAGGTTTTTGATTGTGTTTCTAGGCTTCTATACTGAAGTTAAATTTAATGTTACTACAGAGATACAAGATATCTTGATAACATATTCTCAGTTGGAATCTTGAAAACACCTGGAGATAAAGGAAACATATTTGTATATGGAGCAAAATAAGAATATATTTTGCATTAGATTGCAGGATTTTCGGCCAAATATTGGATGTCACTTCTAATTAGGTGTGGGATTTCTGACAAATGAGCAATATTCTTTGTTCAAATTTAATTCGTCATTCCAACCACACACCACCACATATTCTTTGTTCAAATTTAATTCGTCATTCCAACCACACAGTAAGTGACAACCTTTTCCAGTTAAACAGTTTAAATATTTGATATAGACACATAGGCATACATAATGATACTAATAAGAATAAATGGTCTTTTTAGTCAATAAATAAATAAATAAATACAAAATGAAATAGAGAAACACAAAATTAAGACAAGAAAATAAATAATACTTGAAATTGACTAAGGGTGAAGTTTAGCCTCTTTTGATGGAGGTGATGAGGTTGTTCTTACACAAAGGAACATTTAATTAAACATTTTGCAAAAGTATGTCTTATTTTGTTTTGTTTTTGCCTTTTTAATCAAATCACAATTTTTGTTATCTTATGTAAACACAAATTAATAAAGAAATATAAAACTAAACAATTGGACTCACCAGGAGCAGGGTTAGGTGTATCATCGAATCCTTTCCTATCTTGCCTCTGCCTGGGACCACCACCAGCCCCACCCCCGCCAAAGCTCCCACCTCTGGCAGGCCCAGGACCCGCACCTTTATTCCAATTGTTACCTTCCTCACCAGAAAAGTAGCCGTAATTACCTCGGTGACCTCCCCTCATTCCACCACCATCCTAAAAAATATATTTTCAAAATATTAGTTGACTGTAAAATGTGTTTTCCAAAATCATAAACACTTGCCTGAAACCCACCAGACCTCCCTGGTCCGGTTCCGGAATTGACCCCTCTTCTGTCAAACTCCCCATCATTAAAGTGTTGGGGTCGGTCACCTCCACGGAATCCGCCAGAACGGCCTCGACCACCTCCACGGCCACGGTCAAAACCGCCACCTCTATCATTTCTTTTACCTAAAATACCAACATTCTGAAGGCACACCCAAATAACAAGTAGGAACAATAAAAATAAACAGGCCACCACCACTTTTCACTACTAGAAACCATTAACCAAATATATCTTACCTTCAGCAACATCTATCTTAACCACATATCCTTCAACTTCAATTTCGCCATTTAAAGCCAAAGCTTGTTCCAAATCAACGAGCGAATCGAATTCCACGTAGCAGAACCCCTTAAACTTGTCAGTCTCCTTATCCATGACGAGCCTGATATTCTTAATATTCAAAGAATTGAACATTGAATTGACATCGCCTTGGACGACGCCGCTGGGCAAATTCCCGACGTAAGCTGTAAAAGGGGGCTCAGTGGGCAGCGGTTTTCTACCGCCCCTGCGGGCTCCGCCGCCGTAATCCCTAAAAAAAAGGCCCCCAATTAAGCATGTGTGTACAACCTCAGAAATCGTAATATCAAAGCCCCAGAGCAATGACCTTAACTAGTTTTCAAAGGGCAACTCCTAATGTCCTCAGCTGTGTAAAAATATAAAATTTGTACCTGTTGTCTCGATCGTCATAACCGCTTCGGCCGGCCATGTTTCAGATTATGTTGGAGAATGCGCGGTGAGTCAAAAAGTGGCGTTCGGTGAAAAAGAACGGCGCGGATTCATAGCATAAGCTTTAAATCCAACAAACAATTTTCATGATCTGGGATGTCCGATTTCCAGAAAACTATGCAACAAAACTGCGATTTTCAAGTAAATTTACCAGACAGGCGGATATATAGATTGTCAGAAATGACTTTATCAATTTCAACTAAGTAACCACCAAAATTAAACTTTTATGTTTCATTCGAAGTCTGACTAAAATTTTAGTTCGCATAAACTAATAAATTAAAGTTGATGTAAACTAGTATACCATATATATTAATAAGAATCTACACAACCACGATAACAATTTTAGTTTTTTAACTTCCTTTAAACGAAGTTTAACTAATACTAGAAATACTATCGGCAACGGGTGAATGGCGAAAGATTATCGATAGTATAAGCCTCGTTTTACTAATCGAGTGTTGGTTAGATTGATAGTTATATCGGTACTTTCAAAATCCGCAAGCGTATCGTATAGGCTTAACCACTGAGGAAAGAAAAAGTAATTTTCCATTCTTATCTTCTTGTGTCATATTTTCTTCAACTCATAATCTTGTTTTTCCAGTGAGATATGTGAGAGTTCATTTCAGCATCTTCCAGCAGCATGAACAGTTTTCTATTTAGATATTACTAATCATCACCCGCCGCAAACTGTGAAAATGTGAAACAATGCGATTACTAAATCATAACACCTTACAGAAGACGATTAGCTGGAAAGAAATTTGATAGTTGTGCAACTAAGTAATATTTTAATTATGCATATAACCTGAAAAACTGATTAAGAGTTATTAAATCATATTTTTAAAGCTAACTGCTGCAATATGGTGCTTAAGAAAAATTTTTCCCAATTTGTACCCAATCACAAACCCGTTAATTACGCGGACATAGAAAAATTAAAGAGTTTTATATCAAGTTCCCAAAAGCTTTTAGTTCTTACTGGTGCGGGTATCTCTACAGAATCAGGTTTTATTCGAAGTTGTTGACGATTGACGATAAATATTTTTTATGGTTTCCAGGTATACCTGACTATCGTTCTAAGGATGTTGGTCTCTATGCGAGAACAAATCATAAACCAATAACTCACCAAGAGTTTTTAAAATCAGACGTAATTAGGCAAGGATATTGGGCAAGGAATTTTGTGGGTTGGGACCGGTTCTCCAGGTGTGTACCGAACATTGTACACTACACTCTAAAAGATTTGGAAATGCAAAGTGGCAAAATATCAGTAGTGGTTACTCAAAATGTAGATAACTTACATTTTAAAGCTGGTAGTGAAAATGTAATTGAGTTACATGGTAGTGGTTTTCGAGTGCTGTGTTTAAAGTGTGGATCTTTATTCAGCCGTCATTACATTCAAGAAAAATTACTGAAGGTAAATGGAAAAGTTAAAAATATTTCCAAAATGATAAGGCCTGATGGAGACGTTGAAATACCCGAAATGTTTGTTAAAACATTTATTCCGCCTATGTGTGAACTTTGTGGTGGAATCCTCAAACCAGATATTATATTTTTTGGTGACAATGTGCCAAAGTCTCGGGTTGACTTGATAAGATACAAAGTTGCCCACAGTGACTCTCTATTGGTGCTGGGATCAAGTTTATCTACTTTTTCTGGTTACAGGATAGTTTTGCAGGCTCTTGAAGAGAAGAAAAACATGGCAATAGTGAACATTGGACCCACTAGGGCTGATGATTGTGTTCAAATCAAAATTGAAGCCAAATGTGGTGATATCTTGCACAAAGTTGTGGACTTCCACTAATGTAATAAAAAAGGTCAGAAATTTATTACTGATTCTGGTGACTCTATATGGTGTTTAGATTGTTAAGTTTAAGACTCCTTAAAGATTTTTTCTAATACTAAAATCCTAAAACAAAATGAACAGATATTGACCTTCATTTTCCAGTTGCAATGTACGAACCTGTAATTAATCTACAAATATTTTTTTTATAAAACAGAACTGCAAAACAAATTTATTTTTTAGACATATCACAGATGTGACAAAAGTATACATTTAAAAGCTGTTAGTTCAAGCAGTATGTCCTTAAATTTTTTGGTTCACAATTTCTAGATAACTGCAAAAGTGTTTTATCTGATTAATCTGAAGATTTACGGATGTAAAATAAGATGTTAACAAATAAATATTTTGATGACACCATCTTTGGTACCTTCCAATAAAAATATATGTTAAAAATTTGACATGAGAGCTGTTAATGATAATTTGCTTTTTACTCTTCTTTACCTTTCACGCAATGGTGTTTCCTTGATTAGTGTAGTTGGAATAGATTACCTCCATTTTTACAGGTAAACAATTCCCAAACTTATCCTTCCCACATAGAAAATCCTGTTGCCGAAAGCGTGAATTTAATAATAAAAGAATTAAAAAAATTAAAACAAAGTAGTTTATTTTAGTTTAATACAAAAACATACAAAAAAAAAACAATATTAATCCGGCTTTAAAAAATCACTAGGTATCTTAAGAACTAGTGTTTTTAACAACAAAATAATTATGCTCTTATCTAAAAGTAATAACAAAATTGTATTTGGTTGCCATTATGGAACAAAGCAATAACATATACTTGTTAAACATGTAACATTAAACTTTGACGGCTATATTTTGCCTCACCAACTCCTTATCAATATAAACATCTTCTTCTGTTTTAGTATCAATAAGAACTAGTTCCAACACAAAATCGCTCTCGTACAAAACATCTTTTTCAATTTTGATTAGCAACGAATACAGATCCTTTTTCTCAACTAACATTTTAAATACTTCACAGTCTTCCATCGTCCATTTGTTTTGCTTTGGTTTTATATCTACAAAAAATCAAACTTAATATTTGCAGCTATAAAATCAATGTAGAGGACAAAAAGTTACTTGATAATTTCGCCTTTAAAGCTTGGTAAGGTAACTCTAGAAACTCTTCATCCAATGGTACAAGTTGCTCGACCACGAGATTCCTATAGTAACCAAAATCACAGAAAAATACTGATATTGAGCGCGCGTGTATCACTTTGATGACGCTGGTCCTAAAAAGAAAATCACATTTTTCAAATACAATTTGTAGTTAGAAAACTACAAGACTTATGTAGTACCTGTACCAAACGTCGTCCTCGTGCCTGGAAGCATATATCTGTCCAGGTACGATCTCCTCCGCTGACAGCCTCGCGTGCTTGGCACTATTGTACTTCTTTTGCAGTTTCACCATCATTTCATCAAGCTGATTTTTGGATGCCAGCGGCTGGATGAAGAAGTTGTATGGGTTCACCGCGATGGGAATGTGCACCTCGAATAACTCACCCACTTGGGTCAGTGCCGGAGCCGCCAATGTACCGGCAGATGGCACGCACTCTAAAACGTCAATTGAAACGATAAAACAAAAACGTTTGACCTACTTACTCGATTTGAATTGACTAATTTTCATTTTCGATTTAGAATCTTCCTTCCTGAAAAAAAAAATCTATCATTTTGTACTTTGTTCAATAATTGAATGCATTTACAAAAAATAACAAATGGATAAATTAAAATGACGACAGTACATGCCTGCAATGAAGCTGATGATGGTCATTTTCAAATTGTTTTCTTTACTGTTAATTTTTTAAACAAAGTTTATCAAAAGGTCAAAACTATTTTTATTTTTTGGCTTTAAAATGAAGCAAGACACGCAAACGGTGAAAAAGGTTGTCCTTTAATTAAAAATCAGTGTGGTACCTCTCTATTCATCAAGGAACCTTCCGGGGCGCCACTGCTTTAACCTTTATGACAAATTTTAACAAAATCGTTTTTTTTTTTTTTTTAAGCCGTTTCTTGAACATTTTAACAAACACTTCCAGACCTAGTTTCTTAAATACTCTCTGACATAACCCTCATTATTCATTTTTAAATCACAAATACTATAAACTACCTAATCCAACGATTTACATATTAAAGGTGTTTTGGATTTATATTCTTAAATACTACTCTTTTTCAATCATCAATGGTGAATTAACCTTGCCATGACAAAAAAAAATCTTCCGACAGTAATGCCTAAAAATGTTGTGTTATTTTTATTACACTCGGTACAATACAGTTTTATCCTCATTCAAAAACTAACTGCCTGCCAAAATCAAAAACATTTTCTGCATTGGTTGTTATGCAGACACGACAAGATTTGAAATTATTTGCAATTATACTAAGATGATGCAGAAATATTATAAATAATATAAACCCCCGAATACGTCCCAGTGGTATTCTATTACCTGCTTTGTTTTGTATATCTGATTAAATATGTTAATTACCTTTTTGCGGAATTACTCTACTTTCTAACGGTTACATCCCCTCTTTTTGCGAATTAAATTATACTTGGCCAAACCTCAGTTCCATATCCATAGCGATTGACTTATTGATGCAAAACAGTCCTCCGTCCTCGCTCCTCTTGAAGAATTCGACGGGAGGCACATCGTCTTCGCCGAGCACCTTCAGTAGAATGGCTTGGTCGGGAGGCATGTGCTTCCCGGCGAGTTCCGCGAAATCATCCGGAACCTCCTCTAGCACCATTCGAACCCGGACCGCTTGCGGCGGGTACTGGCACAAAACGTCGCTAAGTCTGTCGAGTGGGTACAGCTTCTCGACAGCGACTTGGATAATGTCGGCGTCCCCCCGATCGATGTAATGGATCTTCGCAAAGTCGCCTCGAGGCGACCAGTCGATCAGTTTTATCCGGTACCAGTGTCTGAAATCGCTTGTACATTTCAACTACATGTTTAGTGGAGAAAGAATTTTATTATTTATTTATTTAGTTATGGTTTAACCAATTTAGAAAAAGAATGACAGCAGTATAACAACCAGAATCAAACAAGAACAAAAAACTATAAACAGAATTAACTAGCAGCACTCAAACGTAACACATCAGAGCGAAATTAGCGGAGACGGCCGACAAAAGGATCAAGCGTTGAACAGTTGCAGGGGTGAATAAACTCCATAATTTGCACAATGGTAATGTGGAACTTTGAGTTATCTCAGCTTCTGTAATATGGTTGGAAGAGTATCAATATTGAAGGCCTTAGTTATAATACTGTAGTTGATCTGACACCCATTATAGATATTGATATGCCCCTTTGAAGCCAAAGATCTTAAAAATACTTTCTCGACGGCTTCGATGTTAGCTACATAGCACCATGGAGACCATACCACAGATGCATAAGTTGGTCACTATTGCGTACAACAAACCCAAGGAGTCGCACAGACCTGTTTACCACTTCCGCAAAATATGTCACAAACCTAAGTTTAGAATCCAAGAAAACACCCAAGTCTTTAATACTAGTGACCACACTCAACGAACGACTAAAGCTAATATTACAGCATTTTTTACATTGACGGCAAGACTATTAATATTAGACCACATGCAAAAACTGTCCACGTCCCTATGAAGCAGTAGAACATTCTTGCGCGATCCAACCCTCCCCAATATCTTCAAATTATCCGCAAACAAAAGACACTGCGATTCCGAAACTTCACTAACAATTTCATTTATAAAGAAGTTAAAAAGGATGGGTCCAGTGTGAGAATCTTGGGGGATTCCCGAAAAAATATTAATTTTACACGACACATTATTAATATGAACTAACTGAATATGACCAGACAGGAAGCATGCACTGAATCCACCGCACCAGCCCAGCCCCCAGGCCCATAGCTGTAAGCTTAGAGATAAGATGCACGCACATGACCTCCACTTGACCAAACCCCTCAGAGGCGAATAAAAATTATTGTTAGGTGAGTAAATTTGTTACGGTAGATCTACCCTGTACAAATTCATGCTGTTAATGAGTCAGAATTCCCCTGCAATGCTACGAAAGTCTCTCACAAAATAACTTATCTAGCAGTTTAGGAATCACCGACTGTATGCAAATGCCTCTCCTGTGAATCGCTGCCAAATAGCTAACTTCCCGAACGTTAGGAAAATTTTTTCATAACAATTAAGAATTATACGTTTACAAGTGGTATTTTGTAATTGGCTTGGTTTCGTTTCGATTATTACAGGTGACCAAACTAAAGGTGTGAAAAATGTTCAGCGGTGTTAGTTTTTATGTAACAACGGCTTGGGATTTCTTTGAACCCCGATAATCAGAAACGAGCTTTGAAGAGCAAACGGTTTTTGTGGCGTGTGGTTTATGGCAATTGACGCAAAAAAAAATCTTGGGATGAAATCCATTTTATCGTATCTAAATTGTAATTGTTTTGTAGAAGACGTGGCGTTATTACTGCAACGACCGACAATTCAAAAATTAAAAGCACTTCTCATTAAATTAACGACCCAAATAAATATTGTAGAAACCCAAGCCGCATCAATCGCGTTGCTTGCAATTGTAAAGCTAGTTTGAGGGAAATTCGAAAATTTATTGCTGCAGTTAAAAGCTATCAGGATAAAATATCTCTTAAGTGACATCCGCCAACTGAACAATTTGTGTTGTGTTTAAACCATTTTTAACCAATGGCAGCTCTAATGGCAAATTCTGACGTTGGACCCGTAAGACCTAGCTCCTTTCAACAAAAATATGTCGAAATCCTATTAAATTTTAAGGGAAAAAAGGAGTTAAGATGTGGAAAAGCAATGTAGAATTGCAACACCCGCGTCAGCGTTAGTATAATTCCGTAATTAATTTGGCGTTTTTGTTCTTTAAGTCTTGTACATACGATGCAATTTCTACATGTATTTTTTGATGTAAGCTATTTTTGATGATTTTATTTTGCTTGTAAATCGGCGCAAAGCATTAGATTTCATAAACTCATAGATTCAACCTATTTAAGATGCTAGATATCGAACAAGAAACATCTAAAAATTTAACTTAATTGTTTTCTTATATTTACACTAAAACCTATTTCAAAAAACATTCTTCGTAATTACTTAAGTGTACCTAAAAGTGTAGGGAATTCTGTTTAGTAATTTCTGTAAGTCTATTTTCCAGTTTGTTAAATATAAAATATATAGGAATCACTGTTTCTCTAAGATCCTAGATCCTATTAGGTCCTCATATTTGTCACATTTGCTGTAAGTTCGTAAAAGAACAAAGTATTTAAAGCACAAATTATAAAAGTTTGTTAGTACGGTACGGAGATATTGACACCCAAAATGAAAACAACAATGGCACAGGGCACTGAGTGTTTTGCGGAAATCATAATTACTAATCTCGACGTTGCAAATTATGTTCGGATTTCAAAGATCGATGTTGCGTTCTTATAAAAATTAATCAATTTTCCAGAAAAATTACGGCAATGTAGCAACTCAGACAGTTGGGGGGTGACGCATGCGCAAAAGATCCGATTACCGTAGTAGGGCCACTAGATTATCTGAAACTCATATGCAAATAATGCCATCATTCCCGACGAAGTAGTTTAACATTTCCTTCACCAGATGTCTCATTGAATTGCAGTGATTTTATTTGTATTTGTTTGCGTTTTTAAGAGATTTCTGCGTTAATTTGAATTGTATTGAAGCGTATTGGAAATTTTAAGGATAGCCTGCCTCCGCTCACTGCAAAATAAGTTAGATATGTAGAAAGAAAATCACTAGGAAATGACAAGCTTTGTTGGTCATCATTTAAAATTATAGCACTATTTTTTAAAATTTAAGATCAAACTCCCAAAAAATATATATTTTTTTAATTTAATTAGTTAATTCATTTAATATAAAATATTTTAGTTCTAAAAGTGTTTGAAGTTTTGTGCCGCGTAAAGTAATAAGCATTTCACGTAGACCTTGCGCCATAATACAAAAACTTAACTAAATTTGAAATAAACTAAATAATAATTTTCTGATTCTACCGATACCTATACCGTTGCGAGTGAAGAAATTAGTCTTTTTTTCTCTATTTGTTGGCTACTAACCAATCCTTCCTACTTTTATTACACCACATAAATAACACAATTATAAGAATGCAAGTGCTGGCGAAATCTTTCCATAGGCAAAAACACAACTGGCAACTTGTGCAACCACAGGTTTATTTCACAGTAGGTTTTGTATATTAATTTATTTGTGAGTCGATAATATAAACTTACCCATCGGACTTGGATCTCGCAAAATAAAGCTTATTATTGCTATTGATTTGAGTGACGGGTTCTAGCCTATCTCCAATTCGAGTGCTAATATCAGTTTCAAGGGCTTCCCTTATTTTGTTAAAATGTTCAAAGCCGTAATTTTGCGTTTGCACGTAAATTTCATCGTGGCTTTCAATGTGAGAGACGTACACTTCGGTTATCCCTTCCTAAAATATTAAAAGCGTCTGCCATCAAACAAACACAAAATTGTGTTAAAACCAAATCACCTTGTGAAGGACCGGCAAGGCAGATTCCATTGTCAGTTTCGGTATCAAATTTCCACTGATAAAATTACCAGTTTCAACTTCATACATTACCACAGGAATAACATTTTCTCTGTCTGCAAAAATAACGAACGCGTTTGGAAAATCACAAATATGTCGAAACACGTCTACTTATTTACCAGAACACGCCTCGGCTAGTTCTAAAATAACCTGCATGTTAACGAGATCGGCCAGAAGTTCGGAGTTTACAGAAATCTCGTATAATTCTTCTAACCCAGCTAGACGACATACAAAGGCCTAAAATGCGCGAAAAAGAAAAAACATTATTCCTTTAGCGAATAATATTTCACCGAGAGACTAGCACTTCCCTAGTTAATTAAAAGAATGAGCTCCCCACAATGATGCAATAGAAAATAATCAACGAAAGCAAGAAATAAAAATTAATTGGTAATTTTGTAAATAAAGTGAAACAAGTTAACGAGGCCTAAGAGATAGAATCAATATTTTTCCTATTGTAGGTTTCAGGTCCGTCACTGGACTTTCTTTTTTTTTTATTCACTAATTTTGGATGTTTCCTTTTTACTTTCTTTGTTAAGACTAAAAAAAATATTTTTATTAAGTAATTAAAATAATGTAACAATAGAGGTCTCGTAGGGACAAGTACTGCGGATGACACGGTGATATTGTATCGGGATACAATCGGAAAAAATCAAAGTGAAAACTATTAAATATTCGAAAATACGTTCAAAATTGACTATGGTCAGATAAGCTACTTTTTAACTCTAATAATACTAATGATTTGGCCTTTTCGCTGACTAATGCAAGCAGGGCACATTTCCCAAGCAAGAATGTGAATTGTGAATCTGTGAATGTGACTTTTACAACGTTAACATTGTTATAGAGTACTTAAGTTCTTAATAAAGTCTGCAAATCTTTGGTAGATCTATCGTAAGGTGTGTGGCAAGTTCGTATGACGATAAGATACCGTTTATATTAATTAAATTAAATTAAGTTAATCTTAATACAAAGATACATTATTACAAATATAAATAATCACTTCGCTCACTTCCTATTTTATTAAGCAGTTTGTCAGTACATTCATATCCATCCACATACTCATATCTATTTGGATCATGTCCACCAAACTAGAAATAAACAGGATAATAAAATGCATCCCTTTGCAGTTTGCAGGCTACTAAGATTCAAAAGGTTCATATATGTGTGTTAAAAATTGAAAACTATAATGAGAAAAGAAACGGCAAAGTCAATTCGAAAATATGTAGTAGGACTATTGCGGGTGCAGGTTTGTTTTTTGCAGTCATGTTCAAATATTGGGTCATTTTAGGCATATACACTGTAACAATGAGATCAAAAAATGAACACGTCCAACGGTGAAAAAAAGTGTACAAGTACTTTATACGTATTTGTCGAGTGAAAATGTAAGTAAATTATAGGATTTTTACCAACCTCTATTTTAGTGGTTTTGTTATAGCCACCCTGTGGGTAAAAACATCACTTTATTAATTTTAAAATTGGCGCCTTAGTAGGTTTTTGGGTTGGTATTGTCACTACCACCAAGTCTAATAATTATTGGTGCCATCCTTTATGATTAATATTAAGAAAATGCTGGGGATAAGCGATCTATTATCTGCCTATTCTGTAACTGGCACAAAAAAAATTTTACTAATCATAATTGCATATTTGATAAGATAGCGTTTTGTTAGTTAGTATTGCATTCAAATTTCGTTTGCTTTCGATGTAATGTTTTTTTTTATTTTTTAGTCTTCCTGATGAAGCCTGCAATTTTGGGAGAAAGCCTGAAGCAATTAAGAATAAATTACAGTTGTTACAGAAACACCTGAGATTCTTCAAACTCTATCCTTGAATAGTAAATTAGCGGTTACCTGCGCCTGCGTGGTCGCGTATTCCCTCTTCAACTCGAATATATCGGTCTTGTGGACCATCACCTCGTCCCCGTAGTCGATACAGAAACAGTTCACTTCGTTATCCGTCACGCTAACCGCTCTGACTCTGAAATAGCAACCGTCGACTTTCGCGACGTAATAACCCGACGCCACAATGTTGAAAGCCTTCAAATTGTCCTCGCGGCTGCTGTAGTACAGCTCCATGCGGCCCATCATCCCCAAATACTGCTCCTATATATCGGCAAGGTTTAAAAGAAAAGGAAACAAAAAAAAAACAAGGATAATACGTACGAATTCCTTGGTTTGAATTTGCTGACACCAAATCTCATTCGCCGACATTACGTAAGTGATCTGGCCGATCAACTTTCCGTCCTCGCCGAATTCTACCGTTTTCGACGGAACCGAAACGTTGTAAATGGTCATGCCGATGCCTCGTCTCTGTCCCTTCTGTAACGCCTATGTTTTTAGAGAAAAACCGAACCACCATTTAGCTGCATTAGTGCCAAGCGGGATGCAGATGAAAGATTAGGCGACGGCGAGATATTTCGTATACGAGGGTTGCTACCTATGTTTCTGGCCTATTTTAATGGTGATTCATGTCAGACGTCATTTGACGCTTCCAATCAAACATTCGACCTTTTTAACCGTAACCTTCTTCAGGAATTAACTGGTACTATTATTTTTCATAATTTTTTATAAGGATTATCAAAATAAGTGTGCACCGAACAATTGAATTCTTTACACACTGATAAAGCCATCCTATGGCACTGCAATTCAATATTGGTCGCACGAAGGACCCATAAAGTAAGATCGACATGTGACATATGTTGAGATAGAGGTATCTTTGAAGATTGTTTTTGCGTTGGATGACACATAATGACACATTTTGACAAACATACGGCCAAATGGCATTGCGTCAGAGGAATTATGCGTTATCCGCGATGCAGCACCGATTTTGGCGCCCAATCATTTTTATTCCCGCATATCAAAAATAAATTGTGTGGCCAACCCGAATGGAAAGTGCTTCGAAAATTGGTAAAAACACGTTATCATCGAGAATATTTTGCAAAACAGTAAAACCAATATCAGGCCACAAATATGAATAGTAACCCCCTGTAACATGCAGTACTAGTGACAGAAAAAGAGCAACATTCCGACTACATCTTCATTACCATTAATCAAATTTACTAACAAAAATTTAGGGATGTTCATATTTCTCATTTAAACACCAACAAGTGAAAAGCGAAGGTTGAGACGTCTCGCTGGGGCTGAGGTCCAGCCTACCTTGGCCAGAAATTATAAAGTACATTTGAACTACTCAAGTATCCGACAATGATGCTATAAATCAACATAAGCGTAAAATGATGGCTATAAGGGATGGACCAGCATTGGAAATAGAATTTTCACTGACTTGAAGTGTTTTAAAACAAATTACCAAAGTGAAATAGACGCCCAGCAGCATCACATAACTTTAACGATGGATAATTCCTGATTACGCAAAAAATGTACTATTAGGTGGAGTGAACAACCAAAACAAATACTGATGGGAGGCACATTAACATTCTTACTAACCAAAACATTTACTTAAAATGCAAATGAAAGAAACACACTTTTAAAAACGGCCTCAGAAATAGAGGGAAGTGAATTTTAAGATGCGGTTCCAGGTGGAATAAAGCCAGGTTATCTGGATACCTATTGAAAGAACCTGAAGAAAAAACAAACAAGGATAAACATTAAACTTTTGAAAATTTACAAATAAACAATGCGAAAAATGATGCGTGAGACCAACCTTTTTTGTTGCAGTAACCATGCAAGCCATGCGAACATCATTTCAAGTAAAATCTAGTCTAGATTAAGATATTTTTATTTATACAGTGGACTATGCCAAATCTAGCAACAGAAAGCTCGGGTGCAGTAACTTGATCCCCCAGTTAATATCAAACCTTATGCGGCAAACCCACTCCCCCATATGTGGTTATATTACAGCCAGAAACCTAAAAAATATATCGAAACCTTAAACGTCAGTTGCTTCGAATTTTAACTGAAGTTTAAGCTTTCATTCGGACTGTACGGGCTACTTACGACACCGGATTTGCAGTACTGCAGGATGTGGTCGTCTGAGACTGCCTCAATCTGTACCAACGGACTCGAGTCGACTATCTGCAACCAATCGTCTGGTAACTGCTCCTTATATCGATCGGCGTAGTCGAGCTTCAGTTGCTTCGCCCAGATGCCGTTATTGTGTTTCTCAAGAATAGGCGGTATCCGTTCCAGCACGTCCACCTCGCACGATATAAGCAACGACTTCCGCCTGTGATATTTAGGCAACAGGTCGCTCAGCGCTACTTCACAGCAAAAGTTCTTCGCGCCCTTTTCATTCGAAAAGTCCTTCGGATAACTGCTGTAAGTATGCTTTCCAATCTAAAATATCAAACGTTACGGCAAAGCCATACTCTGTGTCTTAATCCGAGAGAGTTATAAATCATTATTGAACTGTCAAGCTTAGTGGTCTTGGCTACATTCTATTAGTGTATGATTGGATCTATGATGATAGTGTTAAAAATTAGAATTAAAGTTCCTTTCCGGCAGTTGTTGTGAATGTTTGTTTCAGTATTTCTGAATTTGTTGCTAGTAAAACTGCGCTTTCAAAAAATGAGAAAATTATTTTGAATGTGTTCAAAGCTCTTCGCCCCCAAAAATCAACATTCGGAGTTGCAGAAATACAGTGGAGTTCGGATATAGTAAACCCGTTTATTGTGAACACTCGGTTATAATAAACACTTTTTGAAATATACTCAAAAAGTCTCATTAGAGAAACGTAAATTTTTACTGTTTATAGTGAACTGATACAGTGAACTAAATTTCGCCAAGATTAAGATACAGTTTTCGCTTTTAACGAACTTTTTCAGGGGTTACCCCGGTTATTCCCGGGAGAATAAAATGAACTTTTTCGGGGGTTCACCCGGTAATTCCCGGGAGAAAGGTTAAAATACATAGCATATTTGTTTTGTTATTGTTTTGTTTTGTGTTGTGATTTAGATTTCGTGGAGAATATTGATGACAGACCTTCAAGTTTCGTTCAAAAGAAAAGCATTAACTTTGAAAGAAAATTACGATGTTATACAAAAAATAAAAAGTGGTATGAAACAAAGTGCTATTTGTCGTGAAATGAATTTGCCTAAAGCAACCTGTCTCCATTATCTGTCACTAATTTGGAAATCAGTCATCCGAGACGGTGTTTATACCTCTCAGGAGCGCCCACCTCAAACAATATATAAGCAGGAACAGAGTAAAATACGAGTCAATTTCAGTCAAGCTCTGAAGAAGCCAACAGGATGATTGGCGAAACGCCAGCAACTTCGACTCAGCAAAAACCGAAGCAGGAAGAATCCAGAAGTTTTATAAAAAGTATAGCATTCTATCGTTCTAGGCTCGGAAAATCAGCTCATAAAGGCGTCAATAAGGGACTTTTACATTAGTTTACCCAGAAAAGAAAAGAAAATGTTCCCATAAGTGGTCCAGTTCTTCAGCAAAAAGCAAGTGAAATGGGAAGTAAAAAAGAAGAGATTTTGTGTGCTCCAGAAGTTGAACTGAGCGTTTTAAGAACAGAAATTGTATCTCTGGAGGAAAAACTGTTGGTGAGTCATCAGTTGATATGAATGTTGTTAATAACTGACTTACAACGGTTTGGCCTGATCTTTGCAAAAATTATGACATTGACAATATTTTTAACGCCGATGAAAACCGGCCTTTTCTACAAACTAACCCCTGATAAGACATTGAAATTCCAAGGAGAAAAGTGTGCACGTGGAAAATTGTCCAAGGTTCGGATAACAGTTCTGGTTACTGCAAACATTTCTGGGACAGACAAGAGAAAGCTGTTTGTTAACGCTGTTATCGTCGTGTTATGTTTTAAAAACCAGACACTACCAGTGAAGTACAGGTCAAACAACAAAGTATGGATGACATATGACTTACTTACAGAAGAGCTGCTCCAATGGGATACAGAATTGAAGAAGAAGAACAGAAAAATTATTCTTCTAGTATATCATTGTCCAACACATCCCAATGTTCCGCTGAACCAAATCAAACTGGTTTTTATGCCACCCAATACCAGTTCAAAACTGCAGTCCATGGATCAAGGCATAATCCATTTCCTGAAGTGTCACTATAGGAACATCTGTTGATAAAGATGATAGACGCAATTGATGATGGACAAGAGTGTTCAATGAGCTTATTGGATGCTGTAAATTTTATTTACCGTGCTTGGCAGGAAGTTAGCAAAAACACTATTGCAAACTGTTATAACGATGCAGGATTCTTTGAAGCAGAAGATGATTTTCACTCTGATGATGAACTGCCTCTAACCGAATGGCTAAAAAAACATTCAGGAGATCCCGAAAATACCGACACCCAGAAAGCCCTTGAAGCAGATATTAGGAATAAGACTGAACATTTCGACTTCGAAAGTTACGTTTCAATAGACGATCAAGTTATTTCCAACCGAATCTTTGACCGAAGACGAAATTATCCAGTTAGCGTCAAAAGGTATCTATAATATAAAATGTAACATTAAAATAATGACTCATTTACGTTTTTTTTTTCAAAAACAAATGCAGAATTGAGTGCAGATGAGCTGGACGAGAAGGTTATTGAGGAAGTGTAACTTTGAAAGCTATATAAGTAATATTAAATTTTCTAACAGACTCGTACAAACCAAAATATCCGACTTGTTTATTGATTGGTGTATACATGTCTTTTTTTTTAGTTTATTTTTTTTTGTCGGAAATAGGAATATCGATTATCTGAACGAACCTTGGGTAAATCAAGGATATATATTGGAATACTTTAAAAATGGAAAAATTTTAGATAGATATGCTGAAAAAACAGCTAATGCTGTAAGGGCGTCGAACATGTGATAGGATGCAAATTAGTCTGCCTATAATTTAGGAACGATTTGGGGTGTGTAGGTCTTCGGAATTTTTAAAATTTTTATCTCAATTTTATGATATAATCTTTAGGTTATTCACCTAATTGAATGATCTCTATCATTGCAAATTTACATGTGATAACTCTCTCGCATTAAGAGACAGAGCATAGAGAAAACAACGCGACCGACCTTAATTTTGCAACTGAACATAATCTGGTTTCCTTTGATTTTCACTTCTCGCACCTCGACCTCGCCTAATTGATATAACGCAGCGAACGCTTCGAGATCAGCAAACGGGTTATCTGTACGCACAAATTCTGGTACTTTGCATGGAGATGGTGGCGAAGTGTCACTGACAGGACTACTATTGCCACTATCCCTAAAAAGGCAACTACATATTCATATAAGAACAAAAATGTTGCGTAAGTAGTGAACTACCGACGACGCTAACAGCCTTTGGACGAAATGCCTGCAAAATAGGCATATTAGTAATATTTTATACCAAATTCATTTAAATGAACTATTATGATTGTAGTGGTTATAAAGTAATAATGAAAGCGACATTAAACTATAAAAGTGAGATAAATACGAAGCATTCTCTTTCTGCTTTTGTTATTGCCACAGCATTAAGCTTTTTTTCTCTTTCACCTTATCACGAAAGATTGGCCAGTATGCGTATAAAAAAGTGAAACTCGAAATGTCTAAGGGACGCCTTCCTAACGGTTAAGCTCATTTCTCACTTGGCAACTTTGGGAAAAAAAAACAAATTGCAGCAAGTTAAGCGACTTTAAATACGGCAAGTATTTTTCAAGAGGAGTCCAATGTTCATTCTTAGTTGCATTACGACGGGAGTGTTGAAAATAATCAGCAAATCAGAAAAATTCTGAACATAGTTCCATTCTAGTGACATTTCTGAACGTTGAACATCTGATAATTACTAAAGAATTTGGTCAGCAAGCAACACGACCTCTAGAAATGAGAGAGTGTAAACAATGGGTGAGTTACGATGAAAAGGAGGATAAAGGCCGGTCGCTTTTAAGGTTATATGTTTTCCGTGAGTTACTTTTATCGTTTAGAAAAATATGAACCAGAACACGAATTTCATACTGAAAAAGTAACAAATTGGAAGAAACAGTATTCGCGAAAATGTGTGCTTTTTTTTTGAGTGTTTGTTTATAGGATGATATTTACATAATCGTTTATTTGAGCGAGATAATATCTAAATATTTAAATCAAAGTCTGTGTATTTAATAATTATAAAGACTTGTCTTCCGTGAGTTATTATATTTTAGGCGGAAGTTTAGCAGAAAACCCGAGATCAAGAAATAAAAAGGGAAGAACCGTTTGTTCCTATACAAAACATGAAATAGTTTGCGAGAAGTATAGAGACCTTTACACTTTACGTACTGCAAGATGTAAAAAAAGGCTTAAGGGTCATTATCCCTCAAGATGTTGTTTATAACCAAGAATTCACATATCACAAAAAAATAATTAAAATTAAGAGCAATCTTGTAAAATATGTCGTCGAATCATTATCACAAAACCCTTAAGCGGCCTATACACATGCAGGCAAGTGCTAACACTTGCCTGTACAGGTCGAGACACGCGAGTAAGTGCGAATGTGTATAGATCAAAACTCAAGGCGCGTTCAGTTCCAAGCACGGCTCGAAGCGAATCGGATTGTGTCTGATTTTTACAGCAAGTGCGAAGGCCAACTTCATTTTTCGCACAGCAGCAGGCTCCACCAACTGGTGAACCTCGAGATTTGCCTGAAAAGTGTGGCCGCAATTCGTTTCGCCCTTGCTCGCGGGCTTGCCTGCATCATCAGTGTTAATTGAATAAGATAATTTCGCGAAACCAATGATGTAGCAAAGTGTATGGCGAGAGATATGCTAAGTATGTTTATGTTAGCAATAAGGGTTTCTGAGACTATAAAAACAATTGGAGGGCAGTGGGCAGCGGCACGCTACCTGAATAGAACCTTTAATAAATTTTACTTAAAAACTTGAAACTATCCCTGGTTCATAAATAATAAAAAAAATATATCGGGTTAACCTTTCAATTTTACTTGATACTTTTGGATTACTTGTTTATGTTTAGTCTGGGAATCTAAAAATCAAACAACACTGTCTGTATTTTGGTCAGTATATTATTTTAATATAAATTATTTAAAGGGTAAGGACCAGCGCCATTTGTATATCACTTAATATCCCAGTCAATTGAGATAATTATTTTCTTTTGTGCATTGTCATGGAAGAGGAAACTTGCATATGTTAGTAGTAGTACTTAAATGTGAGACCATTTGTTTTTTTTTCTGAAAATTTTATTTGCACAAGTAATCAATAACTGAAAGTTTACCAGGGCGAGAAAATAAAAAATAGCAAACATATATTACAAATATACAAAGGGTAGACGCATTTATAATCAGAATAACTAACTTTATGAATCACATACCTTCCCAAAGTTATTTCTGACATCATCCTACTGATTCTTTGCCTCGCAGAACCCACTTGCTGGGATGATTCTTCAAATGTGGGTGTAGTTGGAACGCTAGGTATACCGTCGCTCACTGACTGTTTTCTTTGCTGATTACTGTTTTTCTCGGAATCATTAGAAGTGTGAACATCTTTAACTTTGGATACGCCCAACCTACCCTGGATATCTTTTTTAGCTCCCTGTTGTTTACTATCTCTATCGAACGAGGTGTAAATTGGAGTATTAATTTGAATATTAAGGGAAGAATAATCAGGTATCACCACCTAGAAAAACTGTCTTTCATCCCGATGACCCCAAAATAATACCCTTTTACCTTTGACTCTACCGAATTCGACTTATTAAAGCTATGATTAATAAATTGGGAATGCGCTACGCTTCGCGGCCTTGCAGGCTCTTTGTAATTGTTCCACAAACCTGCGTTAGATTTCGGCCGCCAGTTGCTTGTTGGGTGACGGCCATTTGCAAATCTCGGCGCTTGCTGTTGAGGTAAGTGAAAGCGAACTCTATGTGTCGGCCTAAAATTGCAACCTGTCAACATCTAAGCATCTAACACAATGTAAGACGCACAGTCTTCTTTTGCTACTAGTTTTCTGCTTCGACACCAATTTGATGATGTGAGATGATTTCTTATCAGGTACAGCACAGACAAAATACTCCGTCCCTCTTTTTGTAAGTTCCAATTCATTAGAAGATTGAATAAAATCTTCTAATTTCTTAAAACCTAATTTCTGGTATGGTATTCTCTCTCCAATCAATGTGTAATAGTCATCTATAAACATCGATATTGTTAATTAACTTTTTATCATTTTACATAACGAGGTTAAGTTTTAAAATGAAAGTGTTTTTTTGAACACCTGATAAGTGAATTGAGTGAGTGTGAGATGAAAATATGTGCTTTCTTTTGAGTGTTTTTTATAGGTAAACACTTGGCTGGGAAAATTTAAGGCGAATAAGAATGAACCAATAGTGCAAATTTTCTCATTCCCACAAGCAGAGGACTTGCGGAAAAAATGTATTCAAGCAATCAAAAGAGAAGATTCATTTATTCTAACAAAAAACACAAAGTTGAGTCTTACTGACATAGTTTTCTATAAAGAGAAAGAATCAAAAGTATTGAAAGGGTTACATTACAACAACATTACAATATCTACTGCAGGAGCAGTACCCTCTGTTTTACTGTAGACTGCGATTATTTAGTTAAGCTTTTATAAGCCGACTTGTAATATTCTGCTAAAAAATAAGATTAAAAATATGATGATTTAAAAAGGTAGGGAAATGCTTCTTCCAGTGCTTCTTAAAATTTCATTTGAAATTACTTAATCCTAATAAAATAATTTTGATTTTAAAAATAGGTACTAAAATATGTTCATCAGATGAATCAGTTAAATACAAATAAAATAAACTATTCTACATATTTCATATATTAAACGTTAAAATAATTTTATCCCCTTTCTCCTATATTTTATATTAACAAGGCCGTACAACCAAGTATATCCCTTCCTTAATGTGATGACTCATACCGTACCGTTTCATAGCTTTGTGATGTGGGAGGTGTTAGTAAGAGTCATGTTAGTACCATACTCACTGTTCAACTGTTTCAATGAGACCATCTCTTTTGTTGAAATAAGACATCCTCTGATGCACTTGATAACTTCTTCTCGGAATGTATCCATTGTGGATGTCAGGTAGGTATAGGGAACACCGTCAATTCTTCTAAATCTAGCGAGAAATCTAAAAAACTATATACTCGGTATCTTAAACAGCATAGAACTTGGCAGATATAAAAAAAATTAAATAAAAATTAAGATTTTTTAAAATCCCGCAAGTATAATTTATTGTATTCCCATAAAAATGACAACCTGGTAGCACTTAAGAGTTTCGGAGATAGTAATAAGTAGTACGAAATTTTTTATTCAGGAATCCGGTAAGAAAAAAGAAAGAAAACAAAATTTAGGGCTACCCTAAGACAATGAATGAATATTTAAAAAGTTGGATCTATTGTTAACTTAATCAGGATCTGTGAAAAAAATGCTGCTAGTCTGCCATTTAGCGATATTATAAATAGTGCACCTAGAACACTTTGTACCTATGTGATTACTATGTTGATAGACTTAACATCTATTACAATGAGGTTAATTTAAAAAAAAAAGTTAAATCTCAGTTTAAAAACACAATAACTTTGCAATTCTAATTATAAAATGATATCAGCTTTAAGTAATTCCCAAACCCAATATGAGCTTCAAGTGTCGACAAGTTCAATATGACAACTAATAACTAGAGATAAAAACTATCATAGACGATCCACACCCTTTACCATTTTTTTTGCGACAACGAATATTATACTTATTTGCAAAACGGTTTCATCTCCCATTCATACACCAAATTAAAATTCTCTTTTGCAATCATGATCTAATTGCATACGAGATGTGATAAATTAGACAAAAAATCTGCCACCACCACTGTCTTGTTACTGCTTCAAAGCGGATAAGGATGCAACAAATTTACAATCGGTGAAAGTACAATCCCCGATATTCGATTTGAAAAAAAAATCAACTCACGATTAATGACCGCAAAAGAATTCGAAGTCCTACAATGCAGCGGATGTTTATAATCGGACGTGCAGTTTTTGCGCTGCTTTTTGCCAAATATTTTCCACTAACCTACATTAAGGTACATTGTATTATTAAAGGCACAAGTGAAAACATCTGATTTGTGATTAAAGTTACCGAAAATAATCTTCTATTTACTCTCTGGTAGATTGTCGACAAATAATAGATGTAGTTCATTGATTTTGCCCGCCAACAACAAAATTTGGAACACTTATCACAGTTAGCTATCACCACACTAAATTCGAAAATCGACTGAAGTTGACGACTGAACGAGTAATAATAATAAATCGTGGTGGGAAAACAACGGACTCAAAGAATAAAAACCATAGATAAGTAATTAATATAAGAATATTACAAAATTCTTCCTTTACATGTAAATATTTTTGATTGTAGTAATTGCAACATGTCTAATACCAAATTGCAAAGAATTAAGGGGGTAAATAAATTTACCAACTACTGATACCTGAATTCATAAACTTCGGTTGACCCTCTATAAAAAATGTAAATAAAGTCGTAATCACGAGAAATGACTATAAAAAATGTAAATATAGGTACATACTTAGTATACAACATTCTATGTAACGAAAAAAAAAACTTTTTAAAGCTTAGAGAATATCGGGCCGGGCAAAGAAAAATAAAACAGAAAAACGATTGAAGAAGCAGTTCTAGAACTTTGAGCTAAGGAAATCTGTGGTTTTTGGCTAATTTTTTAGAAAAAGTCTGTAGAATGGCTTATTAGAAAATTAAATATTAAGTAGGTATTATTCTGTAAGTGAAACCGGCTAAATTGCACAATAACAATTAGACCTCGGCAGAATGTTCATTGCCTCAGCCGCTTCAATGGTGAATACTGTAGATTTAGGTATTATGCATTAAATAGCTCGACATTTTCTATCACAACCAAAGGAAGGAACTATACGTTCCTACTTATCGATTCGAGTTTGTGGATAAATCGAAGATCGAAGAGGTTAAATGATCGCCATAGGAATACTGTCGTGAGCACACGACAGTTTAACATCCGCAAGCTCGGTAATAGGCGAGAGTTGCCTGGCCTAAATTGTTAAAATGGAAGAAGAACAACGACCGTGCATTAATTACCAGTTTGTACCTGTTTGCCACAGCTAATAAGGTTATTTGATAACACAAAATGGTGATAATCTTAATTATCAATTCAATTTTATCCTTAAATTCTTCTTGTTTATGCAATATCAAAATTCCAAATATCAAATCCAATTAGTATTCAGTGCCACTGAAGTTTATTTGGTGTTGTGATCTGTGCTTTGAAATTTTAAAACGAAGGAAGGGAATCAAACGTGATTTCAGCAGTAGAAATATGGTTAATCAAGATAATAAACCCGGAAATACTGTTTTAGACAGTTTTTCAAAATTGACGAACTCTCATGAGAGCGTCAGAATTAAAAGTGCGACAGATCTCCTGAAGCATTTGACGGAAAACGGGGAAGACGCAAAGGTGAGGTTATGTTTATGCGTTTTCTTATAAATTGCATATTTTTTGTCAATTTTAGGATGGCAGGGAGATAAATTATGCATTAAAACGTCTCATTAGAGGTTTAGGAGCCTCAACCTCGACTGCTCGTATAGGCTACTTTACAACGTTAACTGTTTGGTTAAATTTATTGGACAATGTAGACATTCAGACCATTTTGCAATTTGTGGAATCTGAACTGCACAAGTCCGGTAAAAATAGCGATTCGGAGAACGCGGATATTTGTATCGGCCAGATTCTAACATGCGGGGCTTTGATCAGGTCTAATTTGTGGTATAATTTCAACAATGACAACAGAAGAAAGGTTATTGATACTTTTGTTGGTGTTAGCAAAGAAAGGAGCTATCTAGGCATCGTCGGTTTCTCCTTTTTGGTTCAGTTGCTTGATCAGGTATCTTGAACCCAGTGGGTTAGAATTCAATCATTAACCCAAAGTTTTAGTTGAATGAAAATGAAGTTGAGAAAACCATTATGCCACTAGTTAAATCAGAGATTGAGAAACCATGGTCAGAACAGACCACAGATACTCTATATCTTCTTTTAAAGTTGCAAGAGAAATGTCCTAGGCTTGGAAATAAAAAAATGTTCAGAAATACTTTGGGAAGTCCGGAATTTGTTTGCGAAGAAAGTATAGAACCTTTATGTAATATATTAATGGTAAGTGAAAATTAAATTACTAAATTACTATAATGATTATGATATTTTTTTAGAAAATTCCTAGAGTAACATCTATAGAGCATCCTATTTATAATGAAATTGTTAAAAAAGTCCCACCTAATAAGATTCAAATCTTCTTTGAGGAACTGGACAAGCATCTGAAAACTCCAAATAGGAATAAGCTTTTAATTTTTATTAAAATCCTTTCCAACATGTGCACCTACATTTCAAGTCAAGATGTGGAACATTTCAAGCAAATTCCTGAAATATTTACACAAAACTTTATAAAACAAATGTTAGCATATTTCAAATTGCTATCTGGTCCAAAGAGAGACAAACAATTTTGCGATTCAGTTCACAGATTGTTTGAGGTCCTTCTTAATACCTTGAAGGTGGATAAAGTGGAGGCTAAAACGAAAATTGCTGTGTTAAAAAAGTTTCTTTTTAAACCAGGCACATTTATTTTTGAGAAACGTACCAAGAGCAAAATTGTGCAGCAAATAACAGCAACTTTAGATCAAGAGGGAGTGAAAAGTCTAGCATTAATGTATCGGGCAGTTATAGAAGGCAAAGAAAGACTAGATAGTGATGAACTCTGGCTTAATATGGATAGGCTGTATAGTGCTCACTTATTTATAAAACTTCTAAATCATCATAGCATGAAAATTGAGAATGATTGGAAGGTTGAACAACTTAGTTTTCTTATGACAGTTTCTTTATTTAGGGACATTAACGGCATTAGTATTGGACGGGAGCTTGCCGGTAAGTGTCATTTTCCATATAATACCAGGCTTAATTTTTTTTTTCCATCTGAGATAAAATTGACTAACTGATTTTAAAAGTTCTGTTTTTTTTCCAGATTCATTGAAGAATGCATTCTTTGGGGCATTGGACTTAAAACTGCCCAAATTAGAAGATTTGCAAGACATTTTATTTCATTTAAATGAAAATTTGAATTCAAAACTCAATCCAGAAAATTTATCAACTGATCTGCGGTCACCCATAACTCTTCAACACTTTGAACTCTGGCAGAAAACACTAGCAATTATTCATAAGTTGGAAAAAAAGAAGAAGAAGGGACTGAAGTCTGTGTTCCTAACATTATTTTTGCACATGAACTTGCAGCTATTCAATGATGTTGAACTTGCCACTGACTCTCTAAATGAACTCCACAGCTGTTACAAACGTCTCAAGGCAGATAAGCTAAACAAAACCACTGAAGAGGACGGACAGGATCCTTTGTGGATAGAGGTGGTTGTGGATTTGTTCTTGAATCTGCTTTCTCACAATTCGCACCTATTGAGAAACTTAATTAAATGTGTTTTTCCTCATTTGTGTGAATATATGACGTCGACCACAATTCACCAGGTTGTGTCAGTTTTGGACCCCAAAAATGAAGATCCCCTCTCAAAGAATTACAATGACTCGGACTCCGAAGATGAGGATGGAGATACAGACCACAGTGGGATAGAGTCTGATGGAGGAGAAGAAGAAGAGGCAGAAGACGATATTGCAGAAGTAACATCAAATGAAAAATTAAGAATGGCTTTGCATCAGGCTTTGTCTGAAGGCAAGCAATCTGATGATGAAAGTGTGGATTTAGATGAAATTACTGATGAACAAGGAGAAAAACTTGACCAGGCTTTAGCAAATGTGTTTAAACAGTTCAAACCCAACCATGGGCGAAGGAAGAAGCAGACCAAAGATGAAGAATCTTTGACCCATTTTAGGGTCAGAGTTTTAGATTTGGTGGAGATATATCTAGAATCTAACCCTCCTATGCTCCTAACTTTGCAAATCATGCTCCCACTATTGCAAGCAGTGGAGTTTAGTATTCGGAACAATCACCAGACACCATTAAAGGATAGACTAAATGCTGTTTTGAAGAAACTAGTTGGATTAAAGAAGTTTTCTAACACAGAAGGAGTTACAGGCCAGATTTTGTTGGATCTGTTGAAAAGTTTGTTAGAAAAAGGCACTAAGAATGTCATCATTATACAAGATATGGGTGAGCAAATATCAGATTGCTGTGTGTTTGTAGTTAAGTGTGCTGAAGTGTTAAGAAACACAGAAGGAGTGCCAAAAAAAGTAAAGAAACTCATAAAAAGAGATATTTTGGAGGTACTAAGTGGGGAGTTGCACAATTTTTTTACAAGACGAGATTGTTTGACTCCCTATGTGTTATTTAAGTCTTTGTTACAGCTGTGTTGGGTGGGAAATGTGGGGTTGGTATCAATTTTATTTCAATTTTTGTTTAGCGAAGAGGTTAAGCAGTTTAAGAAAACCCAGGCCGCAGAATTAATTAAGATTTTTTATAGCAACAATCGCTTTTTGAAAGAAAATGCGGAAAAAATTCAGAATCAGTTATGTGAAGATCATAATACATTTTCTCAGAAAATAACAGAATACTTTAGAGATTTATGTGATAATTCTGAAAAAAAACAAGTTAAAGAACGCTTCATTTATAATTTATTTCATTTAATGAATGCTATGAAACAGTGCCCACTAAACATAGGCATTGAATGGGACAGTATAGCACAAGTAATTCGCGAGTATAGGAGCTACAAAACATTTTCTAAGGATGCGAAGTCCGCATTTAACAAATTATGTTCGAGTTTGCATGTCTCAAAGGTTGTCAAAATGAAAAACAAACCCATCACAGTGCCAGAGATGGATATTAGTAAAGAAAACGAAATTATGAAAATTGAAAAGAAAAAACAGAAGAAAGCAAACAAAGAGAAATTGAAGTTGAAAAAGGAAGCCAAGATGTTTAGGTTGGAAAGTTTGTCACATGGATTGACAAGTTCCGTAAACTTCAGTGAAGCACAAGAAGTGGATAGAGATTCTGACAGTGAGCATCAGTTAGAATTGAAAAAGAAAAAGAGAAAAAACAAAATTGTAAAAGAAGATAATAGTATTCTAATAAAAATGACAAATGGTGCGGGTTCGGATATAGAAACTATTCCAAATAAGAAACAAAAAGTCAGACATTAGTTTATTTATAAATCGTTTTTTAAATAAATACATTATAAGTAGAACTGTTAGATAACTGCTAATTTTGCGAACCCCAGAGAGCTATGTAAACATTAACCTACCATTCGTCACTCCGATGTCCATTCGGGATTCCTTCGTTTCTGTGGTTTTGATAAATGCAGATAATATGGAGGCGCTAAATAAGTGCAGTTACTCGCGCCTAATTAATTTTATGTCGTCATATCAATTTTTTTTCCCTTAATATTAACACAACCCAAAAAGAAAACGTCGGTATACAAGAGAAAGTGACCAAGTCCAAAATTCACGATTTTTGGGTTATAATGCTCATGTACCTGAAATTCAATATTATTTTTAATGAAAAAATGAACAAGTCCAAAAATGCCATAATAATGCTTATAACTTCAAATTCCATAATGACCAAGTCCATTGTGTAAAAACATATACAGGAGAAAATGACTAAGTGGACTTGGTCATCTTTTCCTGTTAATATTTTTATCTCTCTAGGACGTGACTCTTGAGTAATGCTCGAGTGTTGTCAAATTCATTGACGTTTTCAGTTTAAATAGTTTATGATAATATTACTTAAAGTAAAATACAATTGTGTTGTAGGTTTTTAGACAACATCTTTGGTAAGTACCTACGCGTATTATAATAATTTAGGTTTTCGTATATTTAATTGTAAAAAATAGTAGGCTAATGCAATAATACTTTTAGTGACAAAATGAGTTGTTTGAACAATTATTATAACAACGTACAAGAGATTATTAATGATCTTATGGATGTTCCGGTAGAATTTGCTACTAATTCTCGTAATACAACCCCTAACACTTCAATAATAAATGAACCACTATTAAATCCTACACAAGTTACAGAAAAACAGATGGGTAATCAAAAACCTCAAGGAACAAAACGTGAGCAAAACAAATTATTAAGAAAATCCTGGTTTATCGTATATTAATACTAAAGGCAAACAAATGTCTGCTAAGTACCCTAGAAATGTAAATTGTGACAATTGCCGGTATAAATGTGCATAAGTATTTCCTGCAGATCTTCGACCAGATATCTGTAAAGAGTATCACAGTCTATCCTATGACAGACAAAAGGACTTCATAATTAATACTCTATTATCTTCATTCGGGTTTAAAGGCCGTCGTCGATTGGAATTACTTCCTAACGTTTCGCTAGCACGAGTGGCGAGCTTCTTCAGAGGTCCTTCCATCTCCGATGTTGGACGTAGACTGACGATTTCTCCTGCGCAGGTTGTATTTATGCCGATTGGTGGAGGGCGGGGCTTGTTCCGCTTCGGTTGGTCTCGGGATATCGATCGGTACTGCTCGGGCGTTCCTAAGGATCGGGTTCCAGATTTGGTTGAGTCTAAGGGTCTCCTCCTTTCGGTTGAAATTGTGAGGGTGTTTTTAAATCTCAATGGCTTCCCTGACTAGTCTGTTGTGATAGCCGTTGACCGATGCTAGTAACTTACAGCTCTCAAAGTGTATCCTGTGTTCCCCGCTGCCCAGTGCGTGTTCAGCCACTGCAGACTTCTCTGTATGTCCTAGCCTGCAGCTTGCTTTATGCTCCTTAAGTCTCGTTCCCATTGATCTCTTGGTAGTTCCGATGTAGACCTTTCCGCATGAACACGGAATGCGTTAGACTCCCGCAGCTGAAAGTGAGCCCCTCTTGTCCTTCGCTGACCTGATGGTCTGCTGGATCTTCTTTGTAGGCTTAAAGATTGTTTTGATGTCGTATCTTATGTTATCCCAAGCAGGTCAATAATCGCAAAATGATATGCAAGATTAGCTGCAGAACTTTCCCACCACACATGGAACTTTCCTGATAACGACGTTAATGATGCGTGAACATATTTTCTGTCTACTCTGGCACAAGGCACAAGCTCCAAAACTCATTTTGTTAAGTTCAATTCTGAGAAACCTTGTTTAACTGGACATCTGTTCAAATAAATAACACATAAGAGAGCTCTGTGGCGTAGATTTAAGACCTCTGGCTCTGCTTCCGATTATGCTTTGCATAGAAGAGTTTCTAATAGTTTATCCTTAGAGATTAGAGAGGCGAAGTCATCATTCGAAAATGACCTTCTCAATCAGCCCAAAGCGTTTTATTCTTATGTCAGACAACACGTATCGTCTAAGGTATCCCTTCCTGTCATTAGAGATACCTCGGGAGAGGTCTCCTATAACCAGGACTTCATTTCAAATGAATTTGCCTCATATTTTGCTAGTGTCTTTGCTGATGAACCAGCTATTCTACCGTCTCACTACGAGGGTCCCATAAATTCAGATTTATTAGAACACATTCACTTTGACCAAGAGGACGTGAAGAAAACTCTTTCGGAGTTAAAAGAATATTCTGCTCCCGGACCTGATGGAATTTCCAGCAAAATCTTAAAAGCGTGTGCTTGCAGAGCCTATTTATATTATTTTGAGAAATTCTTTGGACTCTGCCACACTCCCACCCCACTGGTTATCTGCAAATGTAACACCGATTTATAAAAAGGATGATAAGCTCGATGTTTCAAATTACCGCCCTATCAGCCTAGTGTGTATTATATGTAAGGTTCTTGAACGCCTTAAATCAGCTGCTACCGTTTTTGATCGACTGCCATATTATACCTACATCGCAGCATGGCTTTGTTCCCGCCAGATCTGTCATATCAAATACATTGACGTGCTTGAATCACTGGACATCATCTCTTGACTCAGGTGATCTGGTGGATATTATTTACCTCGATTTCAGCAAAGCCTTCGACAAAGTGCCACATCGACGCTTGTTATTCAAACTTGAAAAGGTTGGAGTGGGGGTAAACTGTTAGAGTGGATAGCGGCGTTCTTAAGCCACCGGTCATTCATAGTTCGAATTGGTAACGCTTTTTCACTGCCACAAAACGTGCCTAGTGGTGTTCCCCAGGGATTGGTGCTGGGGCCAGTGCTATTCTTAGTGTACACCATGGATTTGCTCTCCAGCATTGATTCTCATGTGAGCGCTTATGCTGATGACACTAAATTAATTGGAAATCCTTCAACACATGCGAACGTATTGCAGAGAGACTTGAATATTATTTCCAAGTGGTGTTTAACTTGGCTATTGCCGCTGAATGCTCAAAAGTGCTCTGTGATGCATGTTGGCAAGAACAATCCCGGTTTGAATTATTATATCGATGGAAAGTTTGTGTCAATTGTCGATTCTCAGATGGACCTAGGTGTGACAGTAACTAACGATCTTGCGTGGTCTGCACATGTATCAAATATTGCAAAGAAAGCAAACTGCGCTTTATTTTTGTTAAAAAAAGACTTTTAAAAATCCTAGTCCTCGCATCGCTTGCAGGCTTTTCACCACTTACATTCGCCCCATCCTGGAATTTGCTTCCCCAGTCTGGAACCCATGGCTATTGCGTGACTATGATGTTCTGGAAAAAGTGCAACGAGCCGCTACGCGCTGGCCACTTCAGCTTAGACATACACCTTACGACGACCGTCTAAAAATACTTAGTGTGCGTCAGCGTCGGCTGCGAGAGGACCTGATTCAAATGTATAGGTTTGCGCATGACCAATTTCCATCTGACGTGCCCCTTGTGGTCTTAAGCAATGATGAACGCCTACGTGGTCATCCATTTAAAATAAGGAAGGCACAATTCAGGACTTCACGTCGCCTGCATTTTATAAGTAAGAGGACTTTCAATTATTGGAACAGTTTACCTCCAGAAGTTGTGTGTGCGCAGAACTTGTCTGTATTTAAACGTCGCTTGGACAGTGTGTTGTTTCACAGCAATAACTAAATGTTTATTATATGTGTTGTGTTACTAACTATCAATGTGCATAATAGGTTTTCCTCTGCACTTTATTCTTAGTAATAATAATAATAATTCATAACGAAACATTTGTATCAGTAAGTTTTGATTTACAGAGTGTCCTGCAAATTCCATGCTCCGAGGTATCACCTCTTTACTATAGTCGAAAGCTCTGTGCATACAATTTAACAATTTATGAAGCAGCTCTACCAAATAAAGGATATTATTATCTTTGGTCCGAAGTAGATGGCCAATGAGGAAGTTGTTAAATCGGTGCAGCTTTGTTGAAGTGGTTTAAAACTTCACCTGATAATGTCAAAGAAGTGTCACTCTTTAGCGACACGTGTGGTGGACAAAACCGAAACAAATACATTGCGGCTTTTTTGTTGTTTATAGTCAATCAGTTACCTATAGAGATTATTACTCATAACTTTTTAGAAAAAGGTCACTCTCACATGGAGGCTGATTTGATGCATAGATGCAATTGAAAGTGCAAAAAGATACATTCCGGTATTTTGTCTTAATGATTGGAAGACAATTATGACACTAGCAAGATCCAAGAGAGGCAAAAATTAAGCTTCTGGTGTCTACATTGCAGAGCGACATTATTGACTTGAAAGAACTCAGTACATCTATACTACAAAATACAATTTGAGATGAAGGGGGAGCAAAAATAGAATGGTTAAAGATCAAATAATTAAGGTACAAAAAAGAGAAAAAAAAATATAATGTTCCCATACAACTATGACGAGAAGTCTAAAATGTTTAATGTTAAAGGCAAAGTAATATTGCAAAAGAAAATGAGTTAAAGAAATACTGAACCCTTGCCTATATCGGGCAAGAAGAAAAAAGACTTAATTAAACTTTGCCGCAAGGAGGTAATCCCAGTCGAATACCAAGGTTGGTACTTTAACATACCGAGTGACAATTCGTTGACAGACAGGTGTCCAGAACCCTCAGGCAATGAAGATGTGATGAAAACATATGAAGTTGCAACTAGTTACTACTATTTGTTTAATCATAGTCTTTTTTAAGCTTAAATACATATTCTAGAACCTGCATGGTCATCATTATAAACTAATCTGACGCAAAATAATTGATTTTATAATCAGAAGCAAAGATTAAAATGCTAATAACTCAAAAGTACTGTGGACTTAGTCACTTTCTCTTGTATACCGACGAAAAATAGTCTGACTTTTCTGCTACGCAATATTTTGTATTGCTTTTTTGCGCGAATCCTGCCCACTACCGCAGTAAAAAATTCGGGCTTTTGTTTTCAAAATGCAATAAATATTATGTTATTTTAATATAGTCAAATGAGAATTATTTTTATCTTAACTTTCACCATAGGGTTGGTTTTTAACATTTTCTTACATTAAACAAGTACAAATGGATTGCTCAGGTCTTTTGAAGAGTCGGTGCTTACCAAAATCCTATTAATATCGGAAATGGGCAATTTCATGAACCTTGTAATATATCTAGTTGGCCGATGGTTTATAGCAAATTTGCCCAGCAATATTAAATAAGACATTACTAGTTAACCTTAAAAGTTATTGTTGAATGTCCGATCGAAAATGAGCGATAAAGTAGTTAAAATTTTAAATAAACGCACAGATTTTCTAACATTGTTAAATCAAGATATTTCCAAGAACGAGAAGATATGCGAAGAAACTAACAAAGAGTTGACAGATCTCAAGCAAACTAATGAAAACTTAAACGAGTTGGGCAAATATCCTGAACACACAGCTTTAATACCCTTGTGCAAGAAACTTTATGTGCCTGGTAGGATAGTTCACACAGGAGAATATTTAGTAACCTACAACGCTTATCCTCATTCCTTTGGCGTATTAAAAACTCTAAATCAAACATTAAGTTCCTTAAACACAAAAATCGAGACTCAGCAAAATTTATTAGAAAAGTTTGAAAATGCAAAATATCAATTGACTGAAAGGAAGAAAGTGTTGTTCGGTGACGGTGGCGAAATTGAAAACAATAATAGTGATAATTTACCTAAAGAAATCAAATCAGACAAAGGAGTTGCCTTGAAGGTTGGTGAATTTTATGAAATTTTGGAATATGAAGAATAACAAAGAGTTAGATGAAAAATAAAACAAGTTTGGCAAAATTTAATTTTGATTGGACGGAATTGTTTACAACTCAGTATAAAAATCTTAACATTAAAATAAAAAATAGTCATTTTACACTCTCAACTCTTAAGACACTACTATTAATCATGTACTAAATATACCTTAGTGTAGCCGTAAATGGTGATTGAAAAACCAAACAGAACAGAACAAGTTGAGTTATTTGGAATCTAAATAAAATTTTACAATAATAGATTTTTAGTTACATAGCAATTATAAAACCTGGCAGAAATATAAGACATATGATATGTTTTGTTTGGTTTCCTATTAAGGCAAATTATGATATTTCTGTAACAACCGACATAGGTCTAGAAGGTCCTGCTTCTGCAGTTGTAGCATCGGAATATTGAATTTCGCTTAAGCTAGACAGATCTGTATGCTTACTAATGCTAGTTGGAAACACAGTACTCATGGGCATAATGTCAGTAATAAAAGATGAAGACTGAGATGGTCCTCCGAGAGTTTCAGTTGTTGGTGATTCAATGTTTGTGGTTGTGGTGGTTAAACTGGCATCGTCGAGACAGTGCTGTGTGGAGTTGTTGGACGGGATCCCGCCAATGATGGAACTGTGGAGGCATTTAATGACTGCATGGTGCCCATCTGTGAGAACATAATTTTGTAAACAACAAACAAAAACTGGTTTTGAAAAGCTCATGCAATAAATGTGTTAATTCTAAGCAAACACAAGTCCAATTTCTAATTCACACGGTGAGAGAGCAGAAAAATCCTCTTACCTGGTTCATTTTTTTCAAATGTCTAATGAGCATTGCAATTTAAAAAATAAGTACATATTAAAAATGTTGGTTAAGCACTAAAGGTATAAGCTAAAAAAAATTATATCATGCCTAAAACTATCCGTATTTCTAAAACCTGAGGAACTATTTGGCTGATACAAGTTGATACATACACTTTTGCATTTCCTTGGGAAATTGTGAGTTCAAATACATGAACACAGAATATTAATAATGTTTAATTTTAACTGCTCCACATGATAAAAACAAATACTAGAATAGAAAAAACTCACCCTTAAATGAGCCAAATCTTCCAATTTAGTTAGGTCACTCAGTTCAATGTAGAGGGAATACACCAAAACCCATCCATAAAAGGACAGTATTATAAAGATACTCCACAGAAGGCACATTATGATGTTGTAAGCGAAAATCATGTCATTTACAATTGAAAAAAATAAAAACGCTAAAAATCTAAACAGTGTGAACACTGCAAACGTGTAAATCCATGCCAGCATCTTTTTTTCGTATTCCTGCAAAAAATTAAATCTAAATACCAATTTTATTTGCATAAAAGATTGTGTACCTTTCTTAACGAAATAATCAAGATTATACTTGTCACAAACACTCCAATTGCTAGTAACACAGAAAAAACTGCAAACATAACAAGTGTGTTTCTAACTAAAATTACAATCAAATGTTACAGATTACATTCATCAGTAACTTTCAATACAATTACCATGTCGCGATCCAACATACACAAATTGATATGAAATAACGTAATAGCCGTAATGAGTTGACCCGGGGGCCGCCATCACATAGCAGTACAAGTCAAATATACCTGAGATCACAGTAAATATTGATAACAACTGAAAAGAGGAACTTTGTGTCATAAGGTTTAAAAAGTCTTTTCTTACTTTTACCAAAGAGAACACAGCAGTTATCATGGACGCTCGTTGCACATCTAAGAAAATAGCGTCTTGAACCAATGGTTTTTTATACCAGGGAGTCCTGAGGGATTTTAAACTTCTGGTGCTTCGTAAGTTCGCACTACTTCTGGTAGTGACGTGTGAATAGACACTAGGAGGGCCCGTTGAAATAGCCATATTTTTATTTAAATTGTTTCCGAATACTAAATTTGTATATAAATCAGATTTAAAAATTTGTGTTTACAATCATTGAGGTGTGGTTCATTGTGTGGTTTTGCAAGTTTTGTTATGGTTGTGTATATCACAAAGCTTAGAACAGGTATAACAATCAATTTCTTCTTCCTCTTTTTATGACGTTTATCAAAACATCAGAAAAAGACAAGATGGATGATATAGAGGAATACATCAGAATATAGTCGCCCTACCTCTCGGTCATCACTAAATAGCATAACGCTTTGAATATTTCTTTTATTATTAGTTTCTATGAGAGAATCCAAAACTAACCGGTATTCTGTGGTAAGACCCATGCGTTTTTGTTTTTGGTCTGTTACCTTTCTTTACTGACAATGACGTGTCCTTTATCCGGGGACTGGTAGAAGCGCCACCTCGGTTTGACAGTTACCAATAAAAAATTTCAATCTGTTTTCGATAATAAGATGGTTTGTACAAAACGAGACTTTGATTAAGTATTCCACAACTCGTGGGTAAGTAAAATTTGTTTTTACGGCCTGTACCTAGCTTGTAAGACCAATTTGTATCCGCTTTCTAGCTTATTTCCAGTTAACAATGCCATTTTAAGGTTAAACTTTTGTTGTCCAGAGTTATTTGCATTTTTTTATGTTTTGTTCAATTTTGGTTAAAATCTTTGGTTTTTTGCCCATCAATAGAAAGTTTCTGCTTTGGTTGCGCTTCAACGTTAGTTTCCGGTTGGCTTCGTAGTATTTAATTAACAGTGAATAAATTCATCGTTGTTGGTGTAAATGCGGTTTATGTAACAAAAAGCAGCGATGTAACGAGAAATTTGGATTTCGCTTTTGTTAATTATCCCTAGGCACATAAAATAAGTTTAACTTAAGTGAAAAACAGGCCGGTCTTTAGACTGACAAAGATTAGTTAGAGTTTATTATTGTCAGAAATTTCGGCAGTCGAAAAATTTTACGTCACAACCGGGTATTGTTTAATTGTTGCGCTGCTAATTGTTTTGCTAACTAATATCCTGCGCTGTTGTAATTTTTACGTTTTCTAATACATTGTCATAATTATAACACGCAATCAGTACATGACTTAGGTTACTTTGGGATAATGCATTCAATTTTTGTTTATATTAACGAACTGTTTTGTCAGTTTTGAGAGTGTTATCAAATTTGTCCTTTGACGATTTTTTAATAATCAAGCGTTTCATGTAGACTAAGCTCTGAAACAAGCGAGATCGCGATTTTTTACTATTTTTGCTACAGCGAGTACAGAAATTATTGCCATTTGCTAAAGTGTCTTTGCGGAATAGAATAGAAGAAAATTTAAAGCAGCGGCTAGTATTGAGTGGTTATTTTACTTATAAATTCCGGTAAATTTTATAATCTTTGCCAAAAAGAGGATCCAAACTTGTCTAGATAGGTGTGCCTATTTTTAAAAATTTGGGCAATTGCAAACGCCAAATTCCTATTAAATATGTTGCGTAAATTAAATACATATGGTGTTATTTGTGGCCTCATTAAGTTTCTCACAAATCAAAAATAATTCTTTTCTAGTTTTTTTTTTCTATCCGTTCCAGGCAAAATCTAGCAAAGATTTTAGATTTAGAAAAAAATGTGTATTTGAAATGAATCTCAGGTCTTCTGTTTTCAATTGTGGTGTTAAGGAAGTAGGTTTGTTAATGTGCAAAGGTTGTAAAAGAGTATTTAAAATTTAGCTTCTAATACATCCTCGTTAATCCCAAAGGAGAATCGGTTAATTTAATTAATAATTAAAATCTTATATAAAGCTGCGTTTATGAGTGAATAATTTTCGTCAGTTATTTTCTTTCTTAAGAAATTTGTAATAAAATCATCCTGGAAATATTTTAGAAAATTGAAAAAGGACATTTGTGTAAGAGTCCAAGGAAAACATTTTATCTTATATTGAAGAAACAAAATGTTGTCTTTGATGTACTGAAAAAAAAAGGATAGTGAGTTTATATTATGTATATCGCGACATCTAGTACAACTTTTGTATATTTTTAACGAAGTTTCACATGACTTGAAGTTTTTGCTAAAGTTAAGCCGTGGTGCACAGGACCACGATGGAAAAAAGCCGCGACAAAATACAAAGCTCTGTTATTCATTAAATATTTGATAATGTACCGTACGTTCAATTTAGCTTGATAATATTTTGATGGTCTCTAACTTTTTGGATTTTACATATATCAAGTTAAATAAAAAAGCACCGATTAGCAGCCGGATTTATTCTGAATGACATGTAAAAAGGACCCTAACAATATTCTGAGATCTCAGACTATTTGATATTTAAATGGATCTCATATATTTTATCGGTATGAAATGTAACACGTTATTCTGATTACAATTATATGAAACACTTTATATTTTGTTCCACTTGTTTTCTAGGTGTAGGATGTAGGTAATTTTTAAATAATTTCGTACTGTGACAGACAATTAAAGTCATATTGCGATATTGATTAATACTAATAAGTTATTAACACGGAAGTGATATGCTTCTAGCATTCGCATCGCGTCGGCAGTTTTTATCCGTACTGATAATTGACAGATAATTGTGCTTATAAATGATGTGTTTTCATCTTTCTCCCATACCTAATTTGAACAACTATTGAACAAATGAATCATTAGGCAGAAATTGAATGAAAAATGAAAGTAAAACTAAGATGATCGCCTTTTCAACACGCGATTTAAATAAGAGTTTATTAGTACGTTTCAATAGAAAAGTGTTGTAAAATTCCTCCGAGTGTATGTAGACTCGAGACTCTCCTGATTCGGACAAGTGCATCACATTCTCAAAAAACTTTCTGTTTACTGCTTTGTCAAATGGAAGCTCCGCCATCAGGTTTCTTTCTCCTCGATAAAAATGTACTATTTTTCCTATGTCCATTCCTGTCTCAACTACTCTTTGGTTTGTTGGGGCGGTCCCCCACGTGCGGAGCAAATCTTTAGGATGCAGAAACACATTTTACGGATTGGACTGTTTAACGGTGGAATTTTTCATGTCGATACCTATTTCCACAACACTCTTTATGGACACTTCCTAGTATGTACTTACTAAATTGTGCCACTTATGCCAAAAGTATCTCTAATCTTTATATGCTCTCAAGAAACTCGGATATTCAGCAGAATTTGAGACCGAATCTTAACATAAATATATCTACACATCGATAACCTCTTACATCAAATAGTCCATGTTTTGGACTGTAAAAATTTATAATAAATTGCCTATCGAACTGAGGGAGATAACTAGTCAAACAAAATGCAAATTATTATTATTATTATTATTTATTTATGCTAAGATAATTTTATATTTTTACACTCGTATTATACTGACAATATCCAACACTTGTAACTCAAGTCTTACAGAAATAAAGCTTTAAATTACTGAATGATTGATTTGAAGCCTTTCTTCGAGCGATACTTCTAATGAAAAACCTTTCTTGGTATAAAGTAATTACCCTGACTACTTCGGTCTGATTTAAATGTTATTTTTTTACCTAGAGGTCTTCCCAATGCATCGATTTTCATTATTAAAGAACAATCAAATTGTTGTGCACGCATCAAATTGTGAGCAATTCTAGTGAATGTCTTTTTTAATAATCGATAATATCATCTTTGAATAACAAGTTTTTATACACAAATTTGTTTGTGCATCTATATTATAAATGGCAACAATTATTATACCAGGATTACTGAAAAAGTAATAAAAATAATTGAATTTTGTTTTCACTAGTTTAACAAAAATCAGTTTTGTCCTATTTTTGCCAATACCTCAAAACAAGTGGAATAAAATGTAAATAAAAAAGTTAGTTATATAATTGTAATCAGAATAACGTGTTCTATTGAATTCCGATAAAACTATTAATTAATTAATTAAATTAATTGATTACTTAGGTATGGTCTGTTCATAGATATAAGAAAGTGACCAATTGCTTTTGAACGGATTATCCAAGGGTGGTCATTAACATACGATGCAACAAGATTATTACCTTAATTAATAATTAATAACTAATTAATAATTTTCTTAATTAATAACAATAATCTTGTTGCATTGTATGTTAATAACCACCCTTGGATAATCCGTTCAAAAGCAATTGGTAACTTTCTTATATCTATGAACAGATCATACCATTTAATAAAATATATAGGCTAGTGTCTCAAAAAAATTTTAGTTTTTTGTTTAGGAACAAAATTGACTGTTGACCCAACATTTTTTTTTATTTTACTTAAATCTTTAAAAATCAAAAAAGTAACAGCAAATCAAAATTTTTCAGACAAATGTAAGAATAAATTTTTATTTACGCATCTCGTTATAGCCTTTCCGTATTAGCAAGCGCGCTACGAACTGCACTGGGTTGCACTATATACCTTTTTGAGTTACTAATTTTTGAAATAGCCGCCATCGTCTCGCTTATTTTATCCGAAAACGCGACCGGCCCGATTAACAAAGAATTTTCGTAGAAACCCCGCAAAATTATTCAACAAAAAAATACCATAACTTCGGTAAGACTAAAATGCCCTCGAAGAAACACCGTGCGAAAAGTACAAATTTGGTCGAAACGTCGCCGCCCTCCGCCGTGAAAATTTCCGACCAAAAATCGGAAAAACCGACACAAAAGTCGAAATCGGCGGAGCAGCTTTTGCATTTGACGAAAGAGCAGTTGAAGGCGGAGTGTAGGAAGCGGGGACAGAAATCGACGGGCAGCAAACAGGAGTTGGTAGGGACGCGCTTCTTGCTTGCTTGATTGTTTCGTTGCTTCCTTTTTTGGCGAGTAGCTTGGAAGTTTGTAAGATCTGGCAATGCTGTTTGGGCTTTGTTTTTGGTAACCTTTTCACCTATCAGTTTTTGTACTGCCTTTAGAGTATATGCAGCGTGGTGTGACGACCCCGCTATCCGATCTAAGAAGTGGTAAGATCTACAAAAAAAAAGTTTGTGGTCTGTTTCTTCTAATGTAAATTTGCATTTACAAAGGTCGGATTGCGATGGTGGGTGGGGGGGTCAGCTTAAAGGTTATGTCAAAGAGTATAAGATAAAGGGGAAGGCTCCCATTGGTGGCAATGTTAAAAAGCGTAAACGAGTTTTAACACCTCTAGGGATTCTGGCCAGTCATGAAAACGGAAAACGCGCGGGGCTTACGGTTCAATTCAATTTAAAGTTTGAAAGGTAAAATTTGAAAAAAAGTTATGTCGAAATAGTTTTAATTTTTTTTTTATTAAAATATAAATAAAGTGCTGTTATCCGTTACAAGCTACTGTAGTATTTTCAGTGTGACGCATTCCTTAAATCCGCCATGACAGTACTTTAGTACTTGGTCACAAATATTAGATGGCATTCGTAACAGTATACGCGACGTTCCCCTCTATTTTATACTCTTTGGGTTATATCATGAGGTTCTGGTACATACTTCGAATAAAAGTGGTCAGATAAAGTATGGTCGTTGGAGTCCAGAGAAATAATACGCGCTGTATAGTGTTTTTAGCATTTTTTCAGCTCCCCTCATATTTTCTTCTATTTCAATCATATTCAATTCACTTCTTGCAACGTTCGTCATTTTAAGGGTGGTATGCCTTGCTACAAGCCGTTTTAGTTGCGCTTTCATCGACAACAAATTTTGTACAAAGAGGTTTATTCAGATTGAAAATCTCCCGAATTTGCTTCTTAAAGTAATCCAGTGAATGATGTCATTTTTTTCCAGGAAGAGGTATTAGTACGCAACCACCGCCAAATCCCCTTTCCCTACCTTTTTACCTTTTGCCGAGCATGCTTTTGTTCCAGTGACGATCCTTCCATGAAAGCTTGACTCTAAATGCGTATGTTTTCTCTTCGAAACTTCTCAAATATCGTCGTCGCCATTTCTTCTTACCAATATCAAATCATCCTTTTTCATTTCAGACATTATTTCGTTTTGTTCTTCCTATGGCTGTCTTTTTATTCCCATTTACTATAGTTTCTTTTCTTCCTGTACTACTTCTTGGTGACCTGACGAAGAGCTGCGTTTATCCTCGTCCACAAATCGGTATATTGTTAACTGTCCAACTCCAGTCATATGCTAACACATTTCAATTATTTTTGAAACTCCGAATGTTGAGTTTTGGTTGCGAAGAGCCTTGAATACATTGGGAATAATAATTCTCTCATTTAAGAAAGCGCATTTTCAAGATTGAATCGGCTGCCAAGTAACTATCTTTCTAATTTTAAACACTAAGGTAGGTAAAAATTTGTCTCTCTACCTGCCACTCTTGACAAACATCATAAGTGTATGTAAGTATGGAACACAGCTAAGACTAAGTTTTATACTTTAATAATGATTTCTAACTTTCTCTCATTAAGAAACAGTGCATAATACAAATATTTCTTCTTCTTAGGTATACAGGGTGTTGCGTTTTTTCAAGCTAGGTAAAAACTGTCTTATTTTTAAATGAGAGATCAACGATATATGATACTCGAGGCTTGTGACAGTGTGGCCAGGATTCGCGTTTTGTAAATTTACTCAATTTTTCTAAATGGCATTCCCTGTATATTACCTTAAAATTATATTTAGAATTAGAAGGCAACTTCGACTGCAGATAATGGTAGGAAAACTTTTTGGAATTATGGACCATCATCATCATCATCAGGTTGTAAACTGTTTAAAAATATTTTATTTATAAATTTCGTTTTAAATTTCGCTGCTTAAAAGAATAATAACAAGCAAGTCCAAAAGTATAAAATTTTAGATATCTGTTTCTGATTTTTGGAAATAAAACATTATTAAGTATTCTATCGGTATGAATGATCATGGTCAATGATTCCGAAACGGTTATTTTAGAGATATTTTGGAGTTGTTGAAATTGCCTTTTAATTTTCAATTTAACTATAAACATAATATCTAAAAAAAAGCAATTTTTCAATAATAGGAACATGGCAATACTGTAGCGTGTAGCTTACTAAGAAAATGTCTATGCTTGGAGGAGGCCCCACGAAATTCAATCTTTTATTTGGTCAGACATAGAATTTGAAAAATAATGAAAACATTCTTGCCATGAAAGTTTTCGTTTATGTCAAAGAATTAAGAAAAACGCCTCAGGGTACGGAACGCTTCGCAGGTGTATGTATGTATGTCGTAGAACACGTCTTGAAACGCACTCTGCGAATGTGTATCAACATACAGGTTGTTCTATTTAAAATAATATTGTTTGTACTTGGCCAGAAAAAACTAAACACCCACTTTATATATATACTTAGAAGAAACTTTTGTATTAAATTTTTTTCGTAAATCTTACCGTTTCTCATATCGGCTAGTGGAAAAAATGCTTGATAATTTTAAATTTTTCATTAAAATTAAAAATTTTAAAAGGTGGGAAAAATACATCCACTTTAATACAGCTTAAATGGATCATCTTCATGGTTCGACACTTTTTATTGAAGAGGTTGCACTCGACAGAACTTGACATACTAGGTCAGCTGAGGAAATGAGCCTTTCCGAAGTTCCCAAAATATACTAAATTTGCAAGAAAAAATGTTAAAACTGCATGTCGCCGATACTCTTTGCTTCCGGATGGTTATCTATTATTGTAAATAATGGACCGCCCCTAAGTCGTCAAAATGTTCGTTCTAGTTTTAAATCACAAACAACAATGCGCGCCATAGTTTGTTGTGAATCGATTTATGGACATTGGTTAGAGCAATCGAAGAAATGTTTCGGTTTTGAATTGTCTATGATTCTTTAAATTTCCTCCGGGAGTTGCTTGTGTTTTCATTACTCTACAGTGTTATTGGCAAAGATAGAGGGCTACGGTTTTCCCAATACGCCTCTCGTATCTACTTCTAAAACTTCTATACCTGATAGCACTGTGGGCCCATTGCCCAAACTAGGTTGCATTAATTCGATTATTTTCGAGTAACTTAAAAATCTTAAAAAAAAAATTATTTGGGGCTATATATTGCCGGTAAATAATAGTACAATTTTTTGTCAATTTTCCAGCGTCGCCACATGAGTATTTTTCGGAGTATATTTTAAAGATATACCAACACTAGAATAAAAAAAAATGCGATTTTCTTTGGGTATGATGCTAGCGATATCGCCGACAATCTTTGTGACGTGCCTCTTGGGTCTCCTCAGAGAGCTGCCCAATAGGCACAACACAATGTTTAATAATATCTGTGGAATGGTACAGCAGTTTGTTTAAGGTTATGGGCATATAATACCACGAGTAAAGATTTAAATACATGTCTGCAGTTTTATTACAGTACTCTTCAAATTTTACAAGATCTATATTATACCCCGAGCAAACTGTGTCCAATATCACACCAAATTGTTCGATTAATGTTCTATTGACTGCTGTTATATCTAAACGTTTTTCTGGAAAATCAAAAAAGGCTCTGGCGGTATGTCCGTCATTACTGGACCCGAATCCCTAATTTTAACTTCCTCTTGTTGTTCTTTACTTCTGAGCAGCCATTTTTTGTTATTTATCTTGTAACCTATGTGAAGTACACATTCAAAGCATCTTATTCGCGCATGTAACGTAGACAAGCCAAAGTCATAATTTTTATATTTATTTTGTGTATTGTTGGGCTTTATATTAATATTTTTTGGAGTTGCGCCACAGATATAACAGGTTTGTTTCGATTTTGTATCGGTTAGAATATTGCACAGTTTTCCATCTACCATTGTTAAGTGACGCTCACGATGAATATTTATTTGAATATCACTTTCCAAAATAATAGCTGTCTGTTTTATTTATTTGCGACTGTATTTGTTTAGTCTCGTCACTTACATTTCGGTAGTTTCTTTAGAAAATAATAATTTTATAGGCCGACCAAGTTTGGTGGAAGATCCCATCATTTTTTAAAGCAATTTGAGCAGCAAATGTAATTTCTTCCGTACTGGCTTTTAGTAAGTGCTCAACTTTTTTTTCTTTGATCTATGAAGAACTTGGTTAAAGGGCTAAAGTGGGCGACCCACGGTTTTTTGTACTTTTTCTTCAAAGAAATCTTCTGTTGGGGCCCTAGCAAAACAATTAGAGCCATTCATCATACTTTAGTAAGAATCGTTCAGATCTTTTGCTGCACTTCCTCCATCTTGTATTTATTTTGTTACAGATATCTTGAATAATCGATTTCCACTGTTTTTGTGTATTGGTCGGAACATTCTCATTATTAAGGTTAAAATGTTTTACAACCAATTTAAATATTTCTTCTACGAGGTTTTTCTTTCTAGAGACACTCCATAATTTAAATAACGTTTTTTTCGATATTTCGTGCATTTCTAAAAACGAAAAAACAAAAGTAGTCTTGCAATTTTGAGTTTAAACGTGTGTATAAAATGAAAACAATATGTATAAAAATAATGCATTATAATTGTTAATATTTTTATCACTCAGAGGTTGACATCTTTAACTGGCATAAGTTTTGCTACTATTTGCGACATTTTTGGCGAACAGTTTTTAGTAGTTTACACCCTTGCCTAATAAAAAATGTATATTTTTGTATAGCACTCGTTGGCCTTCATATTTTTTTACTCTATAGAATTTGAAAAATTAAATATTAATGGTACTTACCTCTTCACTTCTTGTCAAATCGCAGAAAAAACACAAACATTCTACATTGCATGTGCAGTTCTAAACTGATTAACAGGACTGACATCAGTTGTCAAATACTTAAAGCGGCATTTGTTTTCAAGGCCTACTAAGCCATTTAAAAAGTACGAAAACTTCCTTATTTTATTGAAGCGATCGCAATAAAAATAGACTTTCTTTTAAACATCTGATATTGTGCCTTGGTAAAAAATTCTTAGTAAAGTATTTTTAGAAAGCAATACTGTTTTTACATGTTTCAGTATGTTCTTAATTTAACAACATTGACAAATTTTGCATTTTTAATAATGATTTATTGCAACCTAGTTTATGCATGGGGCCCACAGTGGATCGGTAGGATAAAGTTGTCAGTTGCCAGATACCTTAGACACCAACCAGTGGCTAGACATTTTTTTTTAAATCGCAGTAGCGTAGCATGTTTGTTTTCACAATCATCCTTATTTACCTTCGTTATACTTATTTTAATTGTATATTGAGAACAATATCATATGCTCGTATGCCGTGTATGTATAATTTTGTTCGTTAGTTTTTTCTGTCGTTACCGTTTTGCGATAAAACCGCATTTCAGGTCGCTACGTAGATAATTATTTTAGCCTTCTTTGTTCGTCTCCGTTAAATGTCACCATTGGTGAGTGTAAGTGATCATTTTCGAAATTTAAATTAAAAAAGTAAAAAAATAATTAAATTGGTGCATAGCACATTTGTGTAACTAGTGCAGAATCAAACATTGCTGTTTTTAAATAGTGATTAATAATTTAGATTAGATAGAGCAGATCTACACAAACATCGTTTTATGAAAATACGTCATGGAAGATGTAGCAGAAAAATATAGTGCAGTAAAGATTAAGCAAGTGACATCAGAGAACTAGCGAAATGCAGTCGTTAAAGAGTCCATGTTAAATGCTGTACATGAGACGAAATATTTTTTTTGGAAAATGAAAAATCAAATGTGGCAGTTTCAAGTTTTCAAGATGTTTGGAAAACAAAAATGTGTTTTGTCGTTTTTACAGAGCTTCTAACTTAAATTTGAGTTTTCACAATTATCGGATTAAGTAATTAATCAATTAATCGAATTAATGGATCGATGCACAGTGGGACCAAACAAAAATTTTGTTTTACAATGGGCCGTATTTCTTATATCATCCTTTGAAATAACACAAAATTTGATAGTATTCGTTCAATCTCTCGTTGCATACTTAATAAGGTTTTATTACTGTACATTTTTCTGTAATAGAATATAAATATAAAAAACAAATTGATGTACTTCGAAATTATTTAGAAATATTTAACTCTTTCTTTTAAATTGTTAATTTAAATTAATTAACTTAATTAATTTAAATAAATTTTCTTGTAAATCTGTAGCGTCTGGCACATATACTTTTTGCACTACTTACACAGATAAGTCTTTGGTACCAAGTGTAAAACTCTCGGCACGGCAAACGATCGTAGTATAAAAATAATTTTGACAGGTAATGATTCGTTCACAGTATCTCTATCGGCTACCGGTCATCCTAGGCGGGTAGTTTCTTGGGTTCGCTTTAGTAAAAGTGCAAAGTCTGCAGATATTTGCCCAATGGGCTTTCGTTATCTTCTTTCGACGTGTGAAACTTTCTCCGTGATCGAGGACCTAGTTTTGTTCGCGAGAGAAATTCTACCGGCACACGGTGTTCGACTGCTTAAAAACACATAAGTGTTCGTGTGTACTTTGATTTGTATTGTGACATTGCCGACAATGAGCGAGGACGCCGAGTTTTATACGTCGTTAAAAGCCGTGAGTGATAACGTTTGCGCATTATGTGAACCCCCATCGGGATCGATTCGATTTCATTTTCTACTTTTTGTCCTTTTTGAGTATAGTGGCATCATATCATGTCTCCCTGATCGGTTTTTCTAAGATGTCCGTTCTTCTCATTATCTGTCTTATTTTTGTTGAAAGTCTTTTGTTGACTTAGCAATAATATATCTAAAATCGGTTTCTTTTCAGTTGGCGACAGAGTCAATTATACTTACTTAATCCTTGCTGATTCTCTCCAGTTTGGTCATTATTTGCAATTCTTCAACAGAGCAGGCTAAAATACTAGCATGTGACTATGAGTATGGGTGAACTAATGCAGTCCGGTCTCACCCCAGACTGATCAAAATGGTTTGGAAAGAACATTCTTGACTTTTACTTCCCAGAGCTCGTTTGCTATAGGTTTTTGATTAAGAGAATCAGATGTTTTGGAACCAACACTAGCCACAGCTCTTTACACTTTCCGCAATCGACAAAAGATTTTTTTTTAATATTTGTAGCACATTGGAAATTTGCTCTCGTGTCCGTTTCACGTCCTTATCAGTGTACATCGACTTTCCCCATTCCATTGGCCACTCTCCGTGCTGCCAAATGATACATAGCTTATGAATTGTATCGATACCTTCTTTTCTCATTCTTTTGATTATCTTGGGCGTTATGGCATCGCCACCGCGTAATTTATTGCTTTTTACTGATCTCTGTGAAATCCGGGTTGTGATTCGCGGTCCCATCAGTATGACCGAAACGTTGATCGCTGTAGTGTCTGCATACCTTAGCGATGTTGTTGGCATCATTAGTCTCTCCATGGTCTATAGTTTTGTAGTTATAGTTTTGAAATTATTTTGCGACTATACTAAAGTTCATGGGGCACCATCCGACTAGAATATTTTTGTTGTCCAATAGGACTTATTTAATAATTTTAAAATTAATGTAACTACGTGTAAAGGGTAAAGGGTGTTATACAAACGACATCATATAATTGAATGAGTGATTCTCAAGTTCGAAGAAAACAAAAATACTCGGCTTAAAGGGTAAATATTTCATCAGAAAATTAGCTCCAAAAATTTAGGGTATAAAAAGCTTGTCGCGCAAAACAGTGAACTGCATCTAAACTGGAACGGCGAAGGTGTGATAGAAAAGTGTGTGCAAATTTTCAATTAGAAAAAGAAGAAGAAGAAAAGAAGAAATTGACTTCCGATCAGGAAGGCAATGTATTTATATTGCAACAATTGGTGGAGAAGCGCAAAGAAAGAAATCTGGTTATTCATTTAATATTTATAGATCTCGAAAAAGCATTTGACACGCAGCATTTAAAAAAAAAGAATATTTGCAACATTGGACAACTTCGGACTAACAAAGTATAAAAAGTTAAATAAAGATGCGCAGTAAAAGTTGACAAGAGACCTAAAGTAAGGATGTAGCTTATTAAAATATACATTCAGGAAGCTCTAAACAAATGGAGAAGAAAAATTTGAAATAGATGACTAATAGGTGAAGAAGACGCAGACTATATGTTTAGAACGCTAGGTGACCAATATGATAAAAAATAAACGATAAATACGACAAAAACTGAGTATACGAAAATGGGAGGGAAAGATTAAGAGCATCATCTAGATTTACAAATACCTTGAAAGTATTTTAAACGAAAACGACACAACAAAAAAGGATATTAAAAATTGAATAGAGCAAGGAAAGAAAGCAACTTACGCCCTAGTAAGCATAAGAGTTAACATAAAGGTAAAAGTATATAGAGTTGTTGCGCAGAATGGTTGGATTTCCTTAGGCCTGCAGAAAATTAACTGAATCGAAACAGAACAACTGTTATGGTATGAACATGTACAGAGAATGAAGGATGAGAGATGGCCGCGAAAATCTTAATACATTACATACCACAGAAAAGAAGCAGAAAGGGGAGGCCAACAATCTCATGGCTAGACAGAATCGAAAATATCATGAGAGGCGGAGCAATCGATGAAAATGACTGGAAAACAGAGACAGAGGGCTGTAAAAATGTGGGAAGCGGCAGAGGCAGAGGATTCTTGTCTTTCTCTTGATGTGGAGGGAGTCAAGATGTGCGGGGATAATAGAGCAGAAGGTCTGACCGCAGCGGCTAGTGGTGTATCAAGTTTGAAAAAAAATCGTGTTTTAAGTAGTTCATCAGATCTTAATACGACAGTCGACGTGAATCAACCATAGCTAATGTCGTTTCTATTCATTCTATTCATGTCTAGTCCGTTTTACGAATAACGTCGGTATGCAGTTAGTTTTGTGTGTGCCGGTAGCCCGTTTTTGTTATGGCGTATTGTTAATTTTGTACATACTTCGGAATGTGACATGTTATGTTATTTTTTCGTAAAGTAAACGACGCCGAGAACAATCGAATCGGAATTTTTTAGTTGCAACGGCTCGGGTACAGAATGGCGGCAAGGAGGCACGGCCCGGCTACGACCAACGGCAACGTAGTACAAAACAATGTCGATAACAGCACGTCCAAAAATACCCCCACGGCCTCTGAGCAACAGAGGAAACAGAAAGAGCGGGACGAGAGGGAAGGCATCGTGTTGTGGAAGAGGCCGTTTCTTACCTTAGAATATTTTTTTAAGGAGTGTCTGGAACTTATCACCACGTACGGTAAAAAGTAAGCACTGCGGATAAAGCGGGATGAAATCTATGCTGATATATTGAAATTTTTAATTTAATGAATAGTGATAATGAAATTACTATACTTGAGTCGAGTGGAAGTATACGATTGATTCCTTTGGCAAAATGTTATTATTAGTTTCGGAGCGATCTTCTGGTAATCATGTAACAGTAGTACTAGGCAACAAGTTCGATAAAACCCATTCTAGTCACCAGTTTGATTTCGCACCGCCGGGGCATAGGAGAGCGAGTGCTTAATAAACGAATGAGTAAATAGAAGTTTATTAGACTTGTTGCATAGTAAAATAATAAAAATAATATTAAGGGTGTTTTCTTTTTAAATAAAGTATGATGCGATAAATTTTTGACTTAACCCTGTATACGAGATGTGTTCAAAAAGTAAGGTGATGTTTGTACTTGGGTGGGCTACCTACATTCGATCTTCAACATTTTTTTTTGTTGGAACAAAGAATTTGCATACAATTTTATGTAAAAAATGTAATACCGTGCTCCAAAACACTTGAAATATTAACAACGGCATATGGTGAATCTACTTTGAGCAAAAAAATGGTACAAGCTGTTCCAACATGGCCGAGAAGACGCCGATGACGAATTTCGCTCTGGACACCTCAGCACGTCAATCATTGATGAAAACGTTGAAGTTAAACAAATGTTGAAAACTCGTACAATCACTATTAGAGAAGTGGCTGAAAACGTGGGCATATCTATGCCATGCCATGCAATTTTTTCCGAAGTTTTGGGCATGTAACGTCTAGCAGCGAAATTTGTTCCGAAGCTGCTTAATTTTGGACCAAAGGACCGTTGAAAGAGCATTGCTCAAGAGCTGTTAAAAGACATCAATGATGATCCTGATATGCTCAAAAAGGTTGACGAATTAAGGCTATTAAGGTTATGACGTCGAAACCAGAGCCTAGTCGTCCAAATGGAAGAACCCAGAATCGCCAAGACCGAAAAAAGCAGGTCAAGTTCGATCAAATGTCAAAATTTTGCTTATTGTTTTCTTTGATTTTCGTGTCACCAAGGGTTCTTACCACAAGGTCGTACGATCAATAAAGATTGAAGTTGTGCGCCATTTGCGAGAAGCAATACGAAGAAACGTCCGGAATTGTGGGAGAACAGTTCAACAATTTTTGGCCAAAAATAAAACCATAATCATGCCGCAGCCACCATATTCTCCTGCGACTTTTTTCTGTTCCCAAAACTCAAGAAACCCATGAAAGGAATGCAGTTTTGAACGATTGAGGAGAAAAGAAAAAATCGCAGGAAGAACTCACGGCTATACCAGAAAGTGTTTACCAGAAGTGCTGCGAGGATTGGAAAAAACACACAAGTGTATTATATCTAGGGGGGATTACTTTGAAGGGAACAGCATTAATTGTGGTGAATAAATAAATACTTCTTGAAAAAAGTCAAAAGTCACCTTACTTTTTGTACACACCTCGTACATACTGCGAGAGCCGGAATCCTACGCGAAAAGTTATAAGGAATAGCTTTGCCAAGATACCGAATTGAAAAGAGATACGGAAGGTTGCTTAAAACACAATACGGAGACTCGGATCTGAAAATGAATTGAGATAAAGAAATTAAAGTTTCTTACATGTTGATCCGAAAACAATATATATGCCACTATTAGCAGGTATTCGAAATAAATATATGTATTTCATTTAAATTTTGGCAAAATGTTTTGCACATTTTTCGAAATTACTCGTCGTCATTCTTTTTCTGAAAACACTTAAATTTTAAGTAATTGTCTAGTACCGTATTGTATCGAACCCTTTCAGTAAAAATAACTTCGAGGGAATTCGTTGATAGAATGCATTTGCGAATATACTCAAACTCAAGTAATTTCATAATCGAGACTGGCATTGTTGTATATTTTATTGTTATTTGGTTTTTGTTTCAGTTTTTTTGCAAATAGAAAACTAGTCACATTATTGGGGATCTCAGTATTATCGTTATATTTATTGTTAAATTCAAAGGGGCCACATCAGCATCTAGTTCAGGATGTATACAAAAATTTGCTGTGGTGTCTCTATTGGACAGGTTTAGGTATGTATGTTTTAAGATTTTTCTTTTTTTTTTATTTGAATCGTGGGTTAAAGAAACTCAACTTTTTGATACTACCTTCAAAAATACCTTACCTATTCAAACAGAAAATGTATGTGGTTAGTGTATAGAATAATTCGGCTTTGACCAAAATCGATCTCCATTTTAATACGAAAACAAAAAGGGTATCATATTGGGTAGTCCAATTATAATACCTTTTTTCCATTCTATTCACAAATACAATCCAATTAATTGAATATAACTAGCTCATAAATACTCGTTTTTTTTTGGTGCATTTAATGTTTTTGAAACAAAAGTTGTAATGTTCATTATAGCATTATACAAGCTGCTTTTCAAATAAACCAAAAAATTCCTGTAACCAATTCAACAATCGCAAAAATAATTATATATAAACTAAAAATATATTATATATAAACCACCGTCTTTTCTAAAATGTTCTGTATAATGACATAAATAATTTTTATTGACAATTTGATATCTTTGTGTACGTCACTGGGCAAATTTTAACCGCAATCGCAAACTTGACAAGGGTGTAAATGTTTTAAAAATATAAAAATTGAACAGATAATGAGAAGAACGGACATAAAAAACCGTTCAGGGAGACATGATATAATGCCACTATGCTCTTGCGAGTGTTAAATTAAATTTAATCTTAAAGTTAAAACACTATAGAGGTTCTCCCAACTTTTAGTTTGCAGATTGTTACTGTGCATCCTCTATAGTTAGTAAAAAAAAGTGAACAATTTGTAATCTACAAAATATTGCATTCACAATGTTTACCAAGATCATGCGAAAAAAATCGTTTTTTAACTTTTCAAGAAAACGATCTCATCCTGTAAATTTATACATGAGAAAACCATAACTTAACTGATTTTGTTTAGTATTTTAAAGTGCCAGGCGTGTCAATAGAAGGCCATAAGAAGCTAATTCAGAACAATCATTAGAAGTATTGTATTTTTCACCAAATTTGTTTGGATGCTATGGTTCAAAATAATGACCAAGAATTTTGTTCTCCTTTTTTTGTGTGTACACGATAATTCCTTTTATAGATATAACTCCTGGGAATTCCTCCGGAATTTTTCACTCACTTTCTTGAAATTCCTATGGAATTCGTTTGGTTAGAAGCCAGTCAATGTCATTTTAGAATGATCAAATAATGAAGTTGAAAAAGTATTAAAAAATCCTAAATAGAGATTTTTATGAATTCGAATGACTTTTATATGAAACTTTTTTGAGCTGGGACAGGCTCTGTATATCTAACAATAATCAACATGATTCGCGACAATTCAACACATCCCGCATTCACATATTTTGTGCCTTTTTAGGTATATTATCATCGGTAGGATTAGGCACGGGGCTCCATACGTTCCTGTTATATTTGGGTCCCCACATAGCCGCGGTCACGCTGGCTGGGTACGAGTGTGGTAGTTTAAATTTTCCAGAGCCTCCATATCCGGAAGAGTAAGCGACACACAGTGAACTCGGTCTAAACTGAAATGGCGACGGCGTGATAGAAAAGTGAGGCAAATTTTGCAATAGAAAAAGACGACTAGTAATGGGGATTGTTGTCTTTCTCTTCTGTGTTCTCGTTGTTGAATTGCTTTATTTACCGATATATTTTTATTTAAATTATTTACGCATTATTATTTGCTGAGCAATCATTATTTTCTTTACTTATTTAAGTAAGTATTGACAAAGAACAGCAAATATTACTTGATTAATATAATAGAGGCGAGTTAGTATTGTTTAGTTGTGACATACAGTGAACGGCTAAAATGTGGAATATATATATACACTATAGAGAAGATTAATAGAGGGTTTAACATATTGATCTGTCATAAAATATTATTTAAATAAATTGAGAGAAAATTTATAGAAACGGGTCACGTCAAAAAATTATTTTATTGGGTGTTGAAAATGCCCAACATTAACTTCATGACAATATGCTAATCAGTTTAAAAAGCCTTGCAAAACATTATTGAGGATATTTTCATTAATTTGCCTTATTTCCTCATATAATTGCGATTTTAAATATCCCCAGAGGAAAAAATCTAGTGGAGTAATATCTAATGATAATAATAATAATAAGATAAATTGTTCGGGAAATACCGCATTTAAATATTCACCCACTTGTCAAAATGGGGCGGAAACCAAATCTGTCTATCTGGTATATCAAGCTGATTTAGATTTGCGAAAGAAACTGCGAGAATAGGAATTAAGTCATTTTAAAGAAATGGTAAAATTCGGGCTACAGTAAGATTTTGATCGAAGAAATAAGGTCCAAATATTCTGTTATTCAAAATCCCTGTGCAACCATTTATTTTTCATAGATGTTGTGTATGATTTTCAATACCTACAAAACGAGGCTTCATCACTTAAACTGACTGAAGAAATGAAGAAATCATCCCGGTCGGGATCATCCTTGTTCAGCTCCTGTGGCAATGTAACCTTGAAAGGATAATACCTTTTTTTCTTGTAATATACACAAAACTGTTCGTTCGCTAACGTCATTATTTGAAGCTACTTCAGAAGATGCAACGTAGGGATTATCCGCAACTTCTAATACAATTTTTAATCTTGTGTTCTTATTAGTTTTTATATATCCTATTTACATGCCCTGTTTCTATAAATTTTATATATATAATGGATCTGTCTGTATATTTTACGTTAAACAAATTACAAACTTAAAAAATGGTGTTCCCTAAAAAAAGGGAACTTGGTATCAACATATTTTTTTGACCCACTTATATTTTCTGTTTACTGCAAATTATGATGCGCGTGTGTCAGAATTTTTATTCAAATCGAATATCTGACTTTTAAATAAATTTGTTCCATATTTTAGCCATTCAGTGTAATTTCACAAAATGTAGGACCTCCAAATTATCGATTCAATTAATGAATTAATTAATAACTAATTGAAACCCCAGCTTCGTATGTATTTAAATTATGACAATACACATATATCATCTCCCACTACATAAAATTTGCCTCAGAGAGTGTAGAAGGGCCGCATTAGCGGAAGTCCATTCCAGTTCCATGGACTGAGTTCACTGACTGGCACATGAGCCATTATGGAGTAACCGGACCCGAACTTATTATTTGCAGTATCATTTGTCCGGGAGATGGCGAAGGTGACGGAATCCCAGTAACGATATTGACGATAATGTCGAAGGTGAGGTTGGAGGCGATGTGCTGGGGAGCTGGAACCGCGTTGGGCGAGTTACCGCCATATTTTATGGCCCGGGCAGCTAGATTGTCGGGGTGAGTTGATTAGATTTGTCTTTGTCTTCTATTTGGTGGACTCTTGAGTGTGTGAATTGATAGTGTTTTGCGCAGATTTTGATATCTCGAAATCTCTCGTGGCAGGTGGAGATTCGTGGAATAACAAAACGAAACCAGTTAGTTGCCAAGTTTTAAAACTAACCTAATTTGAATAATAAATTGAATATTCCAAAACATGCTTACTTCATTTTAATAAAAAAAAAGTTGTTAAACAGATTTTAAGATGTGGATTTCAAATTCGGTGCGCTTGATATGGCATTATATAAAATATAATACCCTACATTACATATATTTTAAGAAAAAATGACGCACTATTTCTTTTTTAAAAAATAATTGAAATTTCCATTCAATTTGGAAAATTTGTGATCTGTTGACTTTTTTTGAAGGATGTGCCCTTTTGAAGTAAAAAAATAATAATAATACTGACTTTCCTGAGTTAGCTCTATAGACAATAAGAATTTTTTCCTGGTCTGGTCATTATCTGTTCCGATGAAAAGTAAGACGGACAGATAACTTCCTTTTTGCCTGTCAGTATTAGAAGGCAGGTATATTTTGGGAAAAGGAATAAATATTTTTAAACTATGTAACTTTAAAAATTGACTTATCTTAAAATTTTCTTTGCTCGGGTCTTGGTAACGCTAACATGTTTTTTTAAAGAATCGATCCCGATGATGAAGACGACGACTTGAAGGAATTCGAAGAGCTTCAGAAAAAGCAGCAAAACAGGGACAAGTTGACGGTGATCGAGAAGGGCAAACTGTTTGTTGAGGAACTGGTGCAGAAAGTCGGCTTCTTCGGCATTCTTGCGTGCGCAAGTGTAGGTATTTTATTGGACCAGTTAGGCGACGAAGAAAGTTGACGTAAAATCCTCCTTAAGTGGTCGAACACGATGAGATTTTCATTAAGTGTCCTACATTAAAAGTGCATTTTGTTAGTTCTCCATAACTATTAACCAAGGTTCGTTCCAACCGCAGTCCGAAATACAGTAAACTCCGTTTATAACGTACATGGGGTACTACTTAAATTTTACTGGCCCGGCCAAAATACTTTTAAGTTTTCATGCGATATTATGTACTATATATAACTTATACTACTGTTATATAGTATAATATTTTTGCTATTGTTCTGGTTATATAGTATGAGTGTACGCTAAAACCGGATTTGAGTTTATGGTTAAAATGGCGGATCGGCGCAAGTCTTTAACCGTAAAGGAAAAGATACAGAATATCAGAAGTATTGAGATAAGGCGGAAATTGCTAGACAAAAGAAATTGGAAAAAACAATGGCACAGGATTAAAAAAAAATAGAAATCCTGTACGTTCAGATTTAGATAAAGCTCTTTAACGATGGTTTTCGTGTTCAAAGATCCGAAAACATTGCAATAAGTGGTCCAATTCTGAAATTGAAAGCCAAAGAATTAGCCAGGGTGAGAATTCTTCTACAGGTTGGCTCGAACGTTGTAAAGTTCGTCACAACATAAACGTCGGAAAAAGTTCTGGTGAAGCAGGAGATGTTAACAAACAAATATTGCACGGAATTACAGCTCTGGGGATATTTTCAATGGTGACGAGACTGGGCTATTTTACAAAGTGACTCCAGATCGTACCCTTAAATTTAGAGGAGAGAAGTGTTTGGGCGGAAAGCAGTCGAAGTTAAGGTACACCGTTTGGGTTTGTGCAAATACGACAGGAAGCGAAAAATACAAATTTCTTGTTATTGGTAAATATGAACGACCCGAGATGCATGAAAAATATGAAAAATCTACCTGTCATTTATAAGTCAAACCAGTGAGCGTGGACGATTTCGGCAATTTTTTATAATTATTTAAAGGTTGGGATGAAAAACTAAAACGTCAGAATAGAAAAATATTGCTTCTGGCTGACAATTGTGCAGCTCATCAAAAAAATCTAACCCTTTCAAATATCAGATTAGAGTTTTTGCCTCCAAATCGCAACCAATGGATCAGGGCATATTAAAATGCCTTAAGACATATTACCGCAGATATTTTTGAATCGTTTGATCCAGTGATTTAAAAATAAGGAATCTTTCAACATCCCTATACTATATTGGAATGATGTTACTTCAACCACTATTTCAAACTGCTTTCGACATGCAGGTCTGATAAAATCGGAAGATGAGTTTGATTCAGACCATGACTTACCTCTGGTTCAGTGGTACGAGAAATACAAAATAATTACGACGATGACTGGGACTGGCGCAATAGCGGTCAAGATCTAACCAACATTCATCTTCCTGAGCTGGATAGCTTCCCAATTGTCGATGATAATTCAATAACAACGGAGTTATTAACGGATAATGATGTTATTACTGAAGTTTCACAGCCAAATGATCCTCAAAGCTCTGGTAACGAAAGCGACAATGTTGTTCAACAGAACGAAGTACGAAGTTATTCTGAAGCGCTTTGTGCCGATAAAATTGTTACAATTTTTTTACAATCTACCGATAATGTAACTGATGTGAAATTTGTATTCAGATAAAATAAACAAAGAAAAATAACGAATTTTTTTACTCAAAAAGGATAAGGTATGTATTTTTACTTGTATGTTGTAAAGTTTATATAGATAGATAAACTTTTAATTTAGGCAGTTTAGTTTCTTTCGTTTTTTAGTTTTAGTGTTTATTAGTTTTCTATTTTTATATAAAATAAAACTCTCTACGTACTTGGATAATTATTTTTGTGTTTTTTGATAGCGTACTTCCGCTTATAGAGTACTCATTTTCTGGTCCCGAGAGGGTACTTTATCACCGGAGTTCACTGTATTTCGTTACAATCACATGATCATGCACATAACCGCAAAAGTGCGAGCCAACCTGAATTGAGAGTTTTGAAATTAAGTAAAATTGTTCGCTATACACACTACTAATAATTTATATAACATGCATGCTGCGTTTCAGAGAAGCGTTGTTATCTCGCTCCGAAAGATCGATAAATGAGAATTTGATGATTCATAAAATTATAATTTTTGATAAATATTTTTATTAGACAAACAGGTTAAAACAGCTCGTTTTACTTTAAAAAGAAAATTCCATTGGTCTTCGAGTTTTTACATGGTGGGTTACAAAACTCTTACATTTGAAAAATTATGAAAAATTGACGTTAGGGTTAGGATAAAAACATTTGAGATGCCGTTTTCATCGGGGTTTTGGGCAAAGTTTTTTTGCAAGATTTGGTATGACTCAATCTAAGTTGTTCGGTATAAGCCTTTGATCAGTGTTTACATAAATATGACTGGCCGGCACTATAATGATAATAACGAAGTTTCGACAATGTCTTAACTAGAAAGTTCTAATGAGGATTACATTTAAAGGACCACAATTATTCATCTTATTATAGTCGGTACGATGCCAGACAATAAAATAGATTATTCATCTTACTTTCACTTATACTTCAACAGATGTTGTTTCGCCCTAAATGTCTGTCTGATTAATGCAAGACAGCCGTCAATAACGGTCACGATTATATTACTTGGGAGTAAGCGAGATTGCGACATGCGAATATTTAAGTGCATGATTTATGATAATTTGTTAAATGAAGTGTCCATGCAATAAAAAATAAAACAATATCAAAGAAATCGAATTAAAAAATATATATTATACCATTTAAAATATAATTTAACAAGAGTACATAGATAAGTAAACCATATTTATGATGAAACTGCTACTACCAGAAAATGATCCTTCGCCAACATTAATAACAAGTGGTGGTTCCGTTATATCAAGTGTATTCTCTTTTTCCCAGTATTCTTTTATTACATTTTCTGTATGTGTTATACAACTGATCCATTTTTCTTTGGTAACTGTCTGGAGAGCTGTCTCCCAAACTGATACTACGACAGTATCATCATATTTTTATTAAAAAATGTTTTGCATTGAGCCCACACCAATTCTGTGGCATTAAATATACAATGGTAAAGAGGCAATCTTAAAACTTGAAGACCCATTTCAGCAATTATTTCGTCGTACGGCAAGTTTGTTGTAGTTTTTGACAATTTTGGACCATTTTCTGGGTAATTAATCCGCGTACTTACTTACCAATTGATAATTTCTTTTTTTCTTGTCGATGCATTTGGTATATTTTCACTAAATCTTGAAGGATAGCGTGCATTATGCATAATAGTTAAAGACTGCCTTTCGAGTTTCGACAACACTTTTTTAAAAATGCGACCTTGTTTTACAATGGAACAGTAACAGGTGAATGAGTGCGTTTTGCGTACTGAGGCACCTCTCTTGTTTTTATCACCTAGTATGTCATCGCAGATTGTATAGACTATACTTTCCTTTACTCAAAAGATATCAAAAGAACTTGGAATATATAGAGAAGCACGAGTGGCGCCCCGAGAAAATTTGAATAAACATTATAGGTAATTGATAACCGACTAACGTATGAAACATATCTCCCGTCTGTTGTCCTAAACAATTTCCGTAAATCGTACCGTATGTAAAATGTTTCCAACCTGGTTGTGATTTGAGGTTGGAACGAACATATAATATGACACTCAGCGTTACGTTAGACTTTTTCAAAGAAAATTCCACAGGCTACTGTTATACGTTTTATAAAACTTCTGGATTCCTCCTGCGTCGGTTTTTGTTGAGTCGAACTAGATAACGTTTCGCCAATCATCTAGTTCACTTCTTCAGAGCTTGACTGAAACTGGCTGAAAAGCTAGTCGACTCAACAAGTACCGACGCAAGAGGAATCCAGAAGTTTTATAAAAAGTTATATTAGACATTAATTTTTCGCACTTTGGCGGTGAAAAGATTTGGAAAGGATCGTGCCACGAGAAAACCAGCAACGCGTTCCGATTTTCAGATACCAAATCCGCTTTTCGACTTGGCGGGCATAACCTGCGGCCATTTCTTGGTGCCATTTTGGACGTTCTTCGGTGCCACGTTGATAGGCAAGGCGGTCATTAAGATGCACATCCAAAAGTTGTTTGTCATCATAGCTTTTAACGAAACGCTGATCGAGACTGCCATAAACTATTTGATATTGGTTCCGTTCGTCGGTGAGAAGTTGCAGGTGCCGTTCAAGGCGTTCCTAGACGGGCAGAAAAACAAACTGCACAAGAGGGGCGGCCAGAACGTGAAGGTGGGCGGCGGCAACGTGTTGGCGGCGATTTTCGAGAAATTTGTGATAGTTATGATCCTCTATTTTGTGGTTTCAATAGTGAACTCGTTCGCGCAAAGCTACCACAAGCGGTTACACAAGAGGAAATCGGTTAAAAGCATAGAATGATCGTCGCGAGTGTAGTTTTTTTTTTTCCGGGGGTAAATAATTTTGATCCGTTCAGTTAGACAGTTTTCTCGTTTCCTATGGATGTCTTATGTATTCGTTTCGATTGCCAACCATTCCTGATATTTATTAAAGAGACCTAAGAGTTAAATACGGTTTGGCTTCATTGTCGTTATTGTTATATACGCGGCGGCGAGTTTTCGGCAAGTCTTGAGATACGGTGCGTTTGAAATTCGAAGAAAAAGACAGATCAAAAAGCTTTTTATGACATTACTGGTCATTTTTTTCTAGTCAAGAGTTTTTTTCAGTCATCGATAAAATTTAGTCACATAGTTCACAAAACAATAATCAAATTTCGTCATACATGAAAGCAGGTTTTGTTTATTTACTCAAAAACGGCGAGTCATAAGGGGAAAAAAAGAGACGCCAACTCAATGGTAATTCCGAAAATAATTTTAAATGAAATTAAATTTAAAATAAAATTAATGTAAAAAGAAGGTCTTATGGGCACCACTGTTAAAAATTAAAAAAAATATTTTCACTAAAAAATTTCCTTTGATGCTTAGAAAACACTTGGCAACAGTAATCTAAATTCACAATATATTTTATTACGATAAAAAAATAGTAGATTATGCAACAAGTTGAATAAACGTCACTTTAGTCACAAGTTTAATTTGGCAAGAGCGTAGCGGAATCAGTGTTTAGTAAACGAGTGACTGAAGATGTGGTGAAGTGAAGAACCTGTTACATAGTATGTTCGCTCAGAGCTGTCAAACGTCAAAATACTGACTAACATGTACCGCAAACATCTGATGGCTCCAGAACCCGCCCAAAGTGGTACAAGTGGTATATGAGGTACGTATATTCTGCATATATATCTTTTGTGCAATCTTCTGTATTGCATATAAAATTTTTTATACAATGTTCATGAAATTCTTACGATGTGACACCCTGGTGCTATCTGTGGGCAAATAGGTTTAATAATACAAAATTGTAGGGATAGTTTTTATTTGTTATAAAAAGACTCGCGCATATACAGACAGAAACAGAATATATTATATATTTCAGTAGAGATTAGTAAATATTAATGAATAAAATAAAAAATATAAAAAAATTAACAAATAAAATTTAAAATAATAGAGAATTACAAAAAAAAAGTTTCGACTAAAACAATAAAATTGTACCACACAGCCCGAATTTTGTTCCCCGTAAAATACATATTTACAATTTCGTTTTATTTTAATCAAATATTGGTCTGAAAGTAAGACAAATATTTATTCTCGAAATGATTACGCGACTTTGAAATTTTTCATGATTTGAAAATGCCAAAACTTTATTGTATTTTAAATAATTTCATTTTAGTTTACTTCTTGGCGCCTTTTTTATGCCTGCGGAGCCACAATTTTTTATGTTTCGGATTTCATGCGTTGAAAAGTATTTTTAAAGTTATCTGGTCTAATGACCTTTTTTGGTTATTTTAAAAAATAAGGAATGATAATAAATAAATTTTCTAAAAAGAAGACACAGGGAATGCTTTGGCGTTTTGAACAAAATCGAATATTACTTGGTATGCAATTGTTGAAGTTCAATGTTTTAAAATCAATTCAATATCCTGTAAAAAAAGTATTTCAATCCCACATACAAAAGGTAAGAATGTGCTTACATACATTTTTGCTCAAATTATAATGAAATATTTTTGGTCATCCTGCCGAACACACCGAACTACATCTGCACACACTAGAATGTCTCCCTAAAGCTTGAATTATTTTGGAAAATGTTTTAGCGAAAATTTTCTTTAAAAATTAACCATATGAAAAATTGGGAGGCGTATATTTTCGATTGTTCTTGCGACATCTTGACAGTAACAATTTTCGAAAAATTCAAGTCCTGTAAACTAGAACAATTTTCATTGCAAGCACATGGTGCTTAAACTAGAGAAAAAAAAATGTGGCAAGTCAATTTAAAATAAATGTCAATGTAAAATAAATAAAAAATTAAGTGTTTGTACTTCAATGGAAAATATCAAAATAAGTGCCTTAATATTTCGAGGTGAATTTTCGGTAAAATCGGAGCAAAAAATATCGAAAGGCTTATTGCAAAATTACAAGAAAAAAACAATTTTCTGGCAAGTTTGTCCTTATTCTCGAGTCTTACTCGAGAACAATTTCCGGGTTACAAAAAAATTAGAAAAAATTTAATACACGGAATTTGTCTGCCAAGTAAATTGGATTGCCTCTTTAAATATTAAAAAAGTTACAAACATATGAACATGGCAAATTTATGAATATTTTTGGTCATTTTTAAGTTCATAAAAAAATCGGAAGATGTAGGCATAGTCTTAAAATAATAAAAAGCACATTTTAGATAGATTTCAACTATAAAATGTTTGAGAACATTCGCATATTTTAATGATCAGTGTAACAAAATGCATTTTTAGGCCATTGTGCTGATTTTACATTAACTTCCGAGTGGAAGGCGATAATAATAATAAAAATAATCACAAAGTAACTCTAATCTTAGTAGACTGCAGTGGGTAAGTGAAAAAAAAAAACTCTAAAAAGTATGTTAAGTACCGATATTTTACCTTAATATTAATTAATAAAAACCACGCTTACTTGTAGCGATTTAAATTTTGGCTTACGTTTTTGTATAAGAGCTCGATATCGCGTTTTGAACAAGTGGGACTAGACATTCATACGTTTTTGACCGAAATTTCTACCTCTCTTCCTCTTCACTCCTCCTGCATCAGATCTTCGACTTTACGTGCGCTTTTCCGATGATTTTCGTACGAAATTTCCAGACCTTCGTTGTTCGGCTTTAAAGCGTCGCTATTTATCCGAAACTTGACTTCTACGGGATCCACGGCCATGGATCCGTGCGGACCTCTGACCAGGTGACCTACGTTCAATTCTATCAAAGGACAGGCTATCGTTCCTTTTCTCGTATTATACAGGGCGATTCACGGTCGACGGCGGACGAAAAACGAGATTAATAAGATTGTTCGGAAAATCTAATTATGTATGTACAGGGTATCATATTTTCGACACTACGGGGGGTATTTTACTAATTTTTAAAAATAGAAAGCTGCAAAATATGGTACTTTATAACATTTTTTTTATGAAAATAGCCAACGGCTAAAAACAATAGTTTTCAGTTCGTACTGTAACATAATTCTTACAGATTTTTTCCCTAGAATGCAGCGGCTTAGGCAATTTTCTCAACATGTACCCTTTTTTGAGTCTAATTTTTTTTTTAATATATATATTTTTTAAAATTAAAATGGATCGTAAGTAAAAAATATCTACGCTACTGCCCGTTCAATAGGTTCAAAAACAATTGAAATACATTTTTTTTATAATAAAACTGAAACATACTGGATGGATATCTTCCTTGATACTTATCCTTTAAGATACAGATTATGTCAAATGAGAACAAATTTGTGAAACGAAACGAGTCGACCTTTTAAAAATGCTCCAATTTTCTTGTTTTTAAAATATTTTGAAAATACTAAACTTTTTTATCTCTATTTTTCCCGTATTAGACATTTCTCTACAATAACTTGATTCAATCTGAAGATGTTTTTATTATTTGACAATAGAATTCCTATTATTAAGAGAAAAAAAAACAAAGAAGAAATTCAATTAACGCAAGAACATAAATAAAAAAAAAAACATTGAAACTAGTGATTTTCCTCAATAAAAGTATAAATTTTAAAATTCTAAAATACTAGCAAAATCTAGTTGCAAAAATTAGCACCGTTACGTTTTGAAGAAAGAAAAAGGATAACTAGATAAAAATAATATAAAATAATATAAAAAATAAAAAAAACTAATGACATATTTCTCTGTGGTAAAATTATATGGAATAAAAAAAACAAAATCACCGAAAGTAGGAATTTTCTCGTTTAAAGCCAAAAAACTTAATTAAAATTAATACATTGTTTAAAATATCGGGTCACTATTTGATGCCCATTCGGTTGTTTTAATGTGTCATGATTTCTAGTTTCCTTCATTTTATTTACCTTTTATATTCCGAATCTAGTTGGCCTATACGCTATTAGATAATATAGGGACCCCAACTGCCACAAATTTGTCTTTCAGACAGATAAGACATTTTCGCACGGAAAGGATAAATTTGACAGACATACTAACCTTCATTTTGAGTATTGAAAACTGTCAATTAACGAACTGTGAGCGGTCATATTTTTCGTTGAACGCCGCGCGGAAGATCAATCCCATGAAAGGAATTGACGAATGAACGCAACTTAACTACAACACAAATTTTAACAAATTAAGTTACGACTTATTGGATAGTTTAAAAACTGCAAAACGTTGGGTAGTTGATAAGAACGAATTAGTGATTGATACAGAAAATCGCAAACAAGTCAATTTAAAAAACAAAAAAGAATTTTATTTATAATTGTTTTGTTTTATACTGTGTGTTTTTTGTATATGCACCCGTCACATTACAAAACAAAAGTAAATTGAAAGCAGCGGCGGCGCGTGGTTCCATATTTAGGGGGTGCACAACGTAAAATCAAAAAATTGGCGGCCACGCGACGACGCCGAAAAATTTTTTTGCGTTATTCAAAGGCCAATCAATAATAGAAAACTATATCTCAATTAAAAAAATAATAATAAATAACTTACCCTGCTGTCACCGATGAGTACTAACTTTGGCCTCGCAAAAAAAAATGTTTTTATGTACATAAGTAATAGTTTTTATCAAAGATTTTGTATTTCACAAACACGTTTTAAATTGAAAATCAATACGTCTGTCCTTCTTCGAGATAAATTCTTCAATCACTAATTCATTAAAATTTGGAATTTCTTGAATCATTTGTTTCTCAATGGATAACATTGCGAGAGCAGTCAACCTATTTTCACCCATTGTACTTCTAAGAAAAGTTTTAATTCTTTTTAATGTGGAGAAACAACGTTCCGCTTCTGCAGTTGTCATTGGCATCGTAACAATTGCTTGTAGTACTGAAAAAGTCTCTGAGAAATCTGTTTGCAAATTATTTTCAACTAAAAATTTAAGTAGGTGGACTGCTCCTGAAACTTCTCTAAAATCTGATCTTTTGTAGATTATTTCCAGTTCCGTCTTCAATTTATCTTTGTTCAGAAAAGAAAAATTCATAATTGCTGAATTTAAGTGTTTGGTGGGAAAATTAGTTGAAAATATCTCGAAATTTTCAACTGAAAATAAGTGCGCTCCTTCCAAATGGCCAGTGAATGAATATCTTCTTTTGATTTCTGCAAGTATAGTATCACATACTTCCTTGGCTTGCACAATCGTAGAAACATAAGAATGCCTCTCTTCTGTCTTTCTTCTTTTTCTAGTTTGACTTTCATCCATGTTTGCTAATTCAATTTCCTTTATGGTGTGAATTGTCTCCCGTTCTTTCTGTATATTTTTTTCAAATTCATTAATACATCTTTTTACGGTTACCGAATCAGTTGATCTTTTTTGCAGTTGTGAATATAAAATATTGACGTGAGGCATTATTCGATGAAAAACGGATAACCAAAAAATAAACTTAGGATCATACAATAATCTTAAAAGTGCGCCTGCCTTCGTGATTGTATCGGATTGTCTGGATGTGGATTGTATTTTTTCCATACACTCTATAAGTGCCTTCCGGTTTTCATATACGGTATTCACAGTTCTAATTTTGAAGTTCCACCTGGTAGCAGATGCACTTGGAACTCTATTTCCAACCACTTCATCCAGTATCGCAACTCTTTGTGGTGAATTTGAAAAAAAATTAGTAATGTCACTAAGTTCGGCAAAAAAAATGCGTGCATTTGTATTTATGCTTGTTGCCTGAGACATTATTAAATTTAACTGGTGTGCATAGCAGTGGATGTAATGAGCGTATTTAAATTTATTTTTAATAAGTTTTTGAACACCACCTTGAGCGCCACTCATGACGCTTGCTCCATCATAACTTTGGGAAATTAATTGATCCGGATTTTTTAAAACATAATTTAACGCTTCTTCTATGCAGCCAGCTAAGGCAACAGCATCATGTTCATTTGGTTTTACAAATGTCCAAAATCTCTCAACGGGGCTGCCATTCGGTAATGTATAACGGAAAACTATAACCATTTGAAAAATATTTGAAATATCACTGGTTTCGTCACTCATAATAGATACAAATTTTGATGCCGCAATTTCTTTTTTGATATGTGCCTGACAAACAGAGAGCATACATTCCAATAAATCGTTCTGAATGTCTTTTGATGTTCCTTTAAATATGGTGGCTTGCTGCAAATGATCCCTCAGTGCTATATCCAGTTCAGCAGAAAAATTAATGAGTCCCCTAAATATACCAGGGTTTACAGAATCTTCTTTTTCGCGATGTCCGCGGAGGGCAAGTTCAAACGCACCACAAAATTTTACACAGTTTATAATTTTTGATAAAACATATCTATTATTTTTTACTTGGACATTATGTTTTTCTATGCTTAAACGATAGACACTATTTAATTGCTGTCTAATATCTTGTTTTCCCAATAAATTAAATCCTAATTTGGCAGATAAGTGTGATTTCGGATTCTGATGTTTTTTAATTTTTTCGGATAAATGAACTAAATCTTTTACTCCGGATTTTGTCCATTCTGATGGATCTGATGCCTGATCGCTTGAAAATAATAAGCATGGAAAACAGTAGAGACTATTACTCACATCACACCCGCACAACCAGTCAGTTTTTTCATACATTTCTATTTTAAAAGTACGTTTATATTCTCGATTTTTGCATTTAGTTGTATTAATAATTAACACATTCGGTTTGGGACGTCCAACACTTTTAATTTTAATTTTTTCTTCCAATGGAAGAGAAGAAAATTTAATTGTCTTTAAATATTGCACGTTATAATTGTCCGTCATTTTAACAGAGTTTTAAAACTATTTTTCGAATACTAATTTTCAACACGCACGCGTCATCGGCTATTATATTTGCAAACGCGAACTACAAGTGCACTCATTACGTGTGCACACGGGCCAGCTTAGATCGGTAGACCGCCGCGGGAAACAAAGAGTGCGGGCGGCGGATGATTGACCAATCAGATCTATTAGTTCCATGAGCAGTGAACGAAGCATTTTACGATCGGCGGAATCGGCTGCTGGCAAAGGGGGTTTGGAGTTTTGTTTATACAATGATTTATAATTTGAAAGTGAGGTTATTGTATTTTAGAATAAAATGCCTAAAGGGCTCTTATTCTTCTAAAATTTCTTTTCCTATAATTGTTACTTCGTTGCTAAGTATTTGTACTATTACTAATATGTATTTACATATTATATATGTACCTATTAAATAAAACAATCCACTATACGATCTGGAAACCCATAGCAGATACTAAAAAAGTTTCGTACAAAAGATTCTTGGACTCTTCTGCATATTTAAAATATTATAATTTTATTGATACAGGATGTCTCAAAAGTGTGCCTCCCCCCCACCCCGACATCAACTTTGTTATTTTGAATGGAACGCCCTATATACTTCCACATTTTTGGAATCCTTGGTTAGGATAAAGCTACCTAGCTAGAAATTGAAGTTGTGTTTTTTTTTTCTTTTATATTTTGATTGCCCCATATCAAATTTAACCACAATTAGTCTGACAGATGCGTCTCAGCTTATACAGGGTGTCCCAAATAGGTGGTGCCGTTTTGGCGAATTCAATTAACAAAATCTCAAGAATTTCAAATGGAACGCACTATATTTTTATTCGGTTATCAATTCTACGACAAAAAATAAGGGGGGGAGGACACTTTTGGGACACCCTGTATCAACAAAATCATAATATTTTAAATCTTCAGTAGAGTCCAAGAAACTTTTGTGTGAAACTTTTTTTACATATAATAGGTATTTGTTTTTAATAGTTGTTTGGTTTACATTGGAAAAGAAAATATGGAAAAGTTTGTTGTTATCTAGTTTAACTTCACCATTATTTTATTTTTCAGTTACGGGCGGTTCCACCTATGAGTACGATTTTGTGATATGTTATTATTAAAATAAAGCGATAATAATTAATATTCACGCCACCTAACGCCATAAAATTAGTTCGTTCCGTAGATTCTAGATAATCTACAACTCTCTGTTTTATTAGTTTTCTGTGTTTTTATTCCATGGTCAGTCCATAGGCGACCGTGAATCACCCTTTAACAACACCTTACCGGTTTGTTGCTCTTCGCCCAGATAATGGTGATGAGCAACCTCCTCGACCTGGTGGTGCTGATGGTGGCCGTGGTGGTGATTATGTTCCGGTGGCTTTTTCACGTCGACCGCATTACGTACTATGCCCGACGCCACGTGGTTCCCCTTGTGGTGACTCGGAACTCCTTCGTCGCCGAAACTCTTCGGCAATCCTTCGAGATCGTTCAAAATCCTCTCGTTGTTCTTCTCGTTGAGGTCCAGCCTCTTCTCGAGGTCCAACAGCTCCGAGTGTTTCTTGTGTCCGTGTTTCTCGCTTTCGTTTTCCTCGACGTCCTTCTGGTAAACCGCGAACCACTGCTTCAGTTTGTTTTTCAATTTGATGTCGTTCTCGGTATGCTTCAGGGTACTGTTTTGGGCGTTCTGCGCCTCGAACAGGTCCGGGAAATCGTCCGGGGCCGATTTGTTGTTGCTCTCGTGATCCGTGAATAAATGCGGAGGCAGTTCGAGCGTGTTCGCGTCATTTATTTCGCAATCTTCTTTGCGGATTTTGTCGCAACTCTGACAAGAACAGTTCGTGATGATTTGGACCCGTTTTTGGAGAATTTTCGGCCCTTCCGCGTTGGTGCTGTCAGCGTGTAAATTCACCTGGAACGGGCAAAAGTAAATCACAATTGTTTTTTGTTTTACATCCAGATTTTGTTTTCTAAAATTATTTGCAATTTTAAAAGCGACCTACATTTTTTGCTTATAATAAGTAGACTGGTTTTACAAGAAACCAGAAGATGGTAAACTGCCGAGAGAAGCAGTGGAGTACGGAAGAAGCTAGTACTTGAACACAACAATTTGTCGGATTTAAAGGATGCCAACTAGAAATATAGAATTTAAAAAACTGGTTGATATAAAGGAAATCACCAGATGTATCTGGAATTTGACAGAAAAATAAAAGGAACGAAAACAAAAACAAAACGTATTCCGCTTGATGGAAACGAGAGTTTTGGGTTTGTTACAGTTTTCTTTTTTGGCTATTAAATTAAAAAAAACACACAAACATTAAACTTTACTATCCCCTTGGTGGAAAATCGGCTTTAGAGAAACCTTGCTATTTCAGAGTTTTGGTCTATTGTCAGTGTTAAAACACTTTACTGGTTTCTATAAGACGTGTAAGTTGTAATTTTTTGTATAATAGTGCTAGTTGGTTAGTGTTAAAATATTCTACACCATAGGGTATAAAAAGAGTACACTTTAAATATATTTAAGAGTATAGAGGGCACGCGACAAAAGTATGTCTTGAAAAGTATAATTTTATTAAATGAAATACCCTGTATTTCATTTTATTTGTGAATTCTACTGTAGGACATAAGTCGGCTAATACTAGTAGCAAAGCTTTGAATTTATATTACGTCTCACTTAATATTCAAATACACATATTTATTCGTTATCTTTTTTATGCACTTTAACAATATTTGGACGAATTCTCACAGGTTAATATTTTTTAATATTATGGAATACCCTCTATATTTTGGGGGATTTCATATATTTGTGACATTGAAAATTTCTTCTTTTTTTTCTATAGTTTTCGTTTGCTTAAGAAAAAAGGGCCTCCCAGATGGTTGCCTATTTAAATTAACGATTATTTATCCTTTCTTGTAAAATTTGAAAAATTCTTGTTTTAGTCTTGCCTGTTCTTTAGATAGCCCCACAATTTAGCAAAATATTAAAATGGGAATGTTTAAGAAAACAAGTTTTTTTAAATTTTCTTCACTTCTCTCACATATTTGGGACACTCTACTAAAACTGATCACCGATTGTAGTAAAATATATAAAAAAAACTTCAAAACCAAATTCTACAAAAGCATAAGATAACACTATATCTACTACCGTTTAACATTCGTCATTTTTATTTTTTTGTTTGAATTAGCAAATTTTATAAAAAATGTATTATATGTACTAATATATACACAAAATATTCGGAAAAAATAAGATCTTTTCTCTTTTACTTTTATATCCCTTACAGATAGTATTGGGGCTGGTCAATTGACCACTTCTTAATTGACCGACAATTGACTGCTTCAGTCACTAGTCAAAATGGATCAAAATGTTTTTACTAACAATTGTAGAGTCTTATCTAGCATTATTTAATAATAATTTGTATTTTATAATAAATTATTATGCGTTTGTGATGTCCAATTTACCTATATCTCTCTTCAACACCAGACTATTTAGTTCTTGGAATAACGCGACGTAACGCACAATATAAATAAATAAATATAAATTTTATTGTATTTTTAAATTTTAAAATTTGGTCGGTCAATTCCACAACCCTAGTTACGGAACTAGAGCACCAATCTTCGAGGGAGTTGTAGGAAGTTTTGATCAGCAAGTTTATTTATTAAATAATAAACTTTTACCAAGTTGCCAGGAGTACATACATTACATCGGGCTAAGATTTAATAATGAGAAATTATTTACGTGATAGCATTTCATCTCGGATGGTTGACAGCTGTCGCAGTACGGTCCGATCAGTTCGCCGGGTTCCGCGGGTTCCGTTTTCGGTATGCTATAGCTGTAGCACGCGCCGACGCATACATTGTTCTCGATGGTGACTGGTTCGTATCCGGGCGAACCCACCACTTGTTGAATGGGAGTTATCTGGCACCAAGAGTGTTTTTCCGGGTACAGCACTATGTTGTGGACCTAGAAGACTATATTTATGACAGCGTCTGTTTCTATTTTGTTAAGTGTAAACCAAAATGCTATTTGTAATCATTTGTGAGATGTTTGTGAGAAAAAGAAAAGAAAAAATTGTTATCAAATATGTACGTAACGTTTAAGCGCCAAGTGGCGGCCTTTTCTAATGTCTAGATGCTCCAGTGTCGGAGATACAAAGTATTGATAGTAAAATTTAGTTAGCGTCTTTGCCAATAACTATTACATCGTATATTATGCTGATGACCATTTCTCTTTTTAAAATGAGAATTCATTCCCTAAACCTCATCATCAAATCTCAAAAAAAAAAAAATAAGAGGAAACTTATAAGAAAGTTACAACATGAAATAGCCAGATAATAGGCTGTAACTAGTGCCCTCTACACATTGTGTGAAAAAACTGAATGTAATAGTATTTCTGGTATGATAGAAAAATTAAAATTTCCAGAATTAAAAGTTAACATCTTGTATTCTCTTTGGAACTGTAAACCGCGGTTTATTCGAATGTAAATATGTAATTTGAAATCGTTTTCGCTAAAAAATTGTACCTTTCTTGAAAAACAGAAAAATAGAAAACTGAAATAAGAATTCATTGTTGCGACAAACCAGTTGCGTAGTATTCCCATCTTTAAATAAATTGAAAAAACTATTTCCACCTCATATATTTTTAAGATAAAAACTTTATAAAACAGACAATGTCTCCATGTGCGAAAATTAAGGGAAATAAATGAGTAGTGCACAACAATCAATATAGTATAGAACTAGTCTGTAAATATGTGTTTCGGACGAATTCTTAAGTATATTTTATAAGTAGCAACAATCAATAGCAATAATCACTATAAAAAATAATGTTATATAGTAAACATATACTATACTAATATACTAATTGTTTTCACATTACCATCTTTAATTTTTGGGAAACAAAACTTATTGCGGGTTTTTGAAAATTATGTAAAATAAATAATATTGTAATGTGATAATTAAAATATTTGAAAAACTACGATTAAATAATAAATATGGACTAGGATAATTATTTATTAACGAGCATGGGAAAAATTGGATGTGTGTTTTCGTAAAACGCACATCGTCCGCATGTTACAAAATATATTTGATTGAAAAGGTGAACCGCCATTAGCTGTGTTGCCGAATTTCTTGACCAAGTCGAGGTACCCATATAACAAATATTAACTAATAAAAACATATTAAACAGCTACCTTGTGTTCTCTTTCACCTGAGATTGTGCGGGCGCTACCCAACAACGCGAGCGATACGTAAAGATATATGGCAACCCTGAAACAAAGAAAAAAATTAATTAAAATACAATAAAATAATGAACAAACTTCAGTCAGGCGACGTTTGTAACAGTCGGCAGGTAAGAAAAATATTATTTATGTTAAACTTATTGTTCGGATGGGATGTTGATTAAACGACTTAATTAAATTTTTGTTTACAAGCTGATGAATTAGCAGTCTTAAATAAAAATCAATTTAATATTTTTAGAAAATACTTCTTAGATTTGACGAAAGATTATTTTAAATTTGAAAAATTTAGTTCTGTGTTTTGGTTACTAACCATCTCATGAGAAAATGGATGTATTGGTCCTTGTATATATTTACGCATTTGTTAAATATTTACGTTCATGTGAACGTTTTGTTCCTACGCGAGCGTTGATGTCTCCGATCCCGTTTGGGTTCCTTTTTGTTGTTTTTAAAATTATTCTCGCAAATACGGCGTTGCCAAATCTACCCGAAACCAACCACAATTAACCATTGTCGATTCTAAATAAGTATAACAAAAATTTACTAATAGGAAAAATTTATGAAATGAAAATAAATAAATATGTTTAAAAAAAAATGACAACGTGTAACGTGTAGGTATAAAACATAAAAACAATTTAATATTCTCTGATTAATACTGTATTTTAAAGTATTAACTAATAATCGTTATCATTATTGTATAGTGATGCCAAATTGGATTTACATTTCAGCTAAATGTTAAAATAAAAACGTGTGCGATTTCCGGAGATGTTTTGTATATTTAAATTAAAATGGCGGGATTTCAGGGTGTCACTGGCGCCCTCTACATATTACGTTAAAAAATAGAATATGACCGTATTCCTCATCTTCAAAAACTCACGTAACCAAGTTTTAATGTCATCAATATCTCAAAAAGAGTTTGAGCTATAAAGAAATAACAATTTCGACAATGAAACTTCCTTCTATCTCTCTAATGAGCGACATTCTGGTACGGCATTTTTGGATCAATATCATTAATTTCACGAGTACTCAAGGATTGCTTTTCGTCACATTCATTACTGACCACCCTGTACATGAATCCAATATTACGCACAAAAAAAATGTACGATATTATTAGTAGAAAAAAAATTGAAATAATATTATTTATTATAAACTTATTTTTAATATTTATATATTATAATTTATTTAAATGTGTTGTCTACAAACTGCAGAATTCGCTGTCTTAATTAAAAATCTATTTTGAATCTAAAGACAGACATTATTCTTTTGAAGTATGTAATTTGATATTTCTTAGATTTAACGAATGGTGAAGAAACATTATTTTAAATATGGAAAATTTTGTTTTGGTATTTTATTTACTTAGTTATGAGAAAATGGACGATGTAAATAAAGGAAAAGTCCTTGAGTCAATTATTCAAACCTCTTGTATATATATATATATATATATATATATATATATATATATATATATATATATATATATATATATATATATATATATATATATATATATATATTTATATTCACAGGAATGTGGGGGTTTCGCTTCTACGCGAGCGTTGATGTCTTCGACTCCGTTTTACTTCCTTTTTGTTGTTTCTTAAAAACATTATCGCAAATAATCGGAAGCAGTGAAATTGAAGATAGCTCTCAAGAATTTTCCACAATAAATATCCCATTATTGCGGTTAAACACTTGACAGCTAGGTTTTATAGGTTTAATCCTTCTTTTAAACTTCGAGATTAAAATATGTAACATCAAAATTCAAAAATTTTTCCTAGAAACTGACATAACATTGAAATTCAGCTCATAGTGATTGTTTAAAATGTATTTAAAGCATTTACTGCACTAATTATTATAGAATGATGGGCTGCTACCACTCAACACATTGTACCCACTCAACCCGTCAACCTCCCATTCTCCGTCCTCTAAAGCACCCAAAAGTCTCCTCGAACGGTCAAAAAGCAGGAAGGTTGGAGAGGGAACAAATATTAATATAATATAAATATAACTAGGACGAGTTGCATTTGTTAGTTCTGCAGAACTCTTAATAGAAAACTCGACGTGAATCACCCTGTATGGTTATTAATCTGCATTTTTAAATAGGTACTAACGAATATGTCAAGGAATAAGAAAAGTTTACAACAATATAATACAGAGATATTTTAAACAGCAATCGCGCAATACGGGTTCGCGCCAATGTCGTCATTGCTAAATCGCATCGCCCTGTATACGTTCCGAGAAAAACCCACGGTCGGCATGCGGCAACACAAAGCTCGAAAACTAGCTACTAAGTATTCCTTTTTGTTCCTCTCTCGTGGCGATTACGATCTAAAAAACTAGACCTTGCATTACTAGTTTCTTTTCCACCGAGCCGAGAGCCAGTGCATGAAATCCCGTGTAACTACAATATTATATTACACTCGTTTCGGTGGATATCCCCGACCACAGATACGCCACTCGCACACTGAAAACTATACGTTTTCACTTCGATTTTTTTTACGGAGATAGTATATTCCGTTTTCATATTAGTCCGAAACCTTTTTGTAGTGCACGTTTAACAGTTTTACAGACAACTGAAAAACTTCTTATATTTGATTTGAATTGAATTGAATAATTTGCGATTTAAAAAAATTTCCGTATCTTCCTAATTATAAAGACATGGTAGAATTTTTCGTGATGTTTTAACTCGCAAAATCAAAGTCATTTTTAAGTAATAATAAATAAGCCAACCAATTTTTATTTTTTTTTTTATTAATAATAGATACTATTTGCTCATGAACTATAGATTTTTTGAAACAAAAGAAATACACTCTGAAAATTCCTGATATCTGTGATATCACAACTAAAGTAGTGGAATTGACCGGTTAATTTTTTGTGTGTCAATTGACCTGTCAATTTTTATTGGGTTTCCCCGAATCGCTGAGTATCGTATTCGAGTATGGTCTGTTCATAGATATAAGAAAGTGACCAATTGCTTTTGAATGGCATTATCCCAGGGTGGTCATTAACATACAATGCAACAAGGTTATTACCTAAAGTTTCGGAATTTAAATTCAGGTAAAATTGTGGTCCGTAACAGAAAATAATTTTATACCTACCTGTGTTTAATATTCTTTGGTTTGGTATACTACTTAGTTTAAGTTTGCGAATTATGCAAAATATGTGCGAGTCTAGTGTATCTCAGGAGATGCTCCCGCCCAAATGTAGAAAACACTATTCTATTGAGACTAAGGAAGTTATAAACAATGTTTATTTGACAAATTGACAAAAGGCAAGTTTTAATGGAATCTTTTAGAATTCCGAAATGGCGACTGGAATATCTAGAAAAAATTAGGATTTACAGAGAACAACAAAGGCCAATTATTTACTTGGACGAAACCCGGAATAGGGTTGCGTTGACTCAACTGATAAGTGTAAAACAAACGTGCCATAAAAAAGAGGTAAAAGAATAACTATTTTGCATGCTGGCTCTAAAGATGGTTGGATTCCAAATGGGCTTTCTCTGTCTGCGAAAAATATTAAAGATTTTTCTCTGGATTACCATGAAGACACCACCGCTGATTTATAATAATAAATAATAAATTAAATTCTAAGCAAAGTACGGACCTGTCCGGCCATATTTCATTCTTACAGCTTGCCCGGGTCTTTCCTTAATTCGTATCAGTTAGTCACCATCTTATATCTATGGACAGACTTTACTTTTTGAAGAGGTAAATTGGACATCACAAATGCACAATAATTTATTATAAAACACATATTATTAAATAATGATAGATAACACTCTACAATTGCAAGATGTTATTTAAAAGATTTTGATCGAATTTGACTAGTCAATTACGATACAGTTTGTGGCTAAATCTGGAGTGCCACAAGATTCATTTCTGAACCCGCTCTAATGCATATACCCCACTCAAGGCTGCTAAATCTATGGTATATTGATTATATTGTATTGTCAATGAGATGTACGCTTATTGACTTTTTTGCAATTTTTGTTATTTACTTTGAATAACTCACTTAAAATACAACTTTTTGACTCGTTTTAGCATCTTACCGAGTTTTCGAGGTAAAAATAAAAATTGACACTTGAAATTGAACCCTTCGATATACAGTAAACGAACTAAAATATTAAAATCAAAGGAAATGGAGGAAACAACGTCAGTGATTTTGGATAGGCGCTATCGAGGTTTAGGAGCATCTGCCATTATTATGTGTCTCCCTTTAAATAAAATTTGCCTCACAAAATCGACTTTGGAGTTCATTAATGATGGTCACCTCCAGTGGTTTTTAATTGAAAGATTGACAACTCATAGTAGATATATAAATAAATGGCCATATTCTTTTTCCAATACACTTTTTGGTTACTTAGTAAATTTAGATTCTTAGTATCATTATTGTAGGCATCTTACCAAATTAGTAATTGCAAATGTGCAAACGAACATAAACTTAACAAGTATTACTAAAGTATATTTCGGAAAGCTGTAGAATAATAAAACCGTAATAGGTGCACAAAAGGACTACAGAGTGGGGCAACGAATAGTATCCGGGTTTAGGTCAATTTGGGAGTTATTATTATTGTTATATTGTTATTGTTGTTATCCATTCACCAACACTGAGAATGGTGTTCCAAAGGCGTCCCGATAAGATACTCGCAAAAAGGAAAGAATTTTATGTTACTAACATAAAAATTAGGCATTTTGGTGGTAGTACTAGGGACACTTGTTTTTTGTTATACATGACATAAAAAATACGTTATACATCTTGACGTTATAATTATTAACGGTGTCATCAAAATGTTCTCTTAATACCCGTTGAGGTCATCAAGGTAAAAGCTTTTTTCTACTCCCTTCTGTAAAGTACTTTACACCGATCTAGCGTGCGGGAAGAGTCACTTTATCACATGAGTTTCTTGTTCCACGGATCAGATCCCATTCGGACATTTCCGGGATATTACCGCACGGGTTCGGGAGTAATCGGATGTTGTCGGAGATTTTACCGCACGGCTTGAATTTTGACGTTTGTCACTTCTGACGGTCATATCAGCGAATGTATACATATTGTTTTGCAAAAATGTGCCCAAAAACTAACAGTTGTAAAAATGTATACTATGCAACATGTTTGGTGAACTTTTTAAATCACTCGTTTATTAAACACTCGCTCCGCTCGTGCCAAAGAAACTCGTGACTCAAATGCCGTTTACCGCACTTTTTGCATAATATAGTATTCTTCTGTTTTCTTCGGTGCAGCTTTACACGTCTCAAGTATTTTCGTAGCCAGCAAACAATTTCATTGCTAAATCCATACTTTTTTAAAGCGCTACATAAATATTGTCTCCATTAAAATCTTATCTTGGCTGGGTATATATTTCTATTTAAAAAGACTTTTTACCCCAGTTTATCCACGCTTATGGCGGACACATTTTACTACTCTACACTTTTGTGAAATAGACTATAATATTTGCAGAATATCTAGTGAAAATTAACTTGTATATTTCGGTTATTCAAATGGATCACTTGGTACATCCGCGTCTTTCATTTACGACGCAATAAGACCCCGTGGAGACGCCGACGCTCGCACAGGAACGAATCCCCACTAATCCGACGAACTTTTGCGCGTCATTCCTGAATTTCGCTCGACACCGCTCGCGATTAAATCTGTTGATTCAATCGATTAAATAAGCAAATAAACCCATAACGTTACGTTTACGCGGTCCCGACCGGATCATAAATTCAAATTTATGCTAATAAACAACCGATCATCGATTCTCGTGTTTCCTGCGGACCATTCTCTCGATTCGTTAAATCGACACTCGCCGTTTAGCGAAATATATCGCGCGATCCCCGTCTGCGGATTTTGCTACACTTCGAAATTGGGTCAGGCGACATGCAACGTACACCTCCAATGGACAACACCATAAATCACCGCTCCCCGACGTTTGGTACAAATCAAACCGTGTTCACGAAGTAGGCGACGTACTTACATGCTTATTAGTGCCACCTCGGGCTGGCCACTGAGAACTACTCGATTTCACGCACAGCCGCTTGGGAAAATTACATATTTTCGCGTGTACGGCGACACCGACCGACGTTTCTCGTGAATTTGTCGCGTGAAACTATATCGCGGCAGAGCGACGCGCGCTGCTGCTGCTGCTGCCGCCGCCGCTGAAACAAAACGCCGACCAGAGAAAGGTCAAACCGCGAGAAATAACCGACTGTCGGAAACTGCTCGCAAAGGTAACTTGATCGGAGAAACACCTGTTTTAAGAGGTGCGATGTTTTCGAGAAGAAAACGGACGGGAATATTCAAATTTTTTCGCGCCCCACCGGCGGGTTGGGGGGTGGTTGCGCGGTGCCGAGCTCAGGAATAATTAATGCAAAATAATTCGCAGCAAAACGCCGCGTCGGGTCGGGAAGCACGCGATCCTAAACGCTTCGAGTTGGCGAGTCTGCTTCGACAGCGTGCAAAGTTAATGGCGAATTTACAATTCAATGAGTCCTCTGGCGGAACAAATGTTAACTACTTTGGCAGTAAAATTTGGAAAGGCCGTTTCATATGGATTTAATGATTACGGTGTGTGTTATGTTGATATTGCTTGAAAAAATGGTCCATTTGGTGTCGTTTGCCGTTCAATGGCTCTACGGATTCGTCGCAGCAGTCGATATTAAGAGAAAACTTACCGGTTATTAAATAAATTCCTAAATTTGATTTTTAATTTGAATTTAACAATTGTTGCGCCATTAACAGGCTTGCGCGATAGAGATCACAGATCACAGATCCTTCATCAATTTTAGAAAAAGGTGGTGCAATGTCAGAAAAAGAAGAGCAGCGGAGTAGAATGTCACTGGCTCTAAAGAGAAAGGAGTAAAAAAGTCTGAAAAAACGTTTTTTCAATCAAAAAATCTTGCAATATCGTATCGCAAGCACGATCGCAATCCAATACACAAATTCTTTAATAAATTTTAAATAACAATTATATAATTAAAAATATTATTGTTTAAACCATATGGTTTTCCGCGCATGCGTCTACATTTGACGCACTGACCTGCACCTTTGCGCCATTTTCTTTCCAAACAGCTATTTTCACACACTTAACTCGTTTTCCAAGAAGATTCAAAGAGATCGAGGCATATTTTATGAAAATACTGCTGTAAAAATGCCGCATCCTTAACTTATTGACGATCTGGGACTGCCCATGTTGGTCGATGAATGCAGCAAAGTCAAATGTTTGATTCTTAGTTGCTTCATAAGTTCCTGTATTATTAGCATAGGCAAGGCCTCTATAGTTCTAGCATCTATATGGTTTAAACCACTAGAAAATATTACAGCTACCACGGCAATTGATGTTCTTTGGCTGGCTATGACATTTTCGTAAATATGATATATATGATAGAATAATCTGCCATGCTTGTTTTTACATTTCACACAATTTCCTGCATTTTGCGCCATGTTCTTCCTAAACAGCGATATTTACTAACCCAACTCCTCATTACCTGAAGCTTTAATTGGGTTTGGACACATTTCGAAAAAATATTGCCGTAAAACTGTAGAATCCAAACTTATTGAAGTCTACTTTGTTAAAAACTTCTGCATTCCTCCTGCGTCGGACACAGGAGGAATCCAGAAGTTTTGAAAAAAGTATTACAGTAGCCTGTGGAAGTTTCTTTGAAAAATTATTGACATCTGTCAGCGGCCATGTCGGTACCGCGAGATCATTCGTTAAAAACTACATTTTAGATCTCGCACATATTAAATGGACCTGCTCAAATTCTTTTTCATAGTTGCTTTCTTGTATTATATATAATATATTGAAACTTTTCTTAATTAATCTATCCTTAGGCGAGCTGTAGCAATATATTTGCAACAACTGCACCCATTTTGTGGATACGGCTCTCTTTAATATTAATTGTCAGCAGTTAGGTCTTATTAGTTGAAAACGATGCGCGATTTGAAGGTCTCTGTAGCTCTATGAATTATAACCGCATATTGCTGCTAAATATGGCTATATTGATAGTACAGAAACTTTTGAAGTCACCGTGACAAAAATGCTGAGAAGGATCATTCAATATGCGTATGCGTGCTCATTTCGAGTTAAAGTCTAAAAACGTGTTTCTAAAAATAAAATGGCGCAAAGTGTGGGTTTGTGTGAAACCGTCATAAAAATATCATAGCCGCCTGAGGCGCACCAATTTTTACAATCCTCACAACCACTATATAATCTAATAGCTTTATGGTTATAACTATGACTAATAAACCATTGCAAAGAGTGTGTCGGATAATATTCTGAAGGTAGGGCAACTCAGAAATTCCCAATCTGAACAAATGAAGTTACGACTTATGCGTGTGTTTCGTGGACGCCGGAGAACCGCCCATTTTTTAAATAAAACACCAATTTTATTTATTATTGTTTTGTTTTATACCGTGTGTGTTTGGTTTGCTATTGAAAATAAAATGAAAATTGTAAACGAAGATAGAGCGAAATGCATTCAACAAAGATATCAAGGTGACAATTCCTCCGGTGGTGGCCGTTTTGTTTTCTATTTTCTTTGCTGCCTTACTTTGCAGCGAAACGGAAACGAAGGTGCTATAAAAGCAAAAATTTTCAAATTTAAAACCTTTCTTTTTTCCATTTTGTTAATTGCCATTCTTGTGCTTTTGCCTAGAGCATAAAAGTATATCAAAAACTTAACATAAATAGAGATAGTTATATGCAATAAAATAAACTCTTATAAGAATATAAAAGAATTTCGCATGTAGTGAGGTAATGGTTGATATATAAATATTTTTTCCTGTCAGGAATTAATATCACATTCGTAATGACTACTTTATACACAGTTTCACATCTTTCATTTTAATTGTGTTATTTCGTCTACTTACAAGTACTAGGTAAAGGCTAGATGTTACTTCTGTCATACAGGGTGGATCAACCAAGATAGGACAAAGACACAACACTTTCATTATACTGGTGGATGTCAAAAACTTGCAGCCAAATAATAATTATTATATAAAAACAGGATAATTCGAAATGAAGTCTTCCAAAACGAGACAGATAAAACTAAATGAGTGAGTTAATTATTTTATATTGGTTATAGCTTTATTTATTAATATGGAAGTTTTAGTTGTATAAACAAGCTGCTAAAAAATAGCAAAATTGATTAAATACTATGATAATAATATAATAATAAACTCGGTAATTTTAAAGATTAATCTACCCAGATATAGGTAGGCATGTTGTCGTGTTAACTTTCTATAAGTAGGTAGGTAAATGTAAATACATAAGCGGATGCACTTTGCGTGGATAATACTTACCTAGTAATTTAAATACCTTTGCGAATTTGTCGCGCATTATTTTAATTATATTTAAAGTTTTGCGTGGTTGTTTAGACTAGACATCTTTTTGTCCTGCTTTTTGGTAAGTTTTCTTCCTTTGATGTATCTGCTGGAAAGGCAGACATTCTAATTATTGCTTGAGTAAGTATCATATGCGACAAACTGGCGATGTAGGTAATGAACAATTTTCGATAAAAGTGGGTTATGCACCTGACCCCTGTTTTTAATATTTTTATTTCTCGAGCCTATTATATAGTTGTCATGTTTAATTTAATTTTGGTTAATTCACATTTACATTTGTAGTAATTATGATGATGATGGGTCTCTCTTCTTTGATACGAGTTATTACAGCACTTGACGGTTTAAGTCAATGATACAGAGTTCAACTTAGTTTGCTAACTTTTTAATTAACTCTATTTGCTAATGTGCACGTAAGCCAACATAAGTATAATAATTATAGTGAACTTTAATATTCTGTACCATTTAATAAGAATAGACAGACGAGTTTTTGTAGTCCGAGTTCTATCAAACATGTGTGAGGATATTCTTGCGGCGCCATCTCTTGAGAAGTCAAGATGCTACAGTCAGCTGACGGCCCAATTCGCGAATGGAAATTTTTATATAAATTGTTTTACGAATGACTAGATGATATTTTATTGATGATATTAGAATAATAATTACTAGCTACACCCTTTCTTAGCTTTATAAAGCAAAGTGTCGCGGTTAATTCCCGATTCCAATAAAGAATTCGTACCAAAGTTTAGCCTTGAATTATTGATTTTTACCGTTGCCAAATTTCAGGCAATGACGTTGAATCGAATAATGAGATTTCGAACAGATTATATTTTTTGAGTTTACTATCAAATTTTTTCAAATATTTATGAAAGCAGTGAAACTAATAATTATAAATGAAACGCATCTCGGCATTTTAAAAACTAATTTTGGGCAATTCGTAAAATAGTGATGTGCGATAAAACGATCATAAACTTGGCAACGTTGTCATAATTTTGGATTAAAAAAATTGCGTTGCCATTTATCAGCGATTGTGTTCGTGTCGCGTGCTTGGATGGTTCGTAGTTCTGACGGTGTGCAGATTTTTTTTGTGCATATTTTAGGCGTCTCCGAGTGCTTTTCTTGACGAAAATTTATCCAGTGTTATTTGATGAGTTACCCTCAACAAAAAAAGCAAGTGTTTAGCGATTCTTGATTGTGGTGAATCTTGGTGCGGTGTTTCGAAATAGTTTTCGTCCGATTTGAAGAAAATGAAAATGAAAGCCTTTAAACTTTTGATATTAAATTTTATTATTAGAAGCTCCAAGACTGTATCAATGTATCAAGAATCAATTTAAAAAACTGAATAAAGGAGGTTAGGAAACGCTGATTAAATTTCCCAGAACTTGTGACGCAACTGGATCTCTAATTTAGGCGACGGAGTAATAGAAAAAAGTGACTAATCCGGCGACGAGTGCTTAAATCTTTTAACTGGTTCAACCTTTGTTGAATTTTTTGATTAAATGTTTTTATATACGCCTATTATGCCTTCTAGTGATTTTAACAAGTATATTAAAGTAGTGTGTCGCAAGTATTTGGATAAGATTTGCGAAATTTCCGCGAATAAGATGCACCAGATCGAGTGTTCATTCTTCTCTACTGAGGCGGCTTACAGAGCGAAGAACGATCCTGGGGATTGACAGCGGCTTACCCGAATGTCTTACCATGGTTTTCTGACGTTCACTTGATGCTTTTTGTATGCTTAATGTTTTTATTATGGTAAGTATAGAAGTCAGCATCTCTTTTTTTTTTATTTTTGAATCGACCATAATTCAGTCGCATTTGAAGTTCATTTAAAATAATATCAAGCATACTTTCAGAGAGCCCAAATCAAATTCTGCTGTTACTATTTATATTACTATTTTAACTGAACTTAATGATTCATGGTCATTTTGATGATAATGGTGTATATATGGGCACAGACTTTCGAATTAGTGATTGTTTTTGTTTTAGATTCTGATAGGATGGTGAAATAACATAATATTTATCAAAATATTCCAATAATGTATGTGTGGAAAGGAGCATTGCAGTTAGCAGTGGAAAATGTGGCTTATAATTAAAAGAAAGAAGTACAGATAGCAGAGACACTGTGCTGTGAGAATAAGGGGAAAAGTTGGGACAAAGGGGCTCCAATAAAAGTTATTATTATTTTTCTGTGTTATTACTATTAATTTGAATTTGTTAAACCATTGATCATTGCTAGACGTTGTATTTGATTAGTATAGATAATAATTTTTGCGGTGGTTTGTTTTACTTAATTGAGTTCTGGATTTTGAGTGCGCGAATCTGCATTTATATAGACATTTTCATATAATGGGTAGTCGCGGCATTTTCGCTAGGATTTTCAGTAAAAGCAGATCAGATATTGAGAAGATACAGGAGCAAAATGAAGGCCTTCTGAGAGGTTTGTGTAATTTAAAACATTTCTTAATAGTATATAGAAAATTGTTAAGAAAATTTTTTCAGAGAATTTTTTTGCTTGATAAGATAGCGTTAATTCCATTACACGTTAATTGTTGACCAGCATTGCTTATTATATTTATTTTCCCATTAACCGCATTTAGTTAGACTTTTGCAAGAGTGGTTTTGATAATACCTACTTTGAAAATTAATTTCTGTGATAAGAATAATGACATGCCTTATCTAGTGTAACTGTTTTGAATAATGTGTAGGATATAACTCGATACGAAATGCTTGTGTGCATGAAAGTTTGAGAAACAAATTGCCTTTTGTTTTATTTTAAAATTTATAACTTTAGCCCTATCACTAATTTATTAGATAAGTTTGCTTAGTTTTAATTGCTTGTTCCCAAGAAGTACCCTTTGAAAGGATTATTTAAATGCACTTGATTCATGTATTGATAAGCACCTTGGTATTATAAATCCGTTTTTTTCTTATTCCGTTTGAAAATGTTCTCGGATCATATCTTATCTTAACTAATTCATTATATATTGTATGATTCCGAGATTTAGTTCGCATATCCTTTACCTTGCTTTTATCTGTCAGACTTACAGATTAATGTTTAAAAATTACACTGTACGTTTTTCCAATTAAAACTTGAGTCAGAGATCACAGTAGAGCTTGCGGCATTTCACACATGGTGTTATATTTTTTCAGTTAATAACTCGAACAAGTACAAAATGTACTTAAACAAGGGTCAAGATGATCAGATGGAGATTTACTACTATCGTTCCAGCAGGATTAAAACCGCGTTCACCTATTTTGGGTTTATTCTCACTTGCGGCATATTGAGACTGATATTCCACTGGATCCCACACTTATTTTTATACTCCACCAGTGTGAGTTGTAAGGTTTATGAAGCGGAGAAGATTTTGATTGTGGTAAGTTTCAATTATATCAGAAAAAGAAAAGAAATAGCGTTAGGAAATGTAATAATTCTATTTTTTTATATTATACTTACATGTTTATTATATATTTTTATAATTGAAATAACAGTTTAGTCCAAGTTACTAGCAATGAGATTTGGAGATTTTTTTTTTAACCCGACGCGTTATTATCTATGTTAAACCTATTTTATAATCAGTGCTCCGAGACTCAAAAATATTTCACCTCACTTTAATCCAGGAATTATTTAATGGAAAGCACAAAATCTACCACGTCAAACCGCTGAAGGTCCTAACTCCAGAGAGCGTTGCCAAATTGAAACACGATGACGACATGCTGAACAGAAATAATGTTCAGAGTGCGTCCGTCCCATCGCTGTCAGTTCATTTCGAAAACGGGGAATTCCGCGTGGTCGACAAGTTGTTGATGTTTTCCTGCAAGAAAGTCACCTACATTTGGGAAGAAAACAAGCACGAATTTATTAAATTGCTCGGTCTGGATAAGGGCGTGTCTTGCGACGTTTTCCACAAGTACAGGCCTCTCAGTTCCAGTGAAAATTTCATGAGGTTATTTAAATTCTATCTTAGGCATAAGCAGCGTGGATGAAAATTTTGGCGGTCAATTAATTAATTGATTATTTCATTTATTTTATTTTAAAATGTTTCAATCTGCGATCATCATGCTGTAATTTTTGAAACGTCAACATTTTTGCCACTCCTTAAAATAGTTCAATTTCAATAACACTCTATATTTAGGGGATGAATAAGGGCGAATCTAAAGCGTGCTATATTATGTCCTGTTGACTTACAAATTTATTAATAGCGGAATAATAATTTCTAACCTTATTTACATTCACTTTACTCCTTAAACATGAACTTATCTCACTTTAAAAAATTAACAACTGACAATATAAATATTTTTTTGCTGTTTATGACTAAATGGTGATCATAGGGATGATGTAATGGGGCTTTTGAAGGAACACAAAATTTTTTATCTAGGATTTGTCCAGATTTACCAATCAAAATACTGTATTTCAATGATCGCATTAAATTCTAATTTTTTTATTTAGGAAACTGGTGTACGGCTCGAACAAAATTCTAGTCAAAGAATCGTCCATCATAACACTATTGTTTCTGGAAGTTCTCAATCCGTTCTACGTGTTTCAGTTGTTGAGTTTCATACTTTGGTTCGCCGATCAGTATTATTATTACGCAGCGGCCATTATGGCCATGTCTGTGTTTGGAATCGCCATGACTGTCAGGCAAACGAGAAAAGTACGTACCCTACGTAGTTTGGAACATTTTTTGTCGCTTTTAAATCACTTCCTTGGTCTAACTATAATCGACTATTGAAAAAGTTTAAAGATGTATTTTATTTTTTTAAATATTAAGTTTCTGTTAGTACAGTTTGCTTCATTCTTAGAAGAATTTTGTCATTGACATTAAAGCAACATATATTTTGGGCTTGGCTTCTCCACAAATGTTTTTAAAACACTTTGGTTTTGAAATATCCCTTGTCAACATCAATGTTGAGGTAAATTTTAGGTATGGTGGTATTTACGACCTCCATATTATTAGTATTTAACACGTTCGCTGCCGGGAAAAATTTGATGAACACCCCTAAAACTGAAAAACTTTCAGAAAGACTCTTTAATATATATTAGTATAATAGTTTCAGATGTCAGCTTGACAGATTTCACTGACATTTTGACATGACACAAGGGTTGCGTCATTGACCTGGCGCAAAAGTTTTGCCCCTTCATATACTTCAAATACATATTCTTAATATATTTGGCTATCGCCTTTGGCTTGTCTTTTCTTTCGCCTCTTCGATTCTTTTGTTATTCCAAAGTACCGTCAAACTCAGTAGAAATAAACAAAACTTCAAACAAAGCACTTCCCCCCTCTTGACCTTTGAGTCTTTTCTTAGTGTATCAGTTAGGAGAAACTCTTTGGCAAAGGAAAAACTATTATAGAAATTATCACACTATGTCCTATGCCTAAATACTTTAGCATCAATGCTAAAATATTCATAGCATGACCTTTGCCATACATATCTTCTGCACCAGTGTAAATTCTTACTTTTAAAACTAAACCGGAGGGTTCGCAAAAGACATACAACTTTATACCAAACTTATGCTTCTTATTTTTAATTTATATACGAAAAAGTATTTGACCTCGTCATAAAACTATTGACTTATCAAGGGACAGATTTTTCCGGGATAATAAATTTCATCCATTTTACTATTTATATAATCCTGAATGAATCTTGTTTTATGCAATCGATCTCGAACCCAAGTTCTCCTCTCTTTGGATTTTTTGAAAAGTGCAAGCAACGCAATACGAGCAGAAATCGGGTTCTACTCATATGTTGCAAAAAAAGCCCAAGTTGTAAAGTTCGTCTGTCTTCCAATAATCCTGGGTTATCTTTATTTGAATGTGACCCATATGAAGCCATAAAGGCCAAAAACATTTTGATTTCGGAATGTGTAAGTGGTTTTCAAGTCGTAATTCGAGAGGAGGAGGCGGCTAGCCAATGTCAGCAGTTCATCATCCGTTAAAGGTCTCTTTCTGTCCCACTCAATAGGTCTTTTTTTTTTGCAAGCCATTGCAAAAACACGTGCTCAAACGCGCCAAAACTGTCCAAAAAAGCACCAGCGCTGACTACCTACAATTTTTAGTGCACTCGGCACAACTGTTGCGTCATCGGTTTGTGGTGGTGGAAGGCCATGACGTAGCATATGCGTCATAGGCAGCGAACGTGTTAACAAACGTAATATACAACTGTATGAGAGCATGCTGTACTTTAATTGGTAAAATATGGTAATCTCTAGACTCAACCAACAACACATTCAAGGAAGCCCAATGCCACTTTTATAATTCTCTTGCAGAACCAAAGAAACCTAAAATCGACGGTCCATTCTAGCGATATTTGCACGGTTCTACGGAAATCCCAAAAAATTTCAGACTACGAGTCAAACGATCCGGGATTAAGCATGGAATCGGTGTCGACTGAATTGTTGGTGCCGGGCGATATAATGGAGATCCCCTCTCACGGCTGCATAATGCACTGCGACGCGATCCTACTTACAGGCAATTGCATCCTGAACGAATCCATGTTGACAGGCGAGAGCGTTCCTGTCACTAAAACCGCACTGCCAAACATACAGGGACTGACGTACGATCCCAAAGAGCACGCGAGACACACTTTGTTTTGCGGCACTCAAGTGATTCAGACTCGATACTTTGGCGATGAGAAAGTGCTCGCCGTAGTTATAAGGACCGGGTTTTCCACAGCCAAAGGTAACAATTTAATCTATTTTGTTTATTTACTTATTTCCCCCTTCAGCGAAATCGCTGGTTGTGGACAACACTTCCAATTTACAGATTAATCTGCAATCAACATTAATAATAATACACAAATTCAAATAATATATGTAAATCACAATTCACATTTACAGTCATAACACTCTTTCAACAATTTATAAACGAAAAAGAGAAGAAACAAAAAAGAAAAAAGTGGTAAATATGACAAATTTCAGACGTTATCCGAGCTCCTAAAATAATTTCTTCCATCTAAAAATGTTTTACTTAAGTCGATGTTTAAGTAATTACTGAAAATATTTCGCCATTATGCATGGTGTTATTGCACTGACATTATATAATTTAATGAATGAAAAAATACTCGTTGTAACGGTTGCTGCTTGGTATTCTTGAAGAATTGCTCGAAAAAATTCGTATAAAAATCGCTCGGCTGGATGTACTAATGACAGCGATGAGCCAAACTAGATACCAGGTTGCCAAATATTGCAGCCATGCTTTTAATAAAATCAAATATGAAAAAACTTATTATTTTGTCTAATAACGTCACAAAGGGTTCTATATTTAACACTAAAATTGCTAGTCATGAATTCAAGCCCTAAAAAATAATTGGTGTCATTATTAGGTTCTAGGCTTTTAGCAAAATTAGTAACCAGTGAAGAATTCATTGTAATTATACAATCACAGTTTTATTCCGCAGTATCGCTACAATTTATTCTAGATTGGTCAGCATTCCTTACATTACAATGTAAGAAAGCTTCGATCGAAAGAGTTGCGCAATTCACAAACTCTTTTATTGTTATGTCTCCACGAACAAAGTCTCTCACAAACATTTATTTGCAAGTCTCTGTTTTAACTTCATTTGATGATGTTTTGAAGATTTAAATTAAGCAAATCTAAATGTTTCAAGAGCTATGTAAGTAGGTCAAGCGTGACTCAATGTTCGCATTCTATTTGTTTACTCTTTACTTGATACTTTTGATGATATTGAATGAACTGTCACTGTTTATTTGTTAATATTTATGGTGCAATGTGTTCTAAGTGTAGAGTCAAATTAATTAATTAAAATAAAATGATACATTAGAAAATTACAACCCGAATCATAATATGAAATATTTGCCCCAAACATGTACCGATCATTTGGCAACGTTGTGTTATTTGACAGGCATCGCGTTTGTCAGTGTGATAGTAATAAGACTAGTTGTCAACATGGTCGTTCCGTTAGACCGGAAAAGTTAATTAATAATCTTTTTATGCTATTTGGAGGGAGCGAAATATAGATTCGGCGTAAGGCTGGGGGCAAGATTTACTGATTAGATTGTATTTTATTTTTTTGAGTCATTATCACTATAGACAATGTTCCTGTCCACTTTTTTTTTTAATTTGGACATCGAAACTAGAACCCATGGCGATATAGAAAATTTCAATTTTTTTTGTAAAACATTAAAGCCCGAGAAAACGGGGCGTGGCATCACGTTTAACGTCATTCCCTTCATAGATTCAGCAGCAACGTTCATGCGGCATGCGGAACGCGTTTAATTTTAAAGTGACAAGTTAATGGGTTGCGCATGACAGTAATAGTTAAAAGTGCCTAATAGGTATTTTATGATTTCAAACTGCCCCACAGTTTCGAGAAATGTACCAGGAAAACTATTTATAAGCGTACCTTCCGATACGTAAGCAAGAAGAGTTTGGCAGAATGCGATGCGTGAGATTTTTTTTTTATATATTTCATTTCATATTTTATTGCCTTAAACTACATCTGCTCAGGTTGCGGTTGCGTTTGCTTCTACCTTGATTTTTTATTAGATTAATTTGAATAATAATCATGTGAAACTATGTACCTACAGTGAGTACCTTCGATTTGTTATATTACCTTCATTTATTTAGTCTCTGTTAGGGATCCTTCTAATATAACATGTTATTTACCTCTGCAACATGATTCCTCGCATTTCCGCACTTATAATATATTTTGTTTGAAATAGTTACCATAAAAATGTCAACTAAATTTGAAGAATCTGCCTTTCTAAAGCCTGTTTCAAGGGAATACATTACCAAAACACTTAAACAACCATGTTACTATAAAAACCAAATACGTATAACGAACGGTGTTTGTGCGAACGCGCGCGCCGAGGCTACCAATGCAGGGAATGACGTCACGAACCTGTGGATTCTTTCCAGCGCCCTACGATGTTTAAAGTTTGATGATAAAATGTTATTGAACCAAGTGAAAAAAAGCTGCAAAAGCGAATGTTGCAAACAAATCCATGGCTGTGTTATCAGCAAACCTATAAAATGACCACAGGTCTCAGATTATTGAATGGAAAGAGGAAAGTCACTCCCCAATCATTTAGTCGCATGCCACTATTTATTTCATTTACAGTTACATACTGAGATAGTAATATCCAACAAAAATGTATATTTTGCGCTTGTGATTTTAGGAAGCCTGGTTCGTAGTATTTTGTATCCTCCACCGGTGGATTTCCGTTTCGAAAAAGATTCCTATAGGTTTGTCGCACTTTTGGCAGTGGTCGCCGGCGTGGGCTTTATTTATACCGTTATCGAAAAGGTTAGTTTAGCCACCCATTGTAAATAGTATCAAAACCGATCAATTTTGTTTACTGGGTAAAACGTTCACCTTGATTGTTCATATGTATCAAATAAACTTCATTTTCCTGCCTTCCGTATTTGGTCATTTGAACTACTCGCGCAATCTATGGCAATAACCAATCCCTATGTAAATTCGCAAAATTTTTCGGTCCACATCTAATTGCTCTGAGACATAATTTTTTAGGTTATAAAAGGCGTACATGCTAGAGACTTAATTCTTCAAGCCCTTGACTTAATAACCATAGTGGTACCGCCCGCTTTGCCAGCAGCCATGACGGTGGGTAGATTTTACGCACAAATCCGTCTGAAGAAAAATCAAATTTACTGCATTTCACCGAGAAGTATCAACGTCTCCGGTAGTATCAATTGTGTTTGCTTTGATAAGGTACTTAATTTGTATATTTTAAAGTCCGACAAACCGAAATTTGAGACTTTTAGACGGGAACTTTGACCGAAGACGGTTTGGATTTGTTGTGTGTGGTCCCGGTTAGAGATAAAATCTTCAGGCAGGCGGTCAGTGTGGTGGACAGTATGCCCTATGATACGTTTGTTTTTGGTTTGGTTTGTTGTCATTCACTGACCATTATAAACAAACAAATTGTTGGGGATCCTCTCGATTTAAAGGTAAATTTCGATCAAACAGGCAAAATATTGTATTAGTTGATTTTTTGCAAAATTGCTAAAACCGTCAAAAAAGTAGTTTTTAGCGGAGCACAGTGGAGACGTTAAAAAATTCCGTATAACTTGAAGTCGAGGGGTCTTTAACAAAAACAGAAATTTTATTTTAGCTGAAAAATCACCTATTAAAATATTTTGCATCAAATTTAGATTTAGCTTTCAAAATTCTATCAACAAAATTATGCATTTATCTTTCTCTTGCAAACTCATAAAGACAAATCGCTTCCTATTGAAAACAGTCTATAAAATAAAAATAAATTAATAATCACAGCAGCAAATCCTATAATCAATACGAAATTCACTTTAATGTCCTTGGTAAGTCAAATGCGACAATTCATGATATTAATTTATAGTTTATAAGTAGTCAATCCTTTTTTTATTATACAATAAAAGCTAATATAAAAAAAATAACAAAAATTCTACTACTGCAACTGCAGTTCGACATCTCTTATGACCAACAACAATAATAATTGTGATCATACTGTGATAACCTTATACTTTGAATACCAGATGTTTGAATCCACAAAATGGGTAATGGAAGAGTACGAGGTGGCAGACAGTAACAAATTCGACATGCTTTTCCCAACGGTGCTAAAACCTCCAAAGAATCGATCGCCCGAAAACCACCATTTAGAGGATGATCTCCAAATAGGAATCCTCAGGGAATTTCCGTTTTCCAGCAGCTCGCAACGCATGGGCGTGATCATTAGGAGGCTGAACGGTTCCCATTTCGAATATTACTGCAAAGGTTCGCCGGAGATGATTTTAAATTTCGTAAAAAAAGACACGGTACCGGTCGATTTTCACGACGTCCTCGAAATGTATACTCAGGAGGGGTACCGGGTGATCGCGTTGGCGCACAAGGAATTGAGGTTAAGTTACGCCAAAGTGCAGAAAGTGCAACGGGAAGTAATCGAGAAAGATTTGAACTTGTTAGGTTTGATTGTGCTCGAGAATAGGTTGAAACAGGATACGACCCCGTGCATAAGGGCACTAAACGAGGCACAAATACGGGTAATCATGGTGACAGGTAAATAGCATTTAAGTCGATCGTAATGAAATCACATAAGTTTAATTGGTAGGCGATAACATCCTGACCGCGCTCTCCGTGGCGAAGGACTGTGATATTGTCACCCCCGGCCAAACTATCATCAGTGTCAATACGGACACTCTGCATCCGCCAAATGTGTATTACACCGTAACTAATACCAAGGACCGGTCAAAAGCTGCTAAAGATTTATCCATTATGTCGAACTCGGCAAGCGTGGTCAGTCTGGACACTGTGGAGAGTCAACTTCAGTCGAATTCGGTCAGTATGAGGCCCGGTGAGAGTGGCGACTCGGGGGCTAGACCTACAACTTTGTGTAACGACTACCGTTTCGCGATGACGGGGAAGACTTGGGGCACCATCAAGGAGTACTATCCTGAACTACTGCCTAGGATTTGCACGAGAGGTACAATATGGAGGTTTTGTTTTGAGAAAATTACATTCCTATCTTCATGTTGGCTATTGCAGGGACCGTTTTTGCGCGAATGTCGCCCGAACAGAAGCAGCAACTCGTTCAGGAACTTCAGAGTCTTGGGTATTACGTCGGTGAGTATGAAATTCGAAATTATTGGTTAAGTATAGGTATGGGTTTAGGATATAAAACTTCACCTTTAGAAACCGTTCGAAATTTTTTAAACCCTTTAAAATCTCTTAAATTGAGTTTTCCGTTTACACATAAAAAGTTATATTTTTGTCGCTTCCTACAGGGTCGGCTCCTCTAATAAATTTGTTTTGATTAATTAAACTTATTTCTAGTCACACTTTTTGGTTTATGTTCGTTGCTATTTCATGAAAGAGATACTGATCAGGAGGCAGCATCCTGTCAAAACTGCTATTTCTGAAAGCGTCGAGGGTCTCTAAATTAGGACGTTGACGTTAATTTGCTTGTCTATAACGGTCTGTTATTCGGAGACTGTGGTAAGGATATTTTTATTATAGAGGAAGGTACTGTGAATCATCTTTCATCTGGAATACTGGAAAAAACTCTTCACTGTACCGCCAATATGCTTAATATATGTAAAAAAAAATGGTATTGTTTGAAATACAAAACAGTATACATAATCACGCCATACAAGATTAAGGCAACCTAAGATTAAAATACCTAACTTAATGATTGCCATCAATCACATTCAAAAAAATTTAACCAACTTAGAATCTGGTGAATGGAATTTTAGAGTGCTCTTCATATCTATGAGGTTTGTTCCACGGTAATCCAGGCCGTGACTCTTTAAAAGTTCAGGTCCTACAAACATGAGCTCTCAAAATATATTAATTTTTCATTTTAAGTATTCTATTCACTTCATTTTGTCTGCTCTCTCCAGGAATAGTATCCATGAGTGCCTCAATAGGGGCCCGGGTTTTCCAACATTTTGAGACATCATTACAAGACTAGAATTATTTCGTTTGCGTGACTGTGTCGATGGGAACTTTTTGCGCCGCTTATTTTTTTATTTAAAGCGTACTCACTCGATAAGAAATAACGTTTTCCCTTGGTAATCGATAAAGTTCAACGCTATATACAGCGCAATAAGGCTCTCGTGACAACATTTTAAAACGGAAGAATAAAGTGTAAGTAGTAAAAGTTAGGGGTTGATCATACAAAATATCGCGCAAAAAAATGTTTCTCATAAGATTATGATTGTGATTCATTCCAAGTGCTTTCCTTGATCTTAAAACTATGAATCATTCAGCATTCAGCAGTTGTATTATGTAGTATTTATCATTCCTGAGAATACGCCCAATGTATGCCGATTTCTTTTTGGTAATTATGCTCTCTTGCTTGGTTCATGTGTATAATACGGATTTGATACGTTTCATTCATTCATTTCATTATAAATCGAAATATCCACATTCTAAGGGCTTTAATTTACCTCATTGTGGTCACTTTCAAAATCCAGGATTTTATTCCATATAATACTTTATGGAATAATAATAATACTATACTAAATACATAATAAATACTATACGATATCGGATATTTAGTCTTAAATATTTGCTCGCTTTATTTTGAGAAAACACTAAAGACGCTTGAATTTAGCTGCTTGTATCACTTCATTATTTACCGTTGGCCGATTTCGCTTCTTGGAAATAATAATTACTTTAATCTTACGAACAATAAAGTTCGTAGACCCGTATGGTCGGAGTATCTTATCTTGCTTAAGATCTTCCCATTTATGTTAATACCTTGCTCGCAGTCACTTAAAGCTTGGGAGAAGATCTCTTCAGAATGTATGTTAAAGTAAAGCGGGGACAGAATGCAACCTTGTCTTTTAATTGCTACCAGCTTGTGTTTCTCTATATCATTCTTACAGTAGCGATTTGATTCCAACATAGATGTTCAATAATTTTTAAATCATTCAAGTCTAGGCCCTTTTCGTTTCAAGAGAACAATTAATTGAGAACATTGAACTGACTTTTGCAAAATATATGAAGTATAAATATATGTTGGACTCGGCATGTCTTTCTAGGCTGCTTTAAAGCATCTCTGGTACCCATGCCTTTTCTAAAACCAAATTGTTCCGAGCTAAATTATTTTTAGAAATACTTGAACCGAATGAGATATGAGGCTGATGAGACTGACCATTGCATCCTTTTGGATTGATAAAACGTTAACCAATCTTTTGGAATATCAGTTCTATGTTTGTAGCTTTATTACAGGGTGCGGCAAAATGATAGGTACTATTTGGGATGTTAATAAAAACCAAACCACATAACGCAAACATTTTTTAAATTATTTTTGAAATGTACATTATTTTTTAAAAATGATGTCTTTTAAATGACGACCATTATTGTCGATGCACTCTTGTAGGTTCTCGCGGAAGCGCATCGTTACCCGATGGATCATTTCTTGGGGAATTGAGGCAATTTCTTGTCTTATGGCTGCCTTTAATTCATCCAAAGTCCGCTTTGTGAAAAGTCTCGCTTTCAGGTAACCTCAAAGAAAAAAGTCGCAAGGCGACAAATTAGGCGAACGTAGCGGCCAGCCAAGATCACCCCGAAAAGACACCACTTTGTTTAGGAACATTTCTTGAAGAAGATTTAGTGAACGACGCATTGTGTGCGATGTAGCGCCATCCTGCTGGAACCAAAGATGTTCTCTTTGATCGTTGTTCAACTCGCTCACTTTTGGACTCAGGAAATTGTTAAGCATATCAAAATATCGATCTCCGTTGACTGTTACCGTTATTGCATCTTCTTCGAAAAAGTAAGGAACACACGCGCCGAACTCCGAGATTGCACACCAGACGGTGACTTTTGGACTGTGAAGAGGTCGCTCATGAAGTTCCTGTGGACTATTTGCTGACCAATAATGGAGATTTTGCTTACTTACGGTACTCGAGAGGTGAAAGTGAGCTTCATCGCTAGACATGAATACAGCGCCTCTGGGAATGTTTTGAAGAATATCCCGGCATAAATTTGTACAGGTTTCAAAATCTCTTGCGCTTAATTCCTGCACTACCATCATTTTGTACGGATGCATTTGGAGTGAGTTGTGTAAAATTCTCCGAACACTTCTATCGGGAATTCCCAAAGCAGCTGCATGCTTACGAGCTGAACGCCTTGGAGACTGTTGTACGGAAACTCTTACTGCATTCACATTTTCCGGTGTTCTTACTGTCCTTGGTCGGCCAATAGATTTTCGGTTAAGCATAGAACCTGTTTCTCTGAAGTGTAAAACCCACCGACGAATCGTTCTTCCATCCGGAACCGCGCCATGCCGACCAACATCAAACTGATTACGAAAGGCGCGCTGCGTCGCTATTACAGATTCCCCATTTCTAATAAACTCCTCGACAAAGAAAATTGCATAATTTTTTCTGCCTAACGCGAGTGCGTACGCAGTGTTTCCGGTTTTACAAACCGAACGACCACTATTTGAAATCCTGCTTACCTTTTTGCCGCACCCTGTATTTGCCTAGGTATACCATCAGCGTCTGGAGCTCTACCTTAGTTGTTATAAGCGCGTGTTCGACTTGGGGTTTTAAAATGTAATAGGAGATCTTGCATCTCAGAACTGTCTTTCTCTATACTTTTAGTTATTTTTGATAGGATTTTGTACTTAAGTTAAGTTTGACGTTATTTTCAGCGATGTGCGGGGATGGCGCCAATGACTGCGGCGCCCTGAAAGCGGCCCACACCGGCATATCCCTGTCGGAGGCTGAAAGCAGCGTCGCGTCGCCGTTCACGTCCAAAAACCCGAACATCACGTGCGTTTTGAACGTGATTCGCGAAGGACGCGCGGCTCTCGTCACCAGTTTCGGCATTTTCAAATATATGGCCAGCTATTCGTTGTGCCAGTTCGTATCGGTCCTAGTCCTGTACTCGATCGACAGTAACTTGACCGACATGGAGTTCCTGTACATCGACCTCGCGATTATTTCGATATTCGCGTTCTTTTTCGGCAAAACCGAAGCGTACTCGGGCAAACTGGACAAGAAAACGCCGCTTAGCAGCCTGATCAGCTTGTCGCCGGTGCTCTCGCTGCTCGTTCACATGGTGCTCGTGGTGTTCTTCCAAGTGGCCGCGTTCGAACACCTCAAACTGCAAGACTGGTACGTCCCATTCAACAATACCGATCCCGACGACGTCGCGTGCGTCGAGAACTACACCATATTCACAGTATCGAGTTTCCAATACATCATTTTAGCCATAGTGTTCTCGAAAGGCTACCCGTATCGCAAATCGATTTTCTCGAACTACGGCTTCATCGTATCGTCGATCGTCATGACGGCCATATCGATTTATCTCGCGGTCGCCCCGTCGCCGTTTATCCGAGACCAGTTCGAGTTGGAACTGCCCGAGAGCTTCAACTTTCGCTTGTACTTATTGGCTTACGCGGCGATCAATTTCGTACTTAGCGTCGCGGTAGAGTACTTCTTGATCGACGAGCTGATATTTAAGAAACTGCGGTTCAGGTACCACGACGTCGACAAGTCGAAAAAGAGGTACTTGGCGATCGAGCGCGACCTGAACAAAGACCGGAAATGGCCGGTACTCACGTCAGATTTCAAGAGCGCGGCGAGTCCGTCGAACCCGACGCCCGAATGCCGCACTGAAATCATCGTCGAAAAGGAGAACAAATTCGACCGTAACCACGTGCTGAACAAACTCTACGACAATAATAATCCGAACGGGTCGGCGTTCGCGACACCGACGCACAATTTCGAGACGCCGACGCGCGCGCGACATCTCGGTAACCAAGAGACGGGATATTTCTCGCAGGAGGATTTGCTTTTCTCCAGTTTGCCGTCGGAAAATCGATTTTCGAGTCCCTCGAAGAGTGACACGTTTAAATCGTTGAGCGACAACCAGAGCAGTTACGACATGGCCAGCTCGCAACTGAACATACCGGACATACCGTTCGATGACGCGTCGGTCACTGTGGGCGGTGCTAGTTCGCCCACGAAATCCGTAAACATATCATTGAAAGATCGGAGTATTATGTCGTCGGAACGGTCGGATAATGTTTTTCCGCATTTCGATGCGTACGGGATGAGCAAGAGTCCGCCCGAAGGCGGTAACGGGCAGCATTTGAGGTTAGAATTGAATAATTTCGATATCAATAGGTGAGGTACGATTATTGGTACGTTAATTTTGATCCCGCTAGATGTCTCGAACGGTTTATGCGTTCGTTTGAATCTTTAATTCAGACGAGCACGTTTCCATGCGTCATCCGAAACAAATTCCATATAGCTATTAGATAATATTGTGTAAGGAGGGTATACGATACTTTCACACTAACCTGCACTTTGCGTCATTTTCTTAAACAGCGATCTCGACACACTTGTTCTCCCCTAAATTCTTAACGGGATCCGGATATATTTTGAGAAAACACTGCCTTGAAAATGCCAAATCCACCCATATAGGTTTGGCTAAGTCTTATCGATTGAGCGACATTTGAAATGATGGCGCATGCGCATGCAGAATGATCCTTTTAAAAATTTATATCTAGTAGCTATATGACAAAATCCCTTACATCATCAACCAGAAAATTGACCCGGTTGCCATGTTTTGACGGAAATCTGAAAATATCTTCTTTTTATAATAATTCAAGCAATCATTGATAAGTAAACACTGTAGTTCATGTGTTTTGATTACTTGACATATCCAATTTTGTATCTCTCTGTATAAATGCACACAGTTATAAAAATAGACAATTTCGAGACCTGACCGGAATAGTAAGCGATTAAATTGGTTGGAGATTTGGTAACCTAAATATAGATTCAAGCGAACGGATTAGCAGTTTAGCATTTACCTCTTTCTGAAAAGTATTTTGTATGCGTTTTCCTATTAGCTAGGTTAGTAGCGGAAAATTGTAGGTGCTAAAAATGTCGGTATATGTTGTTGATCTACATGTTGCCAGGACTACTATACATAGCTAAATTGTGATTGAATATTAGGTTAGAGTCAAAGAGTTTAGCTTGGATTATTTGAATTATGTCGGTTCGTTATAGGTTACTTGAGCACCTAAATGCATTTGGTTTTAATAAAAAAAAATGTTTGCATTTTTCGGGAACGATTTTATCGAAGCGATTTGCATCATTTTTCGGCGAACTCTACAGTTTTCTGTATCTTATTATTGTTTTAATTAATATCGCGAGTATTACTTAATGCCTAAGACCAAATCTTAACTTTTTTTGGGTATTTATTTTTTACACTGATTCGCAGGGCTTTTTGCTTGTTGAATCATTGTTATTTGTTGCTTCGAGACTAATAAATTATTTACATTATTCATATCGCCCTTTATTTTTCCCATCCGCGAAGTGTCTCTCCCAATGACAGGATAATAAAAAAAGACTCGCAAGTAATTATACAAGCAGATACACACGATTCTCTAAGGCTGTTGATTTCCAAATTTTAGATAATAATGACGATCTATTTTCTTTTCGGATTTAAGTAGTTTGGTGATAAAAAAGAATATATTTTTATACTAATATTTTCGCGCCGTCCGTCATTTATACAAATTCTAGGGGTTTGTAAATTCTCGACTGCAATGGGTTCAACACAGAAGGATAATTGTGAAAAGATAAACAAGAAAAAAATTGTGAAGTATAGTTTTACAAAACTGGTGTTTGACATTTGGTTACCTTCACATATAGCTATTATATAGAAAGAGTAAATATGGTAAAATTGTTATACCTCAGTGGAATTCATTTTTGCCCAGGAGGAAATTTTGTGCCTTTTCGTTTTTAAACTTAATGTTTTTTTTTTGCAATTTAATGGCATCAGTGGCAAAGTGTAAACTGCCACACTCACTATCTATCAGAAGTTATGGTACTTGGTTAAGCCGACTTTTGAAATTGTAAAAAAGAGATTATATGTATGAATAAAATACCAATGAAGAGGTTAATTTTTCAAAGAAACTTCCACAGGCTACTACTACGATACTAATACTATCTACGAAACTTCTAAATTCCTCCTGCGTCAATTGTCGAGTCGAACTTGCTAACCTTTTGCCAATCATCCTGCTGCCTTCTTCAGAGTTTAACTAAACCAGAAACAGGATAATTGGCGAAACGTTTCGTAAATAGTAAATAAGGAGGTTATTTTTTCGTAACCTTATTCGGCCCAACAAAACTAAATAATTGAAACATGTTTGCGTTAAATATTTAGGCTATTTAAGTGGTTTATGGTACATTTTAATAAATCAGTAACAAAGAGCAAAAATGTTTGATAGTTTTTAGGTTGGTTCCAGATTAATAGATAACTACTATTTGGCAACTCACCCCTAAGTAACTTTCCAGGTGATTTTATCATGTATCCATCCCAAATATCGCTTAAAGGCGACGGTAGTTCCTCACTATATACTTACACCATGCGCAATCTAACGGTCGTAGTTAATTCCTTAATAATAAAACCACCAAATAAGAGTGCGAAACACATTAAATTACAAGCAGAAAAACGCACAGTTTAATTTTATTATTTCTGGAATGATACTTGCTGCGCCATCTATGTGCGAAAGAGCGATTCATTGAGTAAAGCGAAAACACGTATGAGCGGGGAACACAGACATGTGATTGCATTCATTGCAATAACTTGAAACTTGTTTAGGTGCCCATTGTAGTTAATTTTTTGGTTGCAAGTAGAGAAAATTTGTTAAGAGCAATATTATAATATGTAATAATAAATCAGTTTGTTTGTAAATCACTGTATTAGTATTTTCATCGAAATAACCAGAAGTTTTCGTGGCTGGTTTGGTAACGGCAATTTCAACTAAAGGTTAAACTGGAGATATTATTTGCTGTGACTGCGCCATGACTAAATAATAAAACTATATTGAAAAACGTGTGTAGAAATATATCCTTTTTTAAAAATAGTTACTTCTCGAGTGACTGGTGAATCACTTTCTGTTGTAATTTTGCTTTATTAAATTAATTCCGAACAAATAGCGTTGAATTTCGGAAATAAGCAAGGTTTGTACCAAAAATTAATCGTAAATACTTCCAAATGAAACAATATCATATTGTATCTGTTCCTATTCAAAATCTTTACATAACTGTTTTTATTAGATTTTCGTGACACTTGTTCTGTCTTTCCCCTCGCCTTTTGGGGATGGGATATTTTGAAAAAATTCAATTTTCGCCATTAAAAAAATACATCGGTATCGCTCTCGCAAAGTTTTTTTTCAAGTCATTTGCAAATGGAAAAATAAAGACAAGGAAAAAATGTATAATAAACATGTTTATTTTAAATGCATAAATATAATAAATAGGGACAGATGCGTGTCTATTAGGACGGTTGAAGGGCTCAGCAACCCTCCTAATGTGTTGAAAATTCACTTTGAAATTTTAAAAATTTAAAATTAAAAATAAACTTTGGTATTTGCAAAAACCAATTATTTCTTGGTAACAAGATGTTTTATGAGTTGATCAATGGTTGTATCCACCCCCTCCCTGCAAATCTAGACACGCCCATGAATACAGGCCATTCATATCAAATATACAATCATAAATTGCAAACTCATGCAATTACAAAAATACTTTTCTATGCAACAAAATAAAACCTCATTTATGTAGAAAATCTCAAGTCGACAGTCCGCGTTTCTTTCTTTTTATTCTGGCATATGGGCCCACATCGGGATCCATTACAAAATCATATAGCACTTGGGTCCAACTCTGATGCTGCGGCAAGTCATCATAAAACTCTGGAGCTATCCTTTTTACCTGCAGATTCGACGACAAAATGGTATGGCATAAACTAAACACTTTAACAGAGCACTACTATGGCAACTTTTTTTTTCTTTCTGATTAGAAAGAAAATGTAAGAATTCGTTTGGGCACTGTACTTGATATCGAAACGCATCTTTGAAGAAATCTCTGACTTTCAGTACAATTTAGGTGTCTGTTATTAGCAGCAATAAAAATTATGAGATAACTAAAACTATAATGAGTATTTTTTCTAGATAAGATTACACAAAAATGATAAGATCAAATTTCACTGGTTATTCATAATTTGATTTACTGCAGAACTGCTTCTAATGATTTTTTAAATACTAAACAGAGGCTACTGAAACTTCGAAATTTGACCTCCTATTCAAATTAGTCATTAAATTAAATATACGAGCTGTTTATCAATAATCCTTGTTTTCAACTATCTTTAAAAATGCAAATAACTTGTACTAAATTATGTTATTTATATTAATTAGTCATAAGTCAGTTTCAAGACACTAATTTTAATGGAATTAAATAACTTACCTCTGGTAACAGAGACCCAGGAACAGCAGGAAAGTCATGATGTTCATTATGGTAACCCACATTGAAGGTGATAAAATTCAAGGGACCGTAGTAGCTGTAAGTTTCATATCCCTTTTTAAACATATAATGTTCTGATATGAAATGTCCCGCGACAGGGTGCAAGCCCATTGCCATCAAACTCCCATAAACTAGATAGCCCAGGATCTTCCACCCAAGGAAGTATACTACAAGGGCGTCAAATATCAACTGCAGAACTAAGTTATATATTTCTAATACAGTTGGCGGTTTTGGGTATGTTACAAGAGGTCTGAACGCATAAAAAAATGGTTGCAGGATTACCCATATAAACTTGCCAAATGTTGTGCAAAACAGTTTTGCTTCCATGTAAGTGGGTATGTCTGTGTCTTTCAGTTCATCGCCTTGATACTAAAAGTACAATCATTTTTTCACATTTTTTTATAGGTTATATGTTTCCAAAAACTTAAAATCAGATCTGTTTGAATAAAACAAAAAAAAAAATTAAATGGTATTTAAAATAAACTAAACAAAATTTATGATATACAAACAGACTAATCGCAAGTAGTAAAAGTGTTTTACTGTTAATAAAATAATGTAAACTATGAACTCGTAAATTTGGTATGGTCAAGCTTACCCTATGATGTTCCAAATGATATTTTTTGAAACTTATCGATATAGGTATACCAATGGGCAGATTAGCAAAAAATCCAAAAAGTCTGTTGTGCAGGGGCCTGCCGTGGCCGAAGGCCAAGTTATGCGATATTTCGTGAATTGCTAAAATAATAAAATAATACATTGCCGCGCACATATTTAGAAAAATATTAGTTACCCCTCACCCAACATCAAAGAATGGTTGATAACACCTCCCAAACAGTATGCTGTTAACAATATTACTGGCCACGATTTGTTCCGGAGAACGTACATTAGAAAACATTGTGTTAAAACCATTGCAGTAACGACCCATTTGAAATTAGGATCGTAGCCAAATAATTTCTTTATTTGGGGATATTTTTCTAAAATGAAGAAAAACCTCTAACTGAAAAATTCTCAAATTTTATTAATGCGAATAAAAAATAATCGAAAACTGTGGCAACTTGGCGAACAGTCATATTCTAATTTAAACTATTACGACCGCGCTCACGAGTTATCACTTAATTAAACAGCCAAATACGTATCAATCAAAAAACAAATAAGTTAATCTGCTTTCCTGATTTAATATATAATTATCTCATCCATCAGAACATTTAAATCCTGGTTTTAATTCTCAATACGAACCGATATGCACATATGCGATAACTAAACGAATTTTATGAGGTTAAGAGTTACTAACCTAGAATAATTTTTCGTCTACTTGCATGCGGCTCTTCAGTGTAGACCCATTCGAAATCAGTTCTTGACACATGTTGTCCCATGGTTATCTATTTCTAGGGCTTAACACCTAGCGTTTCAGGTATCTGGGTTTTTCGGCACACCCGGTTTATTTATGGAACATCTTTGCAATCCGATATCACATAATTCTTGACAATGGTGGTGACACTGGGTGGGCTGACAAATCGGTGTTGCGACGTCTGACGATTTGACGTGAATGTAAATTATTCAGTTACGCACCATATAAAACGATATGATAAAAGGTACTCGCTAAATATTGTGGCCATTTTCGTCGTAAACATATGTAGGTATATTCGAACAATCACTTAATTTATCTCTAGTTATGTAAACAATAAAAAAAATTATCTGGGATTTGTTTGGAGGAAAATTTCTTAATAAGGATAATAAATTATCCACAAGAAAAATTTACAAATACAAAGACAAAAATCACTTATTCATTTTAATATTAATTAATTTTTAAATTATGTAATGGACTCCTTAGAATCATCGAACGAAAATAGGAGACATTTGGTAATGCTACTGTTACCCGAATCGAATTATAAACAGAATTACTATTCAACCTAATCTTAATTTTGTTAAAATAAGACAATATACAAAATTTGCAACACAACAATATACGCAATTTGCTTAAAATCTAAAATATTTTCAGTGTCGCGGTGTTGCCGCATTTATAAAAAGTAGCAAAAACTTTGATTTTTTAAATGGGACAGCCTGTATATTATTTTTTCTCTCCGCTGCCCCTTTCTGGTCATTTTTGTAAATTATTTCTCTATACCTACCTTAAGCGGTTTTCGAAATATCATTATAACTTTTTGCAGCTGAATCTGACCCGAATAATTATTATCAAAAACTGTAGGGCTTTTTTCCTTGTCTGCAATTTCTGTAAAATTTTGGAATCTCTCATGTTGTTAAGAAGCAAATAGTCCCCCAACAGCATGGTTTGTTAAAGAAAGATCCATTATTACCAATTTAACGACTATGTTTCAGTATATTTCGGAGGCTATTGATGAAGGTTCTCAAATGGACGTGATATATCTTGATTTTTCAAAAGCCTTGATCACAAAAATCTAATCCACAAGATCCGTGCCTTTGGATTTTCCGAATCGCTTGTTAATTTGTTTTTCTACTAACGTCTGTTAAATACCTAATTACCCATCGATCTAGGATGGGGGAAGCGTCACTTTTCCACATCAGTTTCGTTTCCCACGAATCCGAGCCATTTCGGACATTTCCGGAATGTTACCGCAGGGATTTGGGAGCCATCGGATATTTTCGGAGATATTTCCCACGCTTTGAATTTTCACGTTTGTCAATTCTGACGGTCATTTCAGTGAATGTATTCGCGTTGTTTTGCGAAAATGTACCCAAAAACTAAAGATCGTAGAAAAAGTATAGTATGCAACACGTTCGGTAAATTTTTTAACTCGCTCGTTTATTAAAAACTCGCTCCGGTGCGCTTCGCTCGTGTCAAATAAACTGGTGAGTCAAATGCCGTTTACCGCACTTGTTGCATAATATACTATTTTCTACTCCCGTCTGTAAAATAACTAATTACACACCGATCTAGCGTTCGGAAAGCGTCACTTTACTATGTCAGTTTCGTTTCCTACGGATCCGAGCCACTTCGGACATTTCCGGGATTTTACCGCACGAGTTTGGGAGCAATCGTATGTTTTCATAGATATTTCCCACACTTTGAATTTTGACGTTTGTAATTTTTTTTTAATTTGGTGTTCAGGAGGATTGTCTTACTTTCCAGTGCAGTTTTGAAGCAAATCAACAATTGGTCCATAAATAATAACTTGCAATCATCTTTTTGATAAAACTCTCTTCCGTTCTAACATTTTTTGTTACTTGAGAGTAAAATTCGACTCGAAATTCTCCTTTGTTCCTCATGTTAGTAAGGTACTACCAGAAGCCTCAAAAAGCTATGGATTTATCGTACGTTGCACTAGAGTCTTTAAAAATATTTAAAAATACAGAAGTAATAAAAATATTATATAACTCATACGTCAAGTCTAAGTTGGAGTATGCACCAGTAGATCACCAGTGATCTCCTGGGTAGAATTGTCATATTAATCCGACTGGAATCCTGCAGACGTTATATATATATATATATATATATATATATATATATATATATATATATATATATATATATATATATATATATATATATATATATACTCACGTATTGATTCACGGATGGAAAAATGTGATGACACCATATTCCGGGATATCATCCGTTCGCTCGTTGAACTCCGACTGGAATCCTGCATCCGACTGGAATCCTGCAAATCTTGCATCCGACTGGAATCCTGCAGACGTTTCGCCAAAATCTCACTTGGCATCTTCAATGCTCGCGCTCCGAAAACAGTGTTCGAAGTGTTTTCGGAGCGCGAGCATTGAAGATGCCAAGTGAGATTTTGGCGAAACGTCTGCAGGATTCCAGTCGGATGCAAGATTTGCAGGATTCCAGTCGGATGCAGGATTCCAGTCGGAGTTCAACGAGCGAACGGATGATATCCCGGAATATGGTGTCATCATATATATATATATATATATATATTCTCACGTATTGATTCACGGATGGAAAAATGTGATGACACTATACTCCGGGATATCATCCGTTCGCTCGTTGAACTCCGACTGGAATCCTGCAAATCCTGCATCCGACTGGAATCCTGCAGACGTTTCGCCAAAATCTCACTTGGCATCTTCAATGCTCGCGAGTGTTCGAAGTGTTTTCGGAGCGCGAGCATTGAAGATGCCAAGTGAGATTTTGGCGAAACGTCTGCAGGATTCCAGTCGGATGCAGGATTTGCAGGATTCCAGTCGGAGTTCAACGAGCGAACGGATGATATCCCGGAGTATAGTGTCATCATATATATATATATATATATATATATATATATATATATATATATATATATATATATATATATATATATATATATATATATATATATATATATATAATTCTGTATGAGCATGTGCGAATTATTCCAAACCTTGCTTTCACCCAATAACAACCATTCGCAGTTCAGCATGGCTCCTGATAGTTTAGGCACTTTTGAGTTAGCCCGTGGCATTTTTGGCAATTTTGACCAGGGTGTATTACTTTTTAAGGGTCCGTCTGAGATGTATTAATTTTAACGTATGCGTAAGCCTCACGCCTTAGAACTAAATTATCGAATATCAGGATTATTATTATAGGTTCTAAAATTAACATGATAGAGCATGCAAAGTAATTTAAATACTTATTATTTTAATTGCCGTTTGCTCATTAAGGGCTTACAAACGGTTGTGGGTATTCTTACTATCGATATGAAGATGGGAATCCGGCCACTTTTTATATTTTTGCTAGCGTTCAACGTTTTAATTTTCGAAGTTGGTAAGACAGTTGGGCTATGTTAATATAATAAATACGTTCCAAAAATTATAATGTATATCACGTATTGTAGTCTTTTAATTTCAGTATCGCAGTGTAACGCCAACAAGTGCACGTTAAAATGCAATAAAGAGGGCCATTTTAGTTTTGTCTGCAAAAATCAAGAGTGCATGTGTCTTCCCACAATCACGCACGACGGTGAGTATATATTTTAGTTTAGTTACGAAGATCCCTATGCAGTCAAGGAGTGATCGTCAGTCAGAATTAAATCTTAATGAAAATATAGCTGTGGAAAAAGCTTTATCATCAATCAAAATAATTTTTTAAGATAAGATGAATCTCTCTCGTAACTGATTATATGTGAACAATGTTCATTTACCTCTCGTTTTCAGGCGGGTGTGACTTGACTCAATGCGAAACGATGTGTAAAGAGCACGGCTTTCCAGCAAGATGTAGCATTACCGGTATTTGCGTATGCGATATGTTTTGAGCAGTTAATTAAATACCGCCCAAAAATAAATGCGGTTGCTTTCATAGCGTCTGTTTTTGTACCACCCATTTGTTATTTATTACTAGCAATACATAAGACATATCAGCTGTCTTCATAAAGTAAAAAACCTTTAAACCTATAGCAATTTCGATGCACAATGCTATTTTAAAATACCGTCGCGTATGTCAAATTTATTTAAATCAATGTCAAACAGGTAAAAATTAAAAATAGATAATTGTTATTTTTCAGAAATAATACCTATAATCACTTAAAGCCAACGCATATGTAGGATACGACAACAGAAGTGTTGGTATTGGTATTGGTATTGGTATTAAAGGGGGGCGCCCTCGCGGGCGTCCAAGCACTTAGGCCACCAGATGGGCCCGTTGTGCCCCCAGGCCGCTCTAGAAGGCGTCCAGAATGCCGCCCCTCCTGTAGAAGGTCAGCAACTCCTTTAGCCCAATACCGTGCACTGAGTCCGGATCGATCAGGGCCGTTCCGAAGACTCCCAATCTTGCCCATGTCAAGGCAGGGCACTCGGTGAGCAGATGATACGGGGTCTCCTCCCCTTCCATGCACCACCTACACTCCGGGTCGTCTCCAATGCCTAGCAAGCAAAGATGCCTCCTAAGCCTGCAATGTCCTGTGTAGGCCCCTGTTAGTGCTCCACACTCCCTTCTGGTCAGTCTAAGCAGCTCCCTGGTCCGAGGAAGGGCGGGCCCATCCATCATAAGCCTCGCCTGCCTCATTCCCGGAGCAACTCTCCAGCCCCCCGCAGCCCGGTCTCTCGCCCAGGCTTCGAGAGCTCCCCGCCTCACACACGGGGCGATCTCCAAGCGGGGCTCTGGCCCTATATGCCTATGCGAGGAGCCCTCCCTGGCTAAGGCGTCCGCTGCCTCATTGCCCCGGATACCGGTGTGACCCGGGACCCAGACCAACGTGACCTTTCTCTCCTCAGCCACCCTCCTCAGTACCCCTTTGCACTCCTTTATCAACAAGGAGCGCGTACGCACTGACTTCAGCGCCATGAGTGCAGCCCTACTATCCGAGCAGAAGAAGACTCTCCTGCTTCCGTAGTTGAGCCGAAGCACCTCTCTGGCCGCCATCAATAAAGCGAAAATTTCCGCCTGAAACACAGTGCAGTACTGACCCAGAGGGACCGACAAGCTTGATCCCGTTGTCTCGCAGTACGCTCCAGCTCCGGCCAGATCTCCCATTCTGGACCCGTCCGTGTACCAGACAAGTCCATCCCAGGAGCCGACTCTGCCCTCTCTCCCATTTTCCCTTGATGGAAAGAGAAAGGTCAATTTATCAAAGAAGGTCATCTCGGGGATCATGACGTCACTCGGCATGCCCATGACCCCGCGATCCCCGCGACAGCCCTCTAAAATGTCGTACGGACCCCGATTGAAGGTTCCCTCCCTCCAGAGCCCGCAGCTCGCCAGCCTCACAGCTGTCCTGGCTGCCTCCATCTGCACCCGATCCGCCAGAGAGGGCAGCCCCACCAGAGCTTCCAGGGCCCTCGTGGGCGCCGTTCTCATGGCGCCCGTTATGCAGAGGCAAGCCAATATCTGCAGTCTGTCAAGAACTAGCCTTGCTCCCGCTGTTTTGGTCCCCGGCCACCATGCCACTGCCCCATGCGTGAGCATAGGCACCACCATCAACAGACAGAAGTGTTACGCAAGGCTGTAATTCTAGTAGCGCATTAAACTATGTCAACTATGAAAAATCTGCCTATTTTGCGCAAAAATGGGTTGTTAACTGTGATACGATACTGGCCCTAAACAGATGCTTCGAAGGCAACCAAACTGACCGAATTATCATTATTGACTTTAAAAAAAATATTTTTTCAGTTTTGACGTTTTTTTTTGTATTTATACTTTGTTTTCGACTCAAAAAAATAAGTATCTTTAAAAATCATAAAAAATTGAATTTGGTCGATTTTTCTTGCATATTAATGAAATGAAGGAACTAATGGAAATTAGTGTAGAGTATTGTGTTTTTCGTGTATGTTATTTAATAGTAAATTAGGCAACAAGTGCGGTAAACGGCATTTGACTCACGAGTGAGTTAAAAAGTTTACCGAACGTTCTACGACCGTTAGTTTTTGGACATATTTTCGCAAAACAACACGAATAGATTCACTGACATGACCGTCAGAATTGACAAACGTCAAAATTCAAAGCGGCTGAAATATCTCTGAAAACATCCGATTACTCCAAAACTAGTGCGGTAAAATCCCGAAAATGTCCGAAGTGGCTCGGATTCGTGGAAAACGTAACTGACGTGGTAAAATGACGCCTCCCGCCCGTTAGATCGGTGTGTAATTAGGTATTTTACAGACGGGGGTAGAAAATTAGTATATTATGCAACAAGTGCGGTAAACGGCATTTGACTCATGAGTTTATTTGACACGAGCCGAGCGAGTGTTTAATAAATAAGTGAGTTAAAAAGCTTACCGAACGTGTTACATACTATACTTTTTCTACGACTGTTTCTACGGTATATTTTCGCAAAACAACAATACATTCACTAACATGACGTCAGAATTGACAAACGTCAAAATTCAAAGCGGTGGGAAATATCTCCGAAAACATCAGATTGCTCCCAAACTCGTGCGGTAAAATCCCGGAAATGTCCGAAACGAAACTGACGTGGTAAAGTTACGCTTTCCGCACGCTAGGTTCACACGTCCACTTAAGATAAGGAAAAAAACAGTACAAAATGTTAGTTATTCTCATAAACGTTTCTTCATACTCTAAAATACCCAAAACAAAAGAGAATGGTCAACGTGCATGTGAAATTTTGAGACCAAATCGGACTAGCGGCGAAAATAATATAAAGTGCATTACATATATTCAGCAATTTATTTCTAGATAATACATATGTATATTACATATAAATCTAGACATTGGTTTTCATTGGATTGATTTTAGAAACACAATTGTAAGTAAAATAACGTGACTGAAAAAGAAAAATATTCTGCAACCTAATAAATATTGGAAAGACGCCTTTTAATTGAAGCAGGTACAGATATGGTTGATACATCTTCCTTCCGGATAACCATTGTAAATGCAACATATGATACAGGAGGTGAGGTTTACAGTTTCGTACCATGTAGCACCTAATGGCGGGCCTATAGTTTATACAAAGAAATTATTTTTTATTATAATTATTGAAAATTAATTACTTATCTCTTAATTACCTTTTTCTCCACGTTAGATATTGAATAGGCAATACCAATAACAGCAAAAATTAAAAAAAGTCCCAAAGTTATCGACGCTTTGTGGGCCATATTGAAGTAACTAACTTGCTTACTGATTCAACTTGCAATCTACTATTGATGTTCCTTAGGCAAAAGCTGCTTCTTTATATACCTGACAACTTATACAAAATTTAGAAGCACACCCGAAACATCTCTACGAAAATATCAATGCCTCTAGAATCCACCCGCTAACTCGCACATTGCGCCATCCTTTTTATTTCCGTACACCTAACTCGTTTTTCCAGAACATTTTATGAGATCTAGGCATATTTTGAAAGAGTACTGTCGTAAAAATGCCGCATTTTAAATCTCGCACATGCGCACGTTCTCAATTTTGTTTTTAATATTTGCTTCATAAGTTCGTGTATTATCAGCCTAGACAGGGCCCCTATATCTCCAGTATACATATGATTAGAACCAATAAGTATCGAATATCGGTATTATTATTAAGATTTTAAAATTACCTTGATAGGGCATGGAAAGTAATTTAAATACTTATTATTTTAATTGTCGTTACTGTCAAAGATCGGAGTTCGGTCACTTTTTATATTTTTGCTACCGTTGAACGTTTTAATTTTCGAAGTTGGTAAGACATCCTGTAAATACAATAAGTGCGTTCAAAAAATTACAACGTATATCATGTTTCTATTCTTCTCATTTCAGTATTCCAGTGTGCCGCCAACAAGTGCACGTTAAATTGCAATAAAGAGGACCATTTTAGTTTCTATATTCTAGTTTAGTTTTCCCATTTTTTTGTATTGTGAGGAAACAATGGATAACATTAATTTTTCAAGTCAAGCTCTGAAGAATGTTAGCTAGTTCGACTCAACGAAAACCGATGCAGAAGGAATCCAGAAATTAGTAATGGATAACATTCCTTGTCAAAAATGAAATTGCCAGGGAGGCTGATAACTTTAGAAAAGCATCCATATGTGGGGGTCAAATCACTCCTATAAGCCATAGAAGAGGTAGCAAACTCTTTTATGTAGATATTGTTATCATTTGTAAATCGGGTTGCTTGTTTTACTTATTTAACTCTTTTATCCAATAATTCCACATTCCCCAAAACTATTATTTTGTTGGTACCATGTTACCAACTTTTTTCATTACATTTTGCAATGCCTATAGTTTTTTTTTAACGAAATTGTCTATAGGCACTTTTCATAATTATATATTTGGGAGGCGAAACTTCTGCAATTACTAGACTTGCGATGCAAGAATGAGCCTTCTGCCTATGCGAGATAATTGTTGAACATTTTTTCCTCAAAGGTATATTTACACTTTTAAGGGTCATATTTCGTGAATTTCACTTTATTTACATTTTCAATAGAGGTTATATCTATAAGTTTACAAAAACACACTGTTTGTGCCGATTTACACAAATTCGGGAAAAATTAACTGGTATCGTGTCTATAGCGCTTAAAGAACCAAAACGCCGCTGTAATTCAGCATAAGATTAACCATGCACTTATCGCTAATTTTTTTAAGAACAATTTCCACACCGTAATTCCTTTTTGCCTAAAAATTAGATTGAATTTTGACACATTTTGAGAAAATACTGCCAGCGGCCATGTTGGTTGTTGGAAGCCGCATGGCCTTATGGGTCGAACGTCAGAGTTTGCAATTAGAGCTGCCATAGGTTAAAAGCGAAATTTCAAATCTCGCTCATGCGCATATTAAACAATATTTTGTTACATAGTTGCTTCACGAGTTTCTGTATTATTGGTATAGGCAGGGCCTCTACATGCTAATGGCTATATACGCACAAC